ACATTCGGATTTTCAACATCAACATCAACGTCAAGTCAATGCTTTTGTATGGTTGAGAGACTTGGTGCGTTACGAAAGGGATTTCCAACAAACTACACACATTCATCAACAACTGCCACCTACGCTGGCTCGTTACTGGAGATCAGATAGATGACCAGAAAGAATAAGCAACAAGGAACTCTGGCTAGCTGTCAACGAACCAACGATGCAACAACCTATCACTCAACAAATATGCAGAATGGGGAAGTGGAGATGGATTGGATTGGATTGGATTGGGCATAGACTGAGAAGACCGACTGGTGATATCACGCGTCAGGCGAGTTGCTCGAGTGGAACCCAGATGAGAAGCGACGAGTTGGGCGTCGGAGGTGAGGGTGATATAGAGGAGGTCGTGCGAGGAGGAAATGAGAGGTTGTGGGTTGTCGTTGAGCCAGGTTGAAAATATTTCAGGTGACAGAGTGGAATGGAGACGTGCTATTGAAGCCCTATGTTCCATTAGGAACCCAAGGGACTAATAATAATAAATATTATAATAATAATCAAGGCATCCCCTAAGGAGCCCATCTGCTAACAGAGGTCAAGTAATTCCACCTGGTAGGCAACAGGGAAGTACAAGTATCAATAAACAATGCCAACAATTTGATTTAACGAGCCATCTACTGCTTAGATTCTATTCTCCAGGCCCACCTCAGAATCCTTCGATTGAGTCTAGATGCGTACTAAAGACTCAGTGGACGAAATCAGACAAAAGAAGCTGTTTATATGAATCATACTTCAGAAAGGAAGTTTCGAAAAATCAACACGAGTTAATAAGCATTTCTAGTCACAAGTCTGAAGAAATTCCATTGAAGTACCGAAGTCAACTTCGGGGAATTTCTATCTCTCCACCTTCAACACTGTACCATATAGAGTTTCACTGTTTGATCAACATTTCCTGATGTCAGAAACTTTCATTTCAACCAAACAAACATAGTTTACTTCACTTGAATAATTCATTGTCCAGAAACATTGAATGAAAGGTATCTGACTGAAATCTTCAGCGTAGAATTTGCACATTTTTCATAACCAATCTACCATGGACAATAACCGAGCAGAGTTGTTCACAGTTTTTATGGATGTTAACCGTTATCGTTGGTGTATACTAGGCCTAATCAACATTAGTTAATAGTAATTATTGAAAATATTACCACAATTAAAACCTCAAAATATGGGTTAGGCTGATGATCTTCTTACGACTTCTCAGAATTCATACAGTTGACACATTCGTAATAAGTTGTTACAGACAAAAAACAACCCAGCTGAGAATTCGTACAAAAGCCTTAAACAGAACATGAGATAGCAGTGAGAAGAAAGACTGTAACAGATTATGAGAGTGATGAAAATTTCAACTTTCTGGACACTTAGATACAGCGTAAGATGGATTGTACTTCTCAGAAGTCTAGTAGTAATGTAAGGTAAGTGGAATAGGTTGTATCTGAGTTTCGAAAGCTTTTGAATAAATAGTCACAACCGAGCACAGAGCAAAAATACATGATAAACTGGAGGAAGAGTTTCAGATCGCTGATAAGTAATAGATAGTGGCTATCATAGAAGGTGATCAATACAAAGTATAGTAGATGTGAAGAGGAAATTCCAATAACAACAGCCGCTTCAACTTTAGGCTCGATAATTCAGGGTAAGTCACAATAGACTAAAAACAGTGGTAACACTGAAAACACAAAACAACAGACAGTGAAACTAAACAAAACGTGAAAATTACCTCTGAATAATCTACGGAATGACAACAATATAGAACTTACTCATAGCACTAAGATATCGGTTGATGAGATCATATTAAACGTACAGCTCTGCCTGACCTCCACATTCTTCAAGTCTCAGGACAAAATATACAGACAAACAGAAGGAGTAGCAATGGGACCACAAATATCCCCGATCGTAGCAGATATATTTACCGACAGTTGGGAAAACGCGGCTTGACAAACGTTTGATCCTGCACCAAAAATATGGTGGCCATATGTGGACTACATATTTACTGTGTTGAAATCGGAACATATCGAGAATTTCCTTACACATATAAACTCAGTAGTAGGCACAATCAAATTCACGTATGAGGTAGAAAATGAGCAAGGATAGTTACAAATGTTGGATCGCAGATGAAAATGAGGAACAGACGGTGGTTTGGATACTACAGTCTACAGAAAACTGACACATTCCAACAGGTATCTAGACTTCAAGTCATCCCATCCAATGTCAGTTAAGGCAGGCTTAGTCAAATATCTAAGTGACAGAGCTAGGAAACTGACTAGTCAATGCAATAACCTAAAAAAGAAATTGAAACAAGTAAAAGAAGGGCTAATAGTTAATAATTATCCTTCGCAGTTAATTAAGAAATTCGTACGAACACACAAGAAACGAAACGAAAACAATAATAGTAGCACTAGTACGAATAATGAGGATGTCAAAGCCAGGATCGGAAATACAGCAAGACATGCCTTCCTGCATTAACCTGAAATAAATCAGTGTGGAGATCTACTGCACTGCACTGCACTGCACTCAGCATTAAGCGTGGACAAGATCCAGATTTCCAACACTAACTCATTCAAGTAACTCAGAGTTTCTATATGCTTCACAAACTTGGCCCGTCACGAAAAGCATTTCCAACAGACTGCAGATATACATCATCAACAGCTACCGCCTACACTCACTCGATACTGAAGATCAGATCAAATGGTCAGAAAGAATAAGCAACAAGGAACTCACTATGGCTGGCAACGAACCAACCAACAACCCGTCGCCCAACAGATGTGAAGAAGAAGAAGAAGAAGAAGAAGAAGAGGAAAGAGGAGATGGATTGAATTGGGCATACAGTGATCGGACGGATTGGGATCACAACGCCCCGGGTCAGGCGGGTGCGGGGCCAGGTCAAACCCTCGAGTGGAAGCCAAAGGGGGAAACAACGAGTTGGGGATCTGAGGCGAGGTTGACATGGGGGAGATGGTGTGAGGAAGAAATGAGAGCTTGTGGGCAGTGGTGGAGGCAGGTTTTGAAGACTGGAGAGAAGAGAGTGAAATGGTGACGTGTTACTGAAGCCATGTTCCTATGTTCCACTAGGAACCCAAGGGACAAATAATAATATAATAGTACGAATAACAATGACAACACAAGTGGAAAGGAGTTCACAGCCTCCATTGTGTTACCCTACAAGGAAGGTATATTAGAAACCTTATGTAGGATTCTCAACAAAGCTGGAATTAAATTAGGGTGGAATTAAAGCCTACAAACTCACTCAGAAATAAGCTTTGTCGGCTTAAAAATCCGATAGAACCAGTTAGAATAGCCGAACATACGAATTTAACTAAATGTAGAATGACAGACCTAAATAAGATCAATAATCTAGAAGAAAAACCCGGCTATTGGATTACATGCATTAACGTACAGCCACACAATAGGGTAGGATAAAGCCACTGTACTTAAGTCGAAGATAATTAGGTGGAGAGAGAGAGAGAGAGAGATTGATTACTGAATCTTTGTTCAGCGAATCAGCATCCAACACATGTAATAGAAATGATGCAACACCAATACCAGAGATATGGAGAATTTTACTACCAATAAAAACAACTCATATGAGGTGACTGACGTAACTGTAAAAATCAAATGTCGAAAATAGTGTGATTACATATGATATGATTATGAGCAGTAATAATATATGCTCAAAATGTCATCAAGTAAATAATACTATATCACTCACTGTGTTATAAATGAAATAAACAAATGTAATATGGAATTAAATTCTACCACAGTGCCCAAGTTTTGCACCTATATTAATGCCCTACATAGAACCACCTTGCATCTAAATTGGTTCCACTGCATCGAATATGCTCATTGCTGTAGTCAAAACTGGACAAATACATTTTTTGTTTCTTCGAAATGCCTATATCAGTTTATATATATATAGGTACAAAGGATTACACCACGTTGAGATTTCTGAACATATTCTTAAAAGCTTACGACTGACGAAGAAACAATTTCAGCAGAACAGTTGCCCAACATCTGAGTTATACAGGAAATAATGTAGACGTCTTATACGTTTTCTAAGGCTATAGCTATCAAACGTCTGAAACCTGGTTAAGGAGTTCAAAAGAATACTGTCATCAGCCTTTTTCTGTTTGCGCAACCCGCTTCTAAATTCCTACTATAATCTAGTCAAATTATCTCTTCTGTATTAACGATGGATAGTGGCTAGCAGTGGAATCCAGGACGCGGGTGTCGTCCTGTTTGGGATTCTTCAGCTGGATGTACATACACCCCAGTGAGTATTGTTCCCACCCGGATTCGGAATGCCAGAGTGTTATCCACTAGACTACTGAGTCACCACAGCCACTTCCTGTGCAAAGTGTATACTTTTAATCTCTGATTATATCTAGACAGTAGCTTTGATAGTTGCTTTGTTAAATCATCTTTTACTAGATCTTGTATGTTTTCCGTAAATCTTTAAGTTCGAAATTAAAAACTTTTGGTAACTTCTAAATTAAGCATAGGTAAATGAGGAGATAGGAACTCAATTTGATCTGAACGGTTCATGCTCTAGTCGTCCATTTACTCCAGATCAGAAACATCCGTATGATGAACAACAGCAAAGAAAGCGAATTATTATTATATTATCCCTTGGGTTCTTAGTGGAGCATAGGGCTTCAATAGCACGTCTCCATTCCACTCTGTCACCTGAAATATTTTCAACCTGGCTCAACGACAACCCACAACCTCTCATTTCCTCCTCGCACGACCTCCTCTATATCACCCTCACCTCCGACGCCCAACTCGTCGCTTCTCATCTGGGTTCCACTCGAGCAACTCGCCTGACGCGTGATATCACCAGTCGGTCTTCTCAGTCTATGCCCAATCCAATCCAATCCAATCCATCTCCACTTCCCCATTCTGCATATTTGTTGAGTGATAGGTTGTTGCATCGTTGGTTCGTTGACAGCTAGCCAGAGTTCCTTGTTGCTTATTCTTTCTGGTCATCTATCTGATCTCCAGTAACGAGCCAGCGTAGGTGGCAGTTGTTGATGAATGTGTGTAGTTTGTTGGAAATCCCTTTCGTAACGCACCAAGTCTCTCAACCATACAAAAGCATTGACTTGACGTTGATGTTGATGTTGAAAATCCGAATGTTGTTCACGCTTTATGCTGAGTGCAGTGCAGTGCAGTGCAGTAGATCTCCACACCGGTTTCAGGCTAATCAACGCCTCTCGTGCTTTTCCGATCCTTGCTTTGACATCCTCATCTGTGCCTCCGCCTGTAGTTGAAACGATGCTGCTTAGGTAGGTGTAGGTGAATGAGGCTACTTCCTTTAAGTTTCTCCCGTTGATGGTGATTGCAGCTTGTTGTTGTTGTTGCTGGTTGAGTATCTTCATCACCTCCGTCTTCTCTACTTCCACTTGAAGTCCTGTCTTCGCTGCCCTGCCTCGCCTCTTCTGTCAAATTGTTGAATTTTGCCTGTAGATCTTCGAGTTTGTGTGACATTAGACACAAGTCATCGGAGAAATCCAAATCTTCTTCTGGGATCTTTTCCCGGTCAAGCAGCGTATCCCCTCTTCTCGCTCCTCACTGTTTGTTGCATGATCCAGTCCACCACAATCAGCAATATCATGGGTGATAGTAGACATCCTTGTTTCTCTCCTGTCTTCACTTCAAAGGCATCACTGAGCTTCCTACATAAATTAAGAAACCCAAACCCAATAAGGAATGCAATAATGGTTGAAGTGTCTGCGGAAACGCCTAAACGAATATACTTGGGTAGATATGCTTGCATTAACTTCCATTATACCGAGTTACGTTTTACACATTTCGCTCGTCAATAAACCTAGTGTCTTAATCTATCAATTTTAGAGGATTATCGGTTGCTTAATGTATACGATTGCGACATTTTGTCATGTCTTCATAACCTTCGAATTTCTCATCACGATTTTTCTTATTAATACATGCTCCTCTCTGTTTGTTTTGACTACTAACCGAATTTGCATCCTAGGGACAATGAACCATGCTAAATTTCATTCATAACTCCTTATCAAGTGATAATCCAGGTTGCAGTAAGCTGTCGAGAAACTGGTGAAATAACAACTTCATTAAGAGAATTTTATGTATGAAATATTCTCTTCAACTGAAAATGTGAAGCATTTGTACAAGAACATTATTCCTCATGGGGATATGAGTAGTTTCTAGCACACGAAAATGATAATTACGTCAACTCTTTTATTCAATCATTAATAGACGTCATGTTAGTAACACTGGAAGCATTTTAACGCAGATATTTGGAATTAACTTGAACAAAGTCATTCATATGAACTTGGTGTAGTAGTCAACAAGCTTATTTAATGATAATTAAATGGAACTCAGATACTGCGGTGAAATGTAATTCCATATGACATTCGCTTACTTGGTATAACATACAATGATGGTACTATTGACTGGATTATGTTTGCAACACAAATTATTACCTTTTCAGCCAAAATGTCGCTACAGTGGTCTATAAAAGTTGACCGTAACAACTGGTGAGTCGGCCAATTACATTCCTTTATTTCATGGAAAACTACTTTCTTAGGAGAAATACAAAAACCTCATTGGTCTATTTAACAGTTGCTAGGGTTGCCTTTAAAGTCATTTGGAAAAACCATGAGAATCGTTCAAATGTCAACCCAATATCTCACTTTATAGAAAATAATACTTAGTTTACGTCTTGTCCAATTATAAACACACTAGGCATGTGAGAGAAAACAAGGAAACAGCTAACGCATAAACAATTCAGACCTTACATTTCATTTGTATGCACTGGATGTCTTGCGTAATAGTTAACTAGTGCGTGGAAAAGACATACATGGACATATCTCTATTTCAACCTATTATTATTATAATACAGGACACCTATTTCGTATGAACTAAACTCAGGCGACACATTTTTGTTTGTTAAGTCACCCAGTTGATCATTTTCACACTGTACTCTGTCCAGATCGGCTGGAAAAAAGTAACTTAATGCCTTAAAACTAACATTTCTAGTAGAATGTACAGCACCATACATAAGGTTGATAAACAAGTTATCCTATTAGGCCAATAGCTGACTGTAGAAGCACACTAACTATGAGTTATCTAAATACTAAGCTACTATACTATACTAAGTCATATTAAAAATCGCTTGATATCTAGGCTCACCAACTCATTTAATTTGAAACACAGACTAAATAATCAGACGAAGGAGAAATGTTGGTCAGTTTTGGTGTGACGAGCCTGTGTACAAACATACCAGTATAAGTATGGTACTTAAGGCAGTCAAAAATGAACTAAAAACTGATCATAAATTCAGTAATAGAACTCAAGTTTTTACTGTGAAACTATGTTAGGCATACAACTGCGTCTAACCTCTACGGTTTTCTAATTTCAAAGCAAGATATATAGACAAACAGAAAAAGTAGTAATGAGATCTGCAGTATCCCCCGATATAAGCAAACATACTCATAAATAGGAACAAACGATATTAGGAACATTCCAACCCAACCTACCGCACATCCCAAAACAAGTATGGTCGCCATATATATATGACACATTTACTCTGTTCAAATCAAAACATCTGCAATCTTTCCGCACACATTAACTGCATGGTAGATGCATTCTAATTCACTTGTGAATTAGTAAATAAAGGAGAATTACCGATATTCGATTTCAAAATCAAGAGGAGAGAAGATGGAAGCTTGTATACCAGTGTTTAAAGGAAGCCCTAGTGGAACATAGGGCTTCAGTAACACGTCACCATTTCACTCTCTTCTCTCCAGTCTTCAAAACCTGCCTCCACCACTGCCCACAAGCTCTCATTTCTTCCTCACACCATCTCCCCCATGTCAACCTCGCCTCAGATCCCCAACTCGTTGTTTCCCCCTTTGGCTTCCACTCGAGGGTTTGACCTGGCCCCGCACCCGCCTGACCCGGGGCGTTGTGATCCCAATCCGTCCGATCACTGTATGCCCAATTCAATCCATCTCCTCTTTCCTCTTCTTCTTCTTCTTCTTCTTCACATCTGTTGGGCGACGGGTTGTTGGTTGGTTCGTTGCCAGCCATAGTGAGTTCCTTGTTGCTTATTCTTTCTGACCATTTGATCTGATCTTCAGTATCGAGTGAGTGTAGGCGGTAGCTGTTGATGATGTATATCTGCAGTCTGTTGGAAATGCTTTTCGTGACGGGCCAAGTTTGTGAAGCATATAGAAACTCTGAGTTACTTGAATGAGTTAGTGTTGGAAATCTGGATCTTGTCCACGCTTAATGCTGAGTGCAGTGCAGTGCAGTGCAGTAGATCTCCACACTGATTTATTTCAGGTTAATGCAGGAAGGCGTGTCTTGGTGCATTTCCGATCCTTGCTCTGACGTTCTCATCTGTGCCGCCTGCAGTCTAAATGATGCTGCCTTGGATGAAAGAGACTACTTCCTTTAGGTTTCTCCTGTTGATAGTGATTGGAGCTGTGTTGTTGTTGTTGCTGTTGTTGAGTATCTTCATCACCTCCGTCTTCTCTACTTTCACTTGAAGTCCTGTCTTCGCTGCCCTGCCTCTTCTGTCAAATTGTGAATTTTGCCTGTAGATCTTCGAGTTTGTGTGACATTAGACACAAGTCATCGGAGAAATCCAAATCTTCTCGGATCTTTTCAGCGGTCAAACAGCGTATGCCCATTCCGCTCCTTACGGTTCGCTGCATGATCCAGTCCAGTCGATCACAATCAGGAAAGTCATCGGTGATAGTAGGCAGCCTTGTCTTACTCCTTCCTGTCTTCACTTCAAAGGCGTCACTAAGCTTTCCATTGTGAATCACGCGGCATGTAGCATCGTATAGCATATAGCTGTTGAATGAGGTTGATAAAGGTTTGTGGTATGCCGTAGTATTGAAGCAGCTGCCTGTCAAATTGCTTGTCAGTAGATGCTGTCGAAGCCCTTCTCAAAGTTGATAAAGTTGAGGTAGAGAGTTGCCATTCTGCCATTCTATGTTCTGTTCTATGATGATGCGAAGTGTAGCGTCACAATTTGATCCACACATGATTTGTTCTTCCTGAATCCAGCCAACCTGTTCTCGTCGTACCTTTGAATCCAGCACATCCTTCAGTCTCTCCAGCATGATGCGGCTTAATATTTTGTTTTGCAGCATGATTCCTCGTCAGTTCCTGCAAACACTTAGGCCACATACTCCCCTCTTTGGGAGTTTGACAAGATAGCCTGGCTACCAATCAACTGACAGATACCTTTCCTTACTTCCTTCCAAACATTCTGCAATACTGGTGTGAGTGTGTCCCCTATTGTCTCTGCATTCGTTTTCAGTGCTTCTGACGGAATTCTATGTGGTTCTGCTGCTTTACCAGATTTCAGCAGCTTTATGGCGTTCAGGACTTCGGTTTTTGTTGGAGGGCCTGTGCTCACTGGTAATTCTGTGACTGGACCGCTGGTGGTATTTGTGGACGAGTTGCAGTTGGTGGTGGTGGTGGTCGAATCAAGAGTTTTTGAAGTGGTGAGCTCATTGTTTCCTTTGTTTCTCCTCTTTGCTAACTAGCTTTCCTCACTATCTTTCATTGGTTTCGTCTGTTTCGATCTCTTCCCAGATAGCAGTAACCTGGTTATTTGATATAATGTTGTCAAGTCTCTCCTACCAGCAGCCTATTCTGCTTCACTTGCCAATGTGTCGTAGATGAAAATTTGGATAAGGATCTGAAACACATCAAAGATACACTATTTCCTGACAATTACTCTCCGGAATTTATTAAAATGCGTTCAAGGAAAGGTGTGGTAATGTTAGTAATGACTACAAGAAGGAAGTTAAGTTCTCTGAAGTGTTGGTCAGAGAGAAACTTTGTAAGTTGAAAGATTCATTTAAGCCAATTAAGAAAAATAGGCTAATCTATCAAATACCACATAATGATTGTTAGGTGCAATTATGTAGGTGAAAGCGGCGTCATCCATCAGAGTTATTATCAAAAAGGTAATAACATAATAAAAAGTCGTTTATTCATCAAGGGATACTGAATAAAATACCAATTTTCATTTATTTATTACTTTCAGATCAATAATTCATAAAAGCGTTGTTTAGACAGAGAGAGAGAGAGAGAGAGATTAAAAGTATAATAATGATAATGGTAATCTAACAATGAACTTTGAAAAGATGAAATGATAATTATACAACAGGATAATAATTAATTGGGAAACAAAAAAGTATGCAGGTAAATTGAGAGGAACGAAAAGACGACAAATGCAAACAGCAACAACAACAACAACACCACCCTAACTCGATATATACTCATGTTTAAAGAGAAAATGAATAAAAATATACACAAAAATGGAAATGTTATATCGCTAGGATAGGTGGTAGAAGAGAAAAACAACAAACAACTAATAACCAGACGTTGTTGATTGAAACCATAAGGAGTTGAATGTTTGTTTTTATAACGTGAAATCAAGAAATAAATAAATAAACAAATAAATAAGTAAATAAATTAAATAAATGTGCACAGATAGTAATGTAACAATTCCATGTAAAGATGAAGAGAGACAACAATTAAGTTAAATGTGAATACATTTAATAGATAAACTTTAATGAATGAGAATAAATAGTAGTTGACTTAGAAACCTAAATTGAATAAAAAATTTTTTTTTACTTATTCAATAATGATGCTAAAATGTATTCAATAAATTCAATATATGGAATTAAATTCATTTTAAATGTAAGCAAAATGCAGAATATTTTATTCAATTTATATATGAAATCAGAAGAATTATAAATTGATGCTACATCATCATTATCATCATAGGAGATACTTTTTTCATGTTTTACAAAATTTATTAAACAATTTGGTAACTGTTCCATTAATGATTTATTTATAGTTGAAAAAATTCCATTAAGTTGATTTTCATTGACTTGTAGAAGTTGTTTTAATTCAACCTAATAATTTATACATAAAATAGAATAAAGTAAATAAACACAAAGACATTAATAATAGGAGACAAAAAATATTTCACGTTGTTATTTATCGTAGACTGATAACATCAGTTGAAGGAGAAAAAAGAAGAAAACCTGAGAACACTTCACAGTTATCTGTTTCGTCAAACTAATATGCGACTCCTTAGCAGTGCACACCTAACACCTCGCTAAGGATCGAACCTGAAACCTTTAAGTTCCATGGCCAGCATGTTACTATTTAGCCACTGGGTTTTTCAACTTCTATTAGCTTATTTAGATTTATCTAATCTAATTTAAACTTGTAGTTCATTGGTTTATTTAAAACAGGTAACTTGTAACCAACCAGGCATTACTGCGTAACGGTCTGAGTTGCCACACCTCACGTCAGTTCATCAAGTGGAAAGGTAATGAGGTGAGGGATGAAGATAAGTGAATGCAGTCAAAAGAAGTATAAAGTATGAGAAGAAAGGAAAGAGGAGTGACAAAATAGTGAGATTCGGTATAGCGTTGTTAAGATGAGGATAATGTGTGTATACATCTGCGCCACTGACGTCGGTTCTCAGCCATATCAACTAGGGTCTCCAACCACTGGTTCCTCTTGTCCAGTGGACCCCAACCACCTAGTCTGCATCGCCTCCCTACATCGCTCAAACAAACAGTCAGAGACTTCATATATTGGTGCCATGTTTTAGTCTGGCCACCTCAGGCCTTTCTCCAGCCTCGACCCACCTCAGCCAACATTGTGTGACGAGGAAATCGGTGACCAGCCATACGTAGTACGTGTCACAACCATCTAAGTCGATGAAGGTTCATAACCTCGTCAACTGACTTACCTCTTCTCCCCAAAACTCTACACCAAACTTCTGCATTACTCACATGGTGACACCACGGAATACGTCCTATACTACGAAAGCAAAGGTGGTCAAACACCTGAAGCCTTCTCACATCTTCCACTTCCAATGGCCATGTTTCACAGCCATACAGTAGAACACACCGGACTGCTGTGCAGTACACGCGACCCTTAATAGACAAACGAATATCACGGCGGCGCCATAGGTGGCGCAAATTGGCAAAAGCCAATCGAGCCTTTTGTATCCGTGCAGAAATCTCATCGGCAACTAACCATCCAGGGTTGATCCTACTTCCCAGTTAACTGAAGTGGTCAACACACTCAACCACTTCACTCTCTATTGTTAACCGCGGTACCGCTGAAGACCAGTCCTGGAGCAACAATTTGCATTTGGGTGGTGAGAAACGCATCCCAAACATTCTCAAATTCCCACTCAAAGTCTTCAGAAGACTCTGCATCTTGTCAGCGTCTTCACCTAACAGGACTGACAATGTCATCTGCATATTCTAGATCTAAAGAAAATTCACCTGTGGTCCGGTCAACGTCTGTGTAATTAGGTGACGAGAGGGAAACCTCCATAAGAATATCTATGATAAAATTAAATAAGAATGGAGATATTGGGCATCCTTGACGGACACCACTTGATGAGTATAGCTCCTTGGACAACTCACCATAGGCTCTAACATGCCCACAAGTGTTCGAGTAGACAGCTTTCAATAACGTGATGTACTTACTAGGCACGCCTTTCAGTGACAGACACTGCCATAAGACTTCTCGATCAACGGAGTCAAATGCCGCCTTCAGGTAGAGAAATACAGCCAGTGTCGGGCGCCGGTAAGCATGCCTATGTTCCAGGACCTGGTGCAGTGTGAATATTTGGTCGATACACCCGCGGCCAGGTCTAGAGCCTCCCTGGTTTTCTCAGGCTTGCTGTTCCCGAGCTCCACTCAGGCGTCGGAGAATTATAGAACCTAGGATTCTGCATACTATGTTCGTCAGGCTGATTCCTCTGTGGTTATCACAAGAGGACCTCTCGCCTTTCTTCAAGACTGGGATGATGAGTGACTTAGACCAGTCAGAGGGGATCGTATTTGATTCCCATATACTGGCTAACACTTCCGTTAACCTGACTAAGAGCACTCTACCACCATTCTTGCATACCTCAGCAGGTAGTCCGTCTGGTCCTGAAACTCCTTAAATATTTAAATCTTAACAAACCAATAGACGAAGCATTCAAATACTGTTCAATTTGTTAAGATTTAAATATTTAAGGAGTATCATTAATTTTTACACAATAACTGTGACTTATTACCTAATCCATAAAAGTATACATAACATTGTTAAGTGAATTTCAGTTTGATTTCAAACTATAATAGTATACTGGAAATAAACAATATCACAATCTATTATTCAAGAGGATATAAACAAAATAAATCATCAGAATTGACTGATCTCATATTGAAACTATATAAACATGACCATAAGAAACCTTGTTCTTACCTCTAAACTTGAATAATGCAAGAGTAACAAGTGTAGAAGCTCTTAACAGGATAAAATTATTGACTGTGGATTTACTAAGTGGTATGATGTAGTGACTTGAAGTATCAACAAATTGAGATTTGAAACCATCTTTCTTTTATTACTATTTATCGACATAGTTTTTATTCTCCGTTATTTTGTCGGATCGAATTGTTCGACCCATCTACTGGCATATAAGCTCCTATGCGGATGATTCGATATTGCCTGAAAAAGCGTCCTAGATTCTTCTGCTAGGCACAACCGACCAAATGACCTTACTTTTGTTCATTTATTAGTTTCAATCCATACAATAATTATTAAGTTCAACTCTAATATAACTCTTTCCGGTGAATTTCCATAGGATATTTACACTAAAATCAAATTTATACTGTGTGATGATTGGAGGTGAGATGAAAATCTAGACCGTGGTCAAACTCCAACCAGAGATCATCGAGTCGTTGGTGATGAACACTCAGAATTAATTTATTCCTATTATCACACATAATTTTGGGATAATATGATTCATTATGGAATTCGAGATGATGACTGCAATTCATTTGTAGTGTTAAAATGGATCAAATGCATGCCATCTACAACCTAGTATTACACTTTGGAACAGATGACATTGAAATAGTTCCCAATTGTCAACCCAATAACGTGGTTTAGGGATATAGGTGATACATTTGTCATTCTTAAGAAACTAGACCAAGAAATTGTTGTAAAGCATATAAATTTTGTTTCCGATTCGATAACATCCACAAATGAAATAGAGACTGTGACAATCGGACTCTAAACTTTTTAGATTCTTTCATCAAGATTCAGTGGAGGTAAATTTACAGTAAAACTATACAGAAAACCAAGAAGTTTCCAGGAATACCTAAGCTTCTGATCAGGTCATCCAACTGAAATAGAAGCTCCCGTGGTATTGAACCTAGGACAAAACACATTATAACCCATTCTAAATAAATGAAATTTCGGAGGTAAACAAGTTTGACTAACTGGCAAAATCAACGTAGAACCTGACACACAGGTGTATCAGCTCAAGTTGCTTCCACTTTAAACTAGTACACAAAGAATAGGTAGATGGAAAAAGAACTATATCAAAGTAGGAAAAGTTATGTGGGAGAATTAAAAAATTTGAAGATAATTCATGTCAATATTCAAGCTTTATATGTCAAGGAATGGAGATATCTGCGTCATTGTGACAGGTTTTCAGCCATGTCACCAGGAGTAAGTCCTCAACCACTGATTTCTTTTGTCTTGGTGACCCCAAACAGGTAGTCTACATCTCCCCATATGGCTCAGGCCAACAGTCAGGGACTTCATGGACTGACCACGCTGAACCCTCTTCCGAACTAATCCAACTTCCCTAGGATGTATGGCACGTCGAGTTAGGCGGTGGCTAGGTGTATGCAGTATACATCCAAGCCATAGTAGTCGACTAAGGTTCACAACTTCATCAATAAGCTTACCTGTCTTACATAGTACCCTTCATCTTAATAGAGAATGGAGACCCAAAAAGTTACTAAACAACACTGTCGACCAGGCGCACAAAACAGCAAGTACCAATAAATGTGATGACTAATGGTAATTGTAAATTTAATCATAATTACTCAATTTGAACAATAAATCGTGTAACCAATGACCTAGAAACAGAAATACTTTACGTGCTATTCCACTGTGATATTTTATCTGTTAATAAATATCTGGATATTCTCCAAAAGTAACAGAAAGTTTTCTATTTTCAAAACATGCTGGGATTATATTACACTATATTCTTATATTGATTAAAATCAGACTCAGTGCTAACTTTCTTCGAGGATATTCGTATCAACTACAGTTTGGATATTTATACTGTCAATAGTTACCATGAAATTTTAAAGTAACAAACATAAAATGACAACCTGAGGAAGTAGATGTATAAGGATAATCAGAAGTAGATCTTTGACTGGTAGCCTTACCTTGTTGGTACTTTATGCATAACACTGGCCTTAATAATATACATTTCAATATACTAACCTATCTTTGTGGCAACAGAAATCCATTAACCGAATAGTGCTTAATATAAGCACTAAGAAAACCTTTAGTCTGTTTGCTGATATAATGAGTAGTTAGGCAGTATCGAGGCATTCTAATAGGAGCTCATCTGCCAACAGAGGTTGAGTAATTCAACCCGATATAATAATGAGAGCATAAAAAAAAACACGTTTTTAATATTCAGTTGTAAAACAACGTACAAAATGTTCTCGAATTTGATCTAGACAGAAACGAAGAGCGAAAGATACAGGATTGTCAAGGAGAAGTAAGCTGCCATAAGTTCTATCATCTTCTTCTTTAGTTAAATCAATAACTTCTTCATTGTTCAAATGAGATGAAACAGAAATAGACCAAAAACGTTCAAAATTTACAAACCAGTCAAATGTTGGATACACTGATGAATCTTCGACGAATAATGAACACAATGAACATGAAGTAATGAGACTGTTTTCTGAACTCTAGAAAGTAGAAAAAATATAAAAATGAAGGTTAAATAAAAAAGGAAAGTAAAAGATTTTTTGGGGAAGTCAATGATATCATTTTAAACTCAACCAGATTATCTAATATGGTACGCATGTTAAATCTGTACCACATTTGGAATATAATACGCGATTCAGCGTCATGTCTATGATTCATTTCAACCTAAAACCACTTAATACACCTTCAGATAGAATTATTCTAGACCACATCGGTGACTAACTCCAAGATGTGATTCATCAAAGTTCCAATTAGATATCGTGACCAGTCAAATAAGTCGAACATGAGGATAATTACTCAACGACGACATTGGATGAAGGTCACGCTATGTCGTGAACTGATAGAAATAGGAAATATGAACAATTGGATTCCAGCCCAGTGGCTCAATGGCCAAGGAACCTGAAGGTCATGTAGTTGGATCCCCAGGACTTCTTACTTAACTTATATAAGCAAGCATCCATTACTTATCTTTTTACGTATTATATTTTATGAGTTAGGACCACTCAAAAGCGAACATAATCAAACCCGTCAGAGAAAAAAGACAGAAATGACACACACACACACACTACGGTAAATGGATACATTTTCAAACGAAGAAAACGCCATACAGTTTCCAGTACACTATATGTTGCGTGAGGTACAATACTAAATATAATCTGACCTACAGAGAAAAAATATTTTCACATTTCAATGCAACTGATTCTGAGGAATATGAACTTCTGACCTATATTCCCGTGGTTTACTTATGTTTGCAAAAATACCGCCTTTATAAGTATAGCGGAGTGCTGATAGCTGCTGACTTAGAAGTTCCTGTTCATGTGACAGCTTATGCTAAAAAATGTCCTTTAATACGGCTATATCCAGTAGTGGTCATCAAGTATGTCCAGTCAATTTTATTTTGTTCTATTTGATCAATACGTTTTTTTCCCACTCAATTCCTCAAACATTGCATTCTCTATAGGAGGCCACTTGATTGATTTGGAGTACAGAAACGATGCAGTTGTGTTGAATCAATGATGCTAAATTAACAGTCTTCTGAATACGTTGGACAACAATGAGAAACTGTTCGAGGTGCATTTCCTATCCTCGAATTAAAATTGTTCCTTGAAGAAATGACCGGCGTTGATCTTAAAGGTGATAAGATGGATGGAACAACAAAGTGGTTGAAGATATTGACTACTTCACTTGTATAGAAAGTTGAATTGACTGTGGTAGATTGGTGGCTGATAACAACTCGGCATAAATATAAAAGGCCTAATCACTTTCACTAATTTACACCACTTGCAGGGGAGGCAAGATAACGGGATGATTAATATGAACTGAGTGTAGAGGTCGGGGAGTGATAAAAAAGGTTGTCATTACTCGTAGACGAGGGCGTTAACGAATATCTAGTCAAACGTTTACCATGATGTGTAATGTTACATAGAGTGAAAAAGACAGTTTCACAGCGATCAGATCGATGTGGAACCTATATCAATATTAATGCTTTTCCAGTATCCAATCATACTTAGCCAATAGGAATTCCTTTGACTGTAGGATACCAATTCCACTCTAATTTTAATGTAACAAAAGTGAAAAAAAAGAGAATTTGGAGAATGTCCATAGCAGATTCATTTTAGAGCAACAACGAACATCAATCAGTTCAGTGTTCGAATTAGCGTCCCAATGAAAACTACCAATGAACACAGGCTTGGTTATTTAGTTTAAAATAATTGACTTGAAAATGATTCTCTGATGTATCTTTCGTGATATGCCCAAGTTCATATAATAAATGAAAAAGCCATAGTCCAGCTATTTTACTCTGGATAGTATTCATTAGTTGTCAAACTGTAGAAGGTGTATCACTTACATACGAAGAAACTAATATCCCCCAAAAAATAGTAATGCATGATGTGCGTACTGGAACAATCATCTTGAAAATAGCATGAATTTAGAAAAAAAAAGTGTTAGTGTAGCCATACATGGTTTCGAAGTAAGTATTACATAATCTGTTATAGAGGAGAAATAAAACAGTGCAAAACCTACATCTTGGTTCATAATTATTTTTGATATTCTGAATCGTTTTGAGCATATATCACATGAAGTACCTGTTGTAAACATATTCTCGAGTGTTGATGATATGTACTGAAGGTTATCTTTTGATTGTTGCTGGTATACAGACTAGATTGAAGGGAAAAAGTGAAGAGTATTCAGTGAATGAAACATTTGCATAGTAACATTAAATTAAACGTATACCAGAAAGGTGCGACTTTAAAATATAAAAAAGGTTTCTACAAGCCTATAAGCCAATTTTGTTTCCGACGTACATATACAGTGTGCAGCACTATTTTTCAGTCTATGCTATATGCACTCAGTGCAGATCAGTAGCAAGTTTTCACATTAAAATGTGAGCAAATTGTATTCAGTGAAATCGAGTAAATAGTTCCAGGTTGCTTTTAATTTTGACAGCTGATATGGGCTTAAACCAAGGAACAGATAGTTGGAAAACAAGTATTTAGATCACGTAATTGAAGTAGGTAAAGTAAGACTTGAGTTATGAACTCATCAATGGAAAGTTGAGTGTCTGAGTCAATCAGCCAGACACTGGATTGAAAAGATTCTCCATATTAGGCACTTTAGGGAGTAAGATAATCATTTGAGTAGCTGAAGGTAATGGATGGTTGAGTAAATAAGTAAACTATCATTTGACTGACCGTAGTTTGGCAGACTAGTATTTATACTGGGTGATGATTGAAGGTGAAATGAAAACCTGGACTAGGCCGGATTCAAACCAGCTCCCATCGGGTTACCGGCCAGTAGTCAGCAGTCGGACCTCGTAGCCCAGTTGGTAGAGCACTGGACCAGTAACCCGGTGGTCGTTGGTTCGCATCTGGCCGCAGTCCAGATTTTTATTTCACCTTCAATCATCACCCAGTATAAATAAATAAATAAATGTAGAACAAGCAACAAACGTAATTGAAGCAGAATTCATTGAATTGAAATAGTTCCTTGAAAAACTAACCGGAGTTGATACCGTGTATAATAAGATGAAAAACAGTGATTGAAGACACTGACCACCATTTACCTTAGTGGTTAAGTCAAACCGAATTAATAATCCCGCGGAGTTCGATTACGAACACCTATTGGATTGTCGATGAGAGATTGACACCACTAAGGCCTTATTCAGTTGTCAGTAGACAGCGGAATAAGAAAATGCTTGCAATAGTGGAAGCATGTGCAATTAGAGTTCATAAACTGCGCCTATGTTTACAGTAAGAGATGGTAGTCACCCTGAATCTATTACGGTAGAATGTGTCCGAGTATTCTGAACTTCTATTATATCATATTATTATATTATTATTATTTGTGTCTTATTTTTTCCACTTTATTTCTTCCTATACTTCGCATATTTATCTCTTCACTATCATTCTGCTGTAATGTCATGCTCTCTTGAATTTCTTCGCTCACTAGTCAAATAACATATCTCCATCGTTATTATCATTGTTATCGTCCAACTTATTACTCTAGCCTCCTTTTGTTTTACACTGTTACCAAGCTTCGCGATTGATGTTCATTTATCTCGTTTCAAAACTATGTAATTCTTAATCTTTTCAATATTCATATTCTCACTGTTATCATTGTCACCGTTACTACTCACTCGTATTATTACTATTATAATCAATATTTTTGTTTACCTAACACCTATATTCTCCTTTTAGTGTTCACCTTTATCAAGCTACCTAGTTGACTATTAATTGTTCTGTTCAAAATGATGTAATCAATCCTTAGTTCTTCTTACTTTTCATTACCAATTTGTTACCTCCCTTCTAACGTAAGTAAATGATTCACTCCATGTTGCCATGCCTCATTCAATGCCTGATTCTGTATTGTAGGTGTATATAATTCTTTATTGCTCAACAGTATATAAAATCATGTATGTAGAGTAAAAAGCTGATGAGTTCTACTGAAATTTATGAATTCAATAAATCCTGCTTTAATTACTTTTTTTGCCTGTTTTAAATTTGCATAGGGAAATAAATGTTTTTAAATAAATGTAACTCATTAACTTCAAGTAAGTTTCATTTAGTATACAGTATAGTGAAAGTTTTTTTTCTAGAACTAAATTACATCACAATGATGTTACAATAATAATTCTATAACTAAATATGTATCTTTATACAATGGAGCTGCAATTTCATACAAAATAACACAGTTGGTAAAGCACTGGGTAGGTAATCCGGTAATTGCTGGTTCAAATCTGGCAGCGGTTCAAATTTTCATCTCATCTTTAATCATTACCCAGTACGAATTGTTAATTGTACATTTTAACTTTGTAAATGTAAAGCTAAACTTACTGATGCATTTTCACAACCTGATAAGCAAGTATCCTTGAAAGATTGTACAGTTAAACACTTTTGATTTGTAGTTGAAATTATAGGCAACAAAATCTGAAAGTGTAAAATATAATCGTGAAATAAATTAAATTTAGATAATGAAGGACAAATATCATGTGGTTGTATGTCTAAGAGATTCCAGAGGCTACAATTGAATAGAATTCAAGTCTAATGTAAACGAAATAAAGAAACTGATATCAGGTATGTAAGAAGGAAATAAAAACTACTAATTTGACGATATTTATCGTTCAATTAGTAATTTCTAAAAGTAAAAGTTGTTACAGGAATAAAATAGAGTCTCATGAAAAGTTTACTCCCAGCCTAGTCCCCCCTCCCAATAGACTGTATCTAAATGATTCAAACATGATAGATAAATAACATTTGAAAGTATCTCTTATCATTTCAGTTGCTCCTCTATTCTAAACCATGCTGATATACTGTGATCATGAACTAGCAGCTTGTGTGAATAACTAATTCCTTAGATATGACATTATATAATTCTCGGTGACTGGCAGAGGAAACCAGACCGCGCGTTTCATCTCATTTGGACTTATCAGCTGGATGTACCTGGATCTCAGTGAATGTTGTTCTTACTAAGGCTGGAACCCAGTACTCTTCGCTTCAAACGCCAAAGCGTTATTCACTAAGCCACTACAGGACGATAACCACCTCCTGTGGAACGGGTATCAGTTGTTGTTATGATGCTTGTAATTTCCCGTTGCTATACAGGGCCGAATCACTCGACATCTGTTGACAGATGAGATCCTACGTGGATGCCTCAATACTTCTGATTACTCATGGTTAGACTGAGATGGCTTTCGTGCCTCGATCTGACGTTTGAAGCCTCAGGGGGGATAACATCACTCCGTACTGAGGTGCAGCTAAATCCAGTTGTTGAGTCTCAAATAGGTCGAAACGCGCGTTCTGGGTCCCTCTGCTAGTCACCAAGATCAACATAACATCATGAATAATCAGCAGTATCGAGGCGTCCACATTGGAGCTCATCTACCAACAGAAATCGAGCAATTCGGCTCTGTATAACAACGGGAAATTACAAGTATCACAACAGTGACATAGCATTTAAACAGTGATCATTATCGTTTTGGTTGTATGTATTTCTTATACATGTCAGTGATGCAAATCGAGTATTTAAGACTACTGTGTTGCAATCACTTTGTGAGAATACAATAAATTACAATCATTGCTCGGTGTGCATCTTAACCCTTAAGAAGGTCATACTTCCCTATCATCTCACACGTGACTAAGTATACACATTAAAACTGACCTTGTCCACAATTGGAGAAATTCGCATCGTAAGAGTAAAGGTTAACCAATCAGCGAATTACATCATAATGAGGGCAGAAAATAGACTATTAGTCATACCGTAAAAAATGGTGAGACAATGACACGTTAAAATGTTTAGATCGATAAGAAAACAGGCATCACAATACACTCGAGAAATTTGCAACATTCTGGAAATTAATACTCGTCTAGTGCTCTTTTTCTTACAAAATAAACTATGAAGTAGGAAATTTTATTAACCCTTCTTGGATTTGAAGACAGAGTACTCTAAGAAATTTGAATGTATATTACATTTATGAAGAATCAGTTCATTCCCTGGGGTGTCATAGTATAGTGTGTTAGCTTATTATAACTACTGAGTTATTTACTCAAATGGAATATGGAGAATGTCAAATTATGAGCACATACCAACATCGAATTCTAGTCCTTCTACACAGATGTCTGCATACTTCGGTGGGAAAGACAGTGTTAAAAAGTGTTTTGGTGAAAAACCTAATGAAAAAATCTCTATCACGATTTATAATTGTTCGAAAAATTGGAAATGTTCATAACAAATAAACAGGAGGTGGCTATCCTACCTCATTGGCCTAGTGGATAACGCTATGGAGTTTGAAGCGATGGGTAGGAGGCTCGAGTCCAAGTGGGCATAATATCACTGACTGGGATGCAGGTATACTCAGCTGACGAGTCTTAAATAAGACAAAACGCACGTCCTCGATCCATAATGATAGCCACAACCAAATAAATTACCGTAATATTAAAAATTATTTAAAAAAATATAGCAAACCTCTAGTAATGAATCCATATGAATATCATGTGAAGACAAGCGATGAGGATAAACTTTGCAATATAAATCTTGTATAGCACGTTTTGTATTCGAAACAAGTTCATTCAATTTTGTTAAGTGACGACTGAAGATATCCGACAAAACAACAATTTTCTGATTAGTAGTAACTAAATTTAATACATGATCAGAAGTTGAAGATGAGGAGAAAAAAGCACCAAGATCACATATAATTTCTGCCTATAATGAAAAGATAGTGAGTGTGTATGTGAAAGTACTAATCGTTCGCACAGTTGGTGACAAACAGTAAAAAGAAATACTTTATGAGTAAATTAAATGATAATGAAAGCAAAATATCAATATTTGAAGAGTAATAAGTTGCATTAGTCCAAAGTGCCTAACGATAGTTACTTATTTACTTTGAGTTTTCCTCTTTATAGATAGTAGAGAATAAGTGAGTCAAAGTATGATTATAATTTGTGATAAAGCTTTGCATACAAACTCTCATGTGTAAGGCATTTCTTGAATGAAATCAATCTCCCATGTTTTAAGATCAGCCAAATAGAAGGGAAAAAAAATGCATTCCATAAGGATGACAGCAAATGCTATGCGAAGTTTATAGCTATTACACAACATGTATAAAATAACAAATTTTAAAAAGCGACTAGTCAGACTATTTCCTTACTAGATTTAACATTTTCTATAAATCTGGGAGCACTGAACAGCTGTTCCATCCAACTAGTATGGAACTCCTCAGCAGTACAGACTCACGACCCACCTAGGGATCGAACTCACAACCTTCAGGTTCCACGGCAAACGCATTAACCATTCAGCCACTAGTACGGTTTCCAGTGGTTACCAATTTCTAAATTCTGTCAATTCACGACATAGTGCGATTATCACCCAAGGTCTTCAGCTAGCATCCGCTTCACTTACGACTGGTTGATCCCACAGGTCACAGTCTCTCATTAGAGCTTCCTGATATCCATCTGGAAGCAAGTCACTAATGAGCATTATACAGTAATGTACTTTGAGATGAAAAATTGCGAACCACTGGAAACCGACCCAGTGGCTGAATGGTCGACGCGTTTGCCGTGAAACCTGAAGGTCGTGGGTGCGTACTGCTGAGGAGTCCCATACTAGTTGGACGAAACAGCTGTCCATCGCTCCCAGATTTTCAATGGTTCCCCAACTGATGTCAGTTCATGATGAATACTACTTCTAAATTAAAAATCTCCATTCACCTCAAAAATACATTACTTTCTATAAAATAAAAATAGGCACCTATGTTTTTGAACTACTACAAAGAGGCTCCACTGTATGTATATGGACAGCATCTGACGAATACCTACGATTCTTTGTCAGTACAACGTTATTACCAGTATATACTTTTCTTTCGATGATGACAATTTTCAACATATATTCAAACTTTTGGGATACATGTTTTTTATGAAGTGGAGAAATTCATTTGTAAGCTTAAAGATTAATATGAACGAGTGGAATTGATAAAAGTGCGATACTAAATCTTCAGTACACACACCGTAGAAGGATATTTAACGGAAATTACACCAAAAATTAATGAACTAACTTCAGTTAACTGTGGATGTTTTGTGGATAAACTACAACCCTCTCGTGTACAACAGTTAATCATGTTGTCAATACGCTGTTTCACGAGTGCCTTCAGTTGAATGACATCTTCAGATGAAGTGACAGACTGAATATCCAAAATACTGCAGAAGGAACGTTCATCTAATGCTGTATGAAGTTGAGGTTCATCCGGTAACACGATCTGTCGGTTAATAGCTGTGAGATGATCAATCCCCAAATTTTTAAATTGACTCAGAATACTTTCAATTTCTTGATATGTAGAAGACCTATTTCAAAGTAAATATATTACTGTCAGCATACTTTATTGTATTGAGACACAAATTGAACTTTATAAGTGAATAAGTAAACCACAATCCCTACTTTGAGTAACAAACTTATTACCTGATGTCTTTTATTTTCTCTCTTAACCTGTCTTTTCTATTTTCGCTTCATCTTCTAATCGACGGCAATATTTCCATTTCTCTACGCTTTTTCTATTGGTCTCATTGTTATAAATGTGGCGAATTAGATAGATACACAAAACTATCATATCTTTACTGGTTTCTAGTAATCGATCTGTATACTCACTGTTTCCAAGGCTCTCGTCTTAGGGAATCTTTGTTGCTTCTTTCTACCTATTCGACCGACACCAGTGATTGAAGTTAGGTGATTCAGTTAGATTCTTTCATCCCTCATCAAAACTTTAGTATTTCTGAGACATAGAAGGATAAAAGCATTTATTACTACTTCACTTTCGAGTACAAATAAGTTATATTTTGATCAGAAAGAACTATTTGGATAAAGTGGTCATGAAGAGGTGCAATTAATGTAGCTGTCCATTCCTTGGTGGTTAACACTGATAGTTTATCGATTAAGTTTTGCAATGTGGTCATAAAGTGAAGTGATACAACATAGCGGAGCACTGTATTTCAATGTTGGAAACCAGTCAACAGAGCTTTAGACTATATCTTAGCTTAAACTTCTCGCGCGCGATATCAGTGGAAAGTACCTATATCGAAGTTGAACAGTTTTTACTTAGACTTACACTGACAAAACGTTAATCAGAAATAGGTTAAATGTCGATTTTTTAACATTGTGATGAAAATGCTTTTAAATGCAACATTTTCGATCGAAGACATGTACTTATACACCTTCGGATTGGCTTAGTTCAAAAAGTAGTAGTAAATTACAGTACCTTCCAAGAAAATTTGAGAAAACCTGTAATGATGCTTTGTAATCACCTTGTACTAGCGCTAAGTCAAGTCCTTGAATGTTTTCCCAACATGACCACCAGTTTCCATAGTGAACAGGCTACCAAAATATACAGACTGAATTTTTATTTGAATACGCATATCAATTGAGTAATTACAAATGATATCAGAATAACAACTGAAGTGCAATTATACAACAATTCGCCACATTTTATAACAGCACCAACAGACACAGTCACCAATGAAGCATAGAATATGAAGGCTGAACGCTTCATCGTTCACAGCTTTACAGTACCTTTTTCGATGAAATGGAATATTTACCAAAAATCGCTTTAAGGTTTTTTTTGTAACCTCACCAATCAGTTTTTGCTTACACATTAACAGAAATTCCTACATTTTTTTTGCCGTTCACAAGCAAAAATCAATTGGTTAGTTATTTATTAGGAATTAAAAATTGTAATTTGCATGTATAAATATAGAAGTAACGAATGATTATATCATTTCATAGAAGTTAACAACTACTCATTGATTTCTGTTAGCTGAAGTCGAGATATAATTCATCTATAAACTGAGTATTGTCCAGTCTATGATTAGGATAAGACATTTATTATCAAAGAAGTATATCGAAATGATATAGAAAAGATAATTACATCATAATTTGAAATAAATTACCTGAACTATTTAGAATTTCAGTTAAATTACTAATTAAAGTTTCAGCTTGTACACTCAGTTGAGTTAATTTGCCTAAAGATGTATGCATTCGAGCAAGCATAAATCTCAGGATCTGAGTCAATGCAGTATCTACACCAGAAGCATTTATACCAGTAACTAGGGATTGTGCAGCTGTTTGATTTGTCCAAACATGTAATGTTCCAGATGGTGTAGATATATGAGACCCTCTTGAGTGGGGTTTATGACTACATGAAGTATTAGCTGTTAACTGTGATATAATTTCTTCACCAAGAGCTAAGTAATAACGAAGATGAAGTAACGACCAATGTATACACTTTGTTGTGTTATCATATCGACTGCAAACGCAAAGCCACCTAAGTGCATGACGCAGCTAAAGGGATATAAAAAAAAATACAACAAAGAAAATAAGATAGAAAGATATGCAAATGTTAGTAAAGTAGTTGCTCTAGCAACAAAGCTAGATATAACCATTAACTGCTTTTTATGCTCGCTTTATTAAGAGGGCATACTTTTAAACCAGTTTCTAAGTGAAGTACTTTTCAAGAAAGTTACTATATGATAACAGAATGTACTATAACTGTTAAGAGTTTGCAAACTTGTGTACAGTAGCCTAGCCGTGTTAAAGTAACACAGGTTTCCTGAGCTGCAACAGTAACAGATAAACTTATCTTAGAATGTTATGCTTATTTTTGGGTAGAGTGAACAGTGTCAACACAAATGATGAACCTTCGTATAAAACCAACATAGGACGCCTGTGTGAGGCAAGGAGTACAATTATGCAGTCTACAGTAAACTGAATATTGTACAAATATGTAGAACAAGCTTATAGTCTTTAATCAATGATAAACTTGGAGAAGAAATATTACGTTAAAGTATTAGTCTAAAAATATTCCCACTTCTCAACTAACAAATTCTGGTACTACTAAGGTCCATCCAAGGAACTTTCCTCATTGCGAGCATATGACCGAGATAAAATTGGATGAAAGCTAACAACACACATGTTTCATGTGAAACATGTATATGTTCATGTCTATAGAGTGGTGTGGGTTGTATATCCTTCTAACTTATGTCCACCTAGACCTACATTAGTAACTGATCACTTCGGAGATGCAAGATCTGACACTGTTATACTGGTTTAGGGATTAGAACTCAAGTCAAAAGTTAGAGTTGTGATCCTACACGAAAATTACCTACTTCGGTACGGAGATTTGTAAAGTTTTTCAGTCACTGTAAAAATCATGGGACAGAATTTACAATTACTTTAAAGCGCCGATCAAACTTACTGTATTATAAACTTTATACTTAGTTGAGCAAATTCTTATTGTTATCATTTTTACATGTGACCAGTATTATACTGTTATTATTTCCAGATTTGTCTTCAGGTGCTGGTATTGTTAACATGAATATGCAAGCAGTTGATGAACAAATATAGAACTCCGTAGTCTGACCTATACATACAGTATGTCAGAGACAAGCGTAAAATATCCTAGTTAACTGCCTTCGACAACTTTCCTATCATTGAGCTTAAGAAAATACGTTTACTGTCCAATTGTCGGAGAACGCCGTGGTGTTGATGTCACACTAAATGCTTGAGCCAAAGCTCCATTAGCGAATTTAAACCCATCTGCGTTGTTGGGATAGAATGTTCCGTTAAAAATTATCTCTTCGGAATCTTAGCCTGTAGTACAACAGACTGCAACCTGGATGCTGCTAAGCATGAATGAATTGAGTAGCTTCAATTGAATGCAGCAAGTATATACGGTATTGTTAGTTCGAGATGTGCATATCGGATACACAGATACAGAGGGAAGCTGCTTAGATGGTCAATGAGGATTTGTCCATCCAGTCCAGAAGCTTCGAGCAGTTTCTAACCAGCACCAACTTCTGACAACACCGTCGTCATTGAGCTATTTGGGGCATTTCGCTTACTACTCAAGTTTAGACTTTAACAGAGTATACTGGAATTAGCTAACAATGGTCTGGGTGTTTTAAGGACTGTGGTTTTTCCTGGAGCACTTCTATTCTCCTATTAGGCTTTAGTGTAGGGTTTCGATGGTGGTCAAAATCGTTGTCTTAAACAGGTGGGCTTAAGGAAATTGGCTGCTCGTAGCACTGCAGCTAAATACTCAACCAAGTCAAACTTAAGACTAGCTGTCCACCCTCTTGAAAGTATAGATGAGGATTGGCATTACTCACTCGCAAGATGTTATGGGAATGGGAAGTTGTTTGCAGTTTCGAATAAAGTTCTGCTACAAAATACTGGGTCTATGCAAATTACTATTGCAGCAAACAGTAAGCGTAAATGATATGTGTAAACCCTTTATGCGGAAGATCACGTAGCAATGACAAAAGGAACGCGATGCTTGGTGGCTAGAACACACAAGTGAGATATGAGGAGTGAAGACTTTTTCAAGTAGTTGAAAGCTGTTTTAGCTGATCTGAGAATATTTCGAAAAGCTGCTGTAAGCCTACTTGCTCCAACAGCATCGACTTTACTGGCTTGTGTTACATGGTTGATCATAACCTAACGAAGTGGACGGTTAGGAGGAACTCCAAGTACTGTGACGGTCAAAAGAGTGATTCAAACAACTTTATTAACCCATCACCTTGTTTAAAGGATGGAAGAGTGTAGTCAACGAAGGTATGACAGGCTGCAAATTTTCCATCACACTGTTTACATCGTTAAAAAGAACCTCCTTTACATGCACGACAGCCACTGGGTAGTAAGTTACCTACCTACCAGTTGTATCTAAGATACTGTCTGCTTTCGGAAACGCGTGGAAAGCCTACCCATGAAAAGCAGACCGAGTTTCGTTCAGGCCGTGGATTCAATGATCACACGACCACCGTCCATCGAATCCTCGAACAAGGCCAAAAGTGTTGCAGGTGAACGGTCATTGCAGTTCTTGATGACATACGACAGTTGTGAATGAGATGCATGCTAGTGGTACAGACATGACGCCAAGTGAAGAAGATTTGGACTCTGAGTTTACGAAACATATCTTCATACTCTGAGGCAAAATGCAGGCGACTCAAAACACGCTTCATCTGTTGGTCATTAAAGTTCATATATATGATATGAGGACAGATAATGACGGATATTATTCTAACCCAGTGTCCTAGTGGTAGCAAGCTCACCACGAAACCAACGATCCCAGCTTTCATCCCTCGCCCAGTTATGGGTGAATATTTTTAAGGCGTCACATAATGGGACATAAAGAACTGTCCAGTGTTCCTAGGTTTTCAACGATGCTTCAAACTAATCAATCTCGGCAAGCCGCCAACTAAGTATGGTGCGTTCTACGTCGTTGAAGTGCCGATTACTTTTACAGTATTTGCAGGAACCAGTGCCTGCATCAATCCTTAGCAGTGAACCATTGAGTAGTTGGAAAGTTGATAGGTATCTTAATAGCTATGTTAGCCGGCGGAGGTATGACAGATGAGATTTACGATCGTAATTCAAGGAGTATATTGGAAAAGTTCAATTTGGGTTACTTTGAATGTCAGTTTGAAGCTAATATGGGTGCAAAAGATCGAGAGTACAATGTGCTGCTTCAAGATTTTTAGCTCTATTTCTGTGAAATTTAATCTCTCAAAGTCAAGGAAGTTTAACAACTTTACGCATGCAGTCACCTGTGTCTCTGTAGTACTGCTTACACTCGATGGAAACACTTTTTAAGTAATCCTGATCTACAATAGCACATGCTTGAGTGTGGAGATCGCTACTCATTACATAGTAGTGCTTCTATGTGTGGTAACTTTACCTTTATTTCAATGGATTTTAATACAGTTAATGATTAGATCACATCCTGTAGTTTGTTTGGTTGAGATAAGATGGTTTTAATACCCTTATATACAATAACACACCTCGCATACCCATTCGTGGTATTCCTAAGGTAGTAACTTTTTACGGAAGGTAGATAGATACTTCCTAGAAAATCCCCACGAAACAGATTTGAGACAATTTTTTTCCTAGCTTGTGAAAGAAATACTATTCTTGAGATGAATGGGAATTTATAATTTAGAAGTAGTATTCATCATGAACTGAAATCAGTTGGGGAACCATTGAAAATATGGGAGCAATGGACAGCTGTTTCGTCCAACTAGTATGGGACTCCTCAGCAGTACGCACCCACGACCCGGTTAGGGGTCGAACTCACGACCTTCAGGTTTCACAGCAAACGGGTTAACTATTCAGCCACTGGGACGGTTTCCAGTGGTTCACAATTTCCAAATTCTGTCAATTCATGACAGAAACCTGAAGGTCCCGAGTTAGATTCCTAACCGGGTCGTGGGTGCGTACTGCTGAGGAGTCCCATACTAGGATGGAACAGCTGTCCAGTGCTCCCAGATTTTTAATGGTTCCTCAACTGATGTCAGTTCATGGTGAATACTACTTCTAAATACTATTCTCTCAATAAAAATCGAATGGTATTGGCAAATGGTTAAGAAGTCACTAGTGTATAACACAACAAACTAGAAATCTAAAGGCATACACGATGTCCATCTGTTAATCCAACTACAAATGACCTAGTGGTTAAGTAGAACGAGTTTAGGTTTAAAGTTACATAAATTGCTACGAACATTAAATATTATTATTAACACAAAACATTACCAGCTGACAATAGTATCACTATAAGTATCACGTTATACGACATAAACTTACAAGGTCAAGAGAATTCCATTCCGGTATACGATACACATACACAGGGAATTCACTTCGTAATTCTTCTAGTAAATAATCAAGAAGGAGTAGGGCTTGATCATCTGCCGACAATAGATGAAAATTCTTGGAAAGGTAATCTGAACTTAAACCAGTATTGGTCAAATGGTCTGATAGGCTAAATGTTGTAGAAATACTTCGAGTTGCGTTCATTAAGATTAAATTACAAAGTAAGTTAATAGTATCCCGAGCTGATTGTTGCCATATTGTTAACTGATTCAATAATCGTTTGATTAACTGCACTGATGAATCTTCAAAGAGATTAAGAGGATGCTGTTGCTCACAGGCTTCTATAAGACGTATCATATCATATTCACGAGGACTGAAATATTTAAACAAATACATATAAAAATCAATTAGTTTAGTGAATTCATCTTCTAGAGTATTCTTTTTGTACTGATTGATAAAAAATTAGATTAGTATTTCGATATTAGATATCTTTTATTTGTTGTAGCGCACAATGATACAGTAGTATTAACTGGATGACGTTAGATTAGTATTCAAATAAACAAGGGTGAAAAGCATACATAAAAAGGAGGATCGAATCACCTACAGGAGAATAAACTATGTTCCTGTTTAATTGTATTTTCTCATTTAACCCAGATTCTTTCAACTTCTTATCTAAGCACAAAATCAGTAATGATTCATGAAAAATAATCAATCAATTCGGTAACTGATTAAATATGAACACAAAGATATATCAGAAATACACGCTGCTTAACTGAGAACCCATTGAAATTTGAGATTAAAGGTATCCACCTTCTTTAGGAACAAAGAGACATAAGATAATTCAAAACACCATTTCAATCTTGAAAGATTTACCGTTTGTAGATAGATCTATAAAAAAAAATGCGGTCTGCACTTCTATTGGTTCAATAGTAGTGGCATAACTTTTAATAGGTTCGATTTATGTATATAACTGACGAAGAAACCCAATGAAAGCGGAATTTCAACACTGCACTATACGATACTGCTATACTAATATCACTTATGATTTAGAAACAGTTGATTCTCTACGTTCTGCATAGACACAGGTGATCGTGATAAAAGAAAACCACGAATCATCGCTGGCAATGGACCATGTGAGACAAGAGAACTGTAGACATTCAGATACGGTTAATGAACGAAAACTATAACACCTAAAGAAAAGTAGGTATATTTTGTAAAACCTGTTCAAAGTCTCGTTAAAGTTATCTAAGTGAAAACTAAGTTGATTATTACACCACTACCATTACAAATTAAGAATGAGATACAGAAAAATATGTGGATGTCAAGTAGATTTAACAAATTAATAATTTGATTAATAAGGTAAAAAGTAAATACGATTGACATAATATGAACAAAATGTGATATCATAAATATGTTCCACTTACTTATTGACATCAAGTTCATGATTGAGAACCACATACCCTTGATTAGAAGGTACTTTGATAATTCTAGTTGAAGTTGGGCATGTGTTATTTGAAGAAGTGGCTACACTAAAAGTGGCAGGACGTCGAGTTTGAAATCGTACAGCTTCGATAGTTGATGAAGATAAAGGTATAGATGGATTCCTAAATCTATTACAGTTTCCTGTACCGATAATAGATGACTTCAATCTGGCACATATTTGTTGAAGATGTTTACCACGATCTAGCATTGATTGAGCTTCATCATAGATTTCATCAGTATGGTATCCAGCTGTGTAACCTTCAGTCAACTTCATCTAAATATTTATTACAATGAATAAAAGGGAAGATTAGATTAGATGTTAGGAAATTAGCTGTAAAAATGTGAAACTAAGGAATGCTGCTTTTTTTCAGAGAGCAACAAGTCATATATAAACCTTACTGTAAATTGTTCATTTCATTTGCACTATAAAAGACTATCCACTGAATGAAAATGAATAATAATTAAGGCTATCTTTTAAGATACAATGTCAGCAGAGATCATATTTTATGATTTCAGCAACTTCTATATCAAAAATCCAAAATAAATTTAATGCTTGCCTAATGTTTAATCATCAATTCTGATCCATATAATAAATATAAGCCAGATGATTCAAATCATTCGCTTTGTAAAGAATAAATTGAGCTCATAAAGTCATCAGGTGTAACGAGTTCTGACTCATTTATGCCAACAGTTCAATTGAATAGAAGATTAGTTTACGCTTGGTCTTATTACCGCTATGAGCAATTCAAGAACAAAATAACCCTGTCAGTGAGTAAATGTCTTGTACACTGTCGGTTGTTTCAGTGAACGTCGAAATGGAATAAGAAGTGGATTGAACAATCATAGAATATGAAAGTGTCAAACGTCTTTACAAAAAGAGTTTTTAATGACATGTCCAAAATTCCACAGCAAATACGATTATCTTAGGTAATAGATTGCTGGTAACACATCATTAAAGGTCAGATAAAACAGTTAATCCAGTAAAATATTCTTCTGATCTGATAATTATGATAAGACATACTGCAACAGGTTTATTACAAGATGAAAGCTGAAAGTTGCAGAAGTACTGAATAACAGAAATCCTAGATAAAGAAGTGGTAGGTAGCGAATTTTGAAATAACAAAGAAGGTATTTCTTCTTTCTGTAATTAACTTTTGTTTGTCATTAAAGAATCCTATTGCTACTCTTTCCCCATCCGACTAAGAATAAACCAGTAGACGCCTCAATACATCTCTCTATAACGTAGTCTCTTGTCATAGAAGTTATAAGTAATTGGGAAACGTAATTGCGAGGTTGAACGAGATTCCGACTTAGTCTTCAGTATCTAGTTTACAATACAAAATGGTTGGTAAACAACAGTGGATGTAAATACGATCAACCATATTTACCAAAGATGAGACACTCTCATAACTAAGATTCATGTTTGTGTAGATGTCATCCAACTGCAGAGGTAGGAACAGTATTTTGTAAGAAATTCATTAAGTCAACTCAATAAACACCTGAAACTAGATGGAAGTTACCATATGGAGGAAAAATTATCATCCAGTAGTACAGGTCCATGCTGTGAACTACGACAATTTCACTGCATAACGACTAAGAATGCTACTTGAATTTACAGACTACAGAAGAAAAGATTGAGATTAGAAACTATGAGGTAATAATCGATCAATTAACACACAAACTATCCTAATCATTGGAACTCAACTGTTATGAACAGCAAATTAATTAAATAATGAAAACTTATTCTCATAAATGTAGCCAAAAAAAAAGTTATTAGGACACTGGATAATTTAAATATATCTGGTCAAGTACCTGCAACTCCTCGAGAGTGATAGTATTCAAAGTTGAATTATTGGATTGTGTATCAGAAGTTGTATCTTGTTTGTCAACAGGTTCTTTCTTAATAAAATGATTATTTAAAGAGCTTGAATCATTGGGTTGAATTAAAACTGATAACTGATTTTTCCATGAATAAAAGTGAGCTAGACGTTCAGCTAAACATTGTTCCAAATTGGATAGTTCATCGATTGAATAGTGATAGTTAAGTACGAAGACTGAATGTGGACACTTATCGCACAATTCAGAGACATGTTTCAGACAAACCATGTGACTAGGAGGTCGTCTTTCTTCTGTAGAAGAAAAACAGTCCAAAATAAATTTCTAAGCAATGTATCAATAAAAGTTACTGGCAAGAATACAAGTCATTGCAAGAGAAATGTACAATAACCTGTAACGAATGTAGCGTATTAACAAAAAATCCCTAAAGAGTCCCCAAAAAAGTTTTACGTTAGCTAAAAAACGCACTACTGCCAACAAGACGTACGGGAATATGATTTTTGAAAACTGAAGCGTATAACACACTCCATATTTCTTGTTTATCAATTTTTTACAAAGATTCACTGCAAATCACACTAAGACAATTCAACATAGACCACCATCAGCTCAAATAGACACAATTTAAAGCAGCACACAAAGTGAATAGAGGAATAAAATTAAAGTAGACAGTAGTTTGTGAAAGGAGACAGAATATATAAATGAAAGTAATTGGCAACACTTGAAATTTCATAGGAAAGTAAAGAATATCTACCGATATGCCATAGACACCACATTTGAAGGCAAACCATAAAAAATCTTCAACCACTGACTTTTATCAGCTTCAGAATTTTACCTGGTCAATACCAACAGTCAGATCACATGCATTGGCACTACCTTCTCGTCTGCGAACTAATGAGTCAGTCAATGCTAACGTGCAACCAGACATTACTCCCAAACAATACAACTTGCAAAACCTTGACATAAGCACATCGAGGTAGAAGGTACAAAGACATAAGATAGGGACACTAAGAAGAAAACAACTAACAGTAATAATAGTTGCAAGAGGCGGAACAATAACAGTATTCGGTAAGACGACTAATATGCACCAGTGAACAACACGGCAGAGAGTCTCCAACCACCGATTTCCGCTGCTACTTAAGTGGAGCTGTGGTTCGTTGGTTCGGGAAATGACTTCCAACCAATAAGTCACGGGTTCAAGCACCATTCCCAATTGCCAAGGTTTATGGAGCCGGGTAGTACCACCAGGCTTCCCTCCCCCCCTCCAGGTGTGGCTCATTGCCTACTACACGAATATGCACAAGGTTGTTGAGTGCATTTTAATTCATTCTCGTTGTCATTTGAACCCTATCCAGAGGGGTTTATATTTCCCTACAAAGCTCAGACTTACTATCTGAAACTTCATGGACTGACACTGTTTTATTCTCCAGGCTGTTGAATGTTTTCCAACCTAAAAACCACTTCAGCTAACATTATGCGACGAGGCAGATGGGGATTAGGCATGTGCAACACATATCCCACCTATCTACGTCAATAAAGATTTACAACCTCCTTATCTGACTTGAACCCTTTCACTCAGAACTCTTCAACAGGTTTCTATGTTGGTTCTACGGCTCACAACCTATCTCCTGATAGTCAGATGACAAAGGGGAAGCTCACATAAGCACGTCCATGATAAAGTTAAATATAAATTGAGACAGTAAACATCTTTGGCTAAGGCCGCTCAACGTGTGAAAATCACGTGATACCTCATCACCAGGCTTTAACACGTACACAGGTGTTCGACCATAAAACCTTCAGTCGATTAATGCGCATACCGGCAGCATTTTGAGTGAGAGACACTGTAATAAAAACTAATCATCAATGAAGTCAAGTGGTGCATTCAAGTCAAGAAATACAGCTCGGGCCGGTAAGTGTGCCTGCTTCCCAAGATCTAGCAGAGTTTGAAGAATTGGTTGATGAGGTGGTCAGGGTCAATCGGTAAGAGGCCCTGAACCTGCGTTTTGTGCCTGCTGACACTTGCTAACAAGAGATTGATGTCCACCGAGAGATTGGAACGCACTTTGCCCAGGGCTGCGGTCCGAGATCTTACCACTGAGTCATGCAAGCCTGAATAGCGAAAAACTTACTTCCAAGGCTTCCTGCTGAATGACTCCTAATATCTGAGATCAAGCAAAGTGTACAATGATGTTAAATCTTCTAGCACTAAGAAAATGATCGATAGGATTCTTTCAGTAGTTCGAACTAGACAATATGAAGTAGGTTACCCTCCAATGACCAATAAATGTACACCTAACCTTACTGTGGCTGATATCACGCGTAGAGGTAGATGTTGGGTCAGTATGTTGTCTACATTCCCTCCAAGGAGTAAGTCAAGCTCTCAGAGTTTGGACGTACGTAACGTTGTATCCCCCAGAACGTCTATAACAAAGTTAAGTAGGACTGGTAACAGTTGATATTCTTGGTGGAAACTACCTATTGTCAACATGTTAGACGGAAATCCTTCGCAAATCCCAACGCAAAAGACAGAGAACCGTCTCCTCATTGGAAAAAAACATATAGTAAATCTGTTTAACAACTGTATTCTTAACTGCATTATGAACAGCAGATAAAAACCCAATAAATGACTTGGAACAAAGTTTAATAATAGCAGTTCCACATTTATGTGGGACTGCGGTTTAACATGGAAAGTTGAGGACAAAACAGGTGACATACCTTCGCTGGACTCATTCATAGATAACTGGTCGGATATCCCGCGTTTCCGTGTAGTTGGATTAGGGCTGTTTGACGAATGATCGGAAGTGCTCCCAATATTTTCTTTGATAGTATTCGACTCCTCAACACATGAACAACTAACTCCAGATAAGAAAAGAGTAGTTAGGCAAAAATCACAAACACGGGCATCATCTGGCATTTCATCAAACCTCACTTTCTTTGAATTGGTTACACCATTTTTGCTGACCAACTCACGCAATCGACGTTCTTCTTTGAGTACAGCGGTAAACTCCTGATGTACAATAGCGACAGCACCTATATCTAAACCTGAAGTAGAACAACCAGGAGGTAGCTTTTCCCGGATATCGGAAGTTAGATTGTCTGGATCTTCATGAACTGAAGAAGATGGTGTAATAGGATTTGTTATGGTTAATACATCTTCTGGCAAAACATTTCCTACAGCTACTTCAGCAAGTGTACATAGTAGTTCATCGTTTGAAAACACACAGTGCCTCTTAATTTCAGCATAATGTTCAATGCAAGCACGACCGATTGGAAGCTAATAAGATGCAAAACATAGATAGATTAGTGACCTATCATATGGTAAATTAAAAAGGATGAACATTTACAGCAACAAAAATTTGCTTAAAAAAGTATCACGTGACCGGCCTCAGGTAGATGTCATTGAACGTCTTTTATCAGATACTATGGACCAAGAATATTTATCCCGTTTCTTCTTCAGTTATATGAGGAGTGAGATTTCCACAGCACGGTGATTCAAGGCTATTAATGAATAGCACTTTCATTATGGGGTTACTTAATTTGTTTCCATTTCTTTCCATTAACAGTTCCATAAAAGTATTTTCAAATCTTTCTCTTACTGAATATAGCACCAACGACTAAAGCATCTTCAATACAAGGGTCAAAAAAGGTTAGGTGCCCATGAATTAAATCCACTGTTCCGTAGCTATTTACACTTGAAATGATAACTAGTGATAAGTATTTTACCCCATGTATTTTATTGGATGCAATGAGGCGGTCCTTCTTGTCTTTAGCACAGAAGAGTTTTGAAACCTCCATTATCTGTGTTGAATAAGTCAAAAACTGATGTTTTGAGTGGTTTTACATGGTTAGACTACATCTAAATATACAAAAAACACTAATATTCAGCTCCGACTATAGAACCTTTGAAGTAACCTTCCTGATCTTATGGAACAATATTTTAATCTGAATACTGAAAATTACAAAGCCCTACACAACTTGTTTCTTGCAATTCATTCAGATGTGTACAAAGCAGTGATCTGAGTCCGTGTGCTTTCCTAGGAAAAGAGCAGTAATCTACTCTTAAGAAAAATAAAGAAAATCTAGTGCATTTTACAAACTAACCAAGAAGGGTTAGGGGGTTTGAAGTGGAGTGACAAGATTTATCTGCAAAGCAGGAACGCAGTACAGTAAAATGCTGGTTGTTCACATGAAGGATTATTGTAGTACAAACTCAACTCTATTACAACGTACGTCATTCACATTATGAAGATAGCCGATTTTAGCTTTATCATAAACAAACCAGATTCCCATGCATGCATGATAAGACCTCAAGGAACAGTCATGGAAATTTAACTGCTTCTATCGAGCTAGTTACATTGGACGTACGATGACAGGTCCATAGTTGAATTTCGGAGCATCACCCATTATGGTTGAACTAAGGGCAGATTAGAACAATAAAGAGCTCTAAGCTGGTACACTTAGTTGACACGGGATATCGAGTGGATATTAAAAAAGCATTTAAAATTACTCATCGCATACCAAACTAATTATCACACAGACTACGTATTTGGTTACTTCAAACGGCAGAGATTACAATCCACCTTTACAAACTTGACCTTTGTATTCAAAAGAACTTTGTTAAACCACTTTCATTACCGTGGCCATTAACATGATGTAACTGTTAGTATTAACTTGAACACCTCTCATCCCGTCTTGCTCTATCAATATTCATTTGCTTTCTTATTCGTATGTAATTATTTATTGTTTAAGACTGACTACTCGAAAAAAAACATTTACTTTACTTTACCAGTTATTATCCTGTTTTCCCAAGAATAACCTGTTTCATATTATTACAATTACCACTTTTAGTCCCACATAATTGCTCTGTTGATTATTTGCACCTTAATTTCTCGCACTCATCATCTTCATGAATTAACTAAGATCTGTAACTATTGTTTGTTAACTCCCACTAGTTGACTGGTGTCTTGATTGAGTTGTGAATCTGTGTAAATTAGTGTAGAGCTAAAGACGAAGATCTAATTGAAAATACACATATATTTCTTCGCACAATCAGTCTTTTTTCAAAACGTCTAAATGGGAATTTTCAATGTTCTCAAGTCAAATGTCCACTGTGATTGACAAGACCTCCTCAACAAGACAGAAGAGGAAAACTATTTCTTCAATACATGGATTAACGTTGTAACAGAAGACTCATCCATAGACCTAGAGTGCGTAGGTGGAATAGTCCTGTTAGATGAAAAATTCGACACACTGAGTGGCAATTTGAGAATGTCTGGGATATGTTTCTCACCACACAAACTGCCTCATCCGATTGTAGGAAGTCAAGTGATTGACCCTTTCACTCGCTCAGAGGTCAGATCGTTCCTGATAGGTTAATTGCCAACGAAATCCCCGAGCTAATACAAAAGTCCTGATTGGTTTTCGTCAACTTACGCCTTCTATTGGGACATTGTGATACCCAATTGCCTATTTAGAGTCATGTGTACTACGCTAGAGTTTGCTGTATTATACCGTATAGCTATGAAATATGGTCATTAAAAGTAGAGGACATGAGACCGCCACTGCCGTCCTAACATTTCTCGACTTAGATGGTGGGCATGGTATCATATATATTTAATTACTGTCTATTTCGTCGCATAATTTTAGGCGAAGTAGATCTAGGCTATAAGGTCAATGGGAGCAGGAATAAAACACGGCGCCAGCCCATAAAGTCTTTGACTCTCAGTCTGAGCCATCTAGGGGAATGTGAACTTTGAAGTTGAGATCCATGGAACACTCAAAATCGGTGGTTGGAGAACCTTGGCGACATGGCTTAGAAACCATCTAAATGGTGCAGATGCACCTACACATTATCTTCGTTTCCATCGTTACATCGAATTTTATGTTCGTTTCCCTCCTCCTTGTTCTCTTTTTACAACTTGCTAATACTGTTGACCACCTTTTCCTTTATTTCTCTATCATTCATCCATATGCCAATTATTATGAGGTGCAACTACTACGCAATACTGTCGGATTTGACGTTAATGCTGATTGGTTCAAATACGCGTATCCTAGTATGAGAGCAGCTAAGTACATTTGCTTGGGAAAAAGCCCTTTTCTAGCTTTGGTCAAGGACGAGAATGAGTAAAGTGAATCTAGAAAAGTTGTCTTATCTTTCCTGGAGAATAGCAGATATACTCTTCTGAATATAGGCATTTTAATCTCCAATTAGTAGCAGCTGGTAGATTGCGACAGACATGGCACTATGAAAACTATAAATGGATAGTGCCTATAATTTTGTTACAATTTATCTAGTTAAAGCTTAAGTGGAATAATAAGGTTGTTCTTCCAACTGTGGCCACATTACAGTCAGACAGAAAAACAATTAGAACAATAACGAACTCTGTACAAACCTAAAGGAGTGAAAAGTGCTGGATTGTATTGGATTACCTCCTAACGTTGGTGCAGAATGAATATGTACATTGAGATAATAAGTGAAGTTTAATGAAGGCACTGTAAGGAAATGCACTCAGTAGTATAATTGACTATACAGGGTTACAATATGTGTAGGTTATGCAAAAGTACATTTTCTCAAGGAAATCACTAGTCACATTTTTTCAATCCAACTTCAAGTTTTCTTCCAATACTTTTATTCATTTCTTTTCTTTTTTTTATTTATTAAGTACTACTGTTCCTGTTCCCTTCATTCTGTTGTTTGCATGTGGCCATTTGAGCTGAAAATCTACTACGCTAGTTCATATAATTTTTGTTAGCATGTCTGACGAAATAGTCATTCTGCAATTTGATCCCATACAGTCCTCACATAATCATACATCGAAAATGCAGATTTCAAAGAAAAGTTCTCTTTGAGACAACTTCATTTTCGAAAGCTGTTGCAAAGAGAAATTTTCTACGCTGAAATCATTGTTTTATGATTTTAATGTGGATTATAAATTAAAGCCTACATTTAGGTACGATGATTAACAAGATAATTAAGCTGATATATCTAAAATGTTGTAATAACTAATCAAATAAAATATCATGTATACATATCCCATACAAACTTTTTCATACATAATGTGGCAATCTTTGCAAGTTGATTAAATGAACTTACCCAGTCAGGTAGACATATATTGACAGCTTCAGCAAAATTGAAGCCTTGGTTAAATCCAGCATGATATGCTCGTGGAAATGTAACGACAAACTCACCACAGTGTTGATCAGTTCGATAAATTGGTACACCTTCAGCTTGTAAAATATTGGGATTAACATTGGTTGTGATATGGTGTAACAAATCCGGTGCTTGATCAAAAAGCTCTGAAGCATGTTTTCTCATAGCACGTTCAAAATCATCAGCATGTAAACGTGATACACCATACCACGTTTTTGGTTCTCCCCTATTTCAAGTTCCATAGAAATAATGAGTTATAAAAAAAATTATTGTTAACATAGCGTAATTTAATTTGAATTTTATGTTAACCGTTTGCATAATAGAACAATTACAGTGATTTCCCTAAATGAGGTGGTCAATCGTAAAACAAACTAGATAGGATCGAAAAACAATTAGGTTAACTCTAAGAAATATCATCAACACGACATTGGATTGCATCTTTCGCTGACCATTCTATACGATCCAAATGAATTTCGTCTGCATGATAATGTTTGTCTAATTTTTTTTCAAAAGTTTATCTACAAGAAGGGCACGAACTTTACGAACAAATGTGAACAACAATCAATTGACCTTCACGGATGTCATGACTGAACTTGAAATGCCATATTAGGTCTGTAAGAGCATGGGAACTGCTAGAGAAGTTCTTTTTACTACCTTCACATAACAAAGGTATCTCTATAAAATCGAAAGGTCTAAAATGAGTGCAAAGAAGTGTTGCAGAGATAAGGTGTTTATTTAAGGAAGTTCAAACGCTTTGATGCCATACACGTAGTGCACATACGCGCTCAAGGATCTAGACGGGAGTAATGATTGTCGAAGCTCCTTTAGTAAATGAAGAACATGGAACTAATGACGCTGCTACACCACCTTAGACATAAAACGTGAAGTAGAAAAATCGAAAAGTAAACTTCTAAATGAACCACTGGAAGGCTGAAAAGTACTAGGGTCTAAGTAAAACTAACAGATAACACTACAATCAAGAACTTGGAAAACACAACTATCAATCTCCTCATCAATCATGAACGCATCTATTTTGCTTTCCTTAAATCAGTGGTTTTTCTCTTTTCAAAAGTAGATTTTAAAATTTTATTTTTATTATTTTCATTCTTAACTTCATCACTGTGTAGCTTAGCAACTTCCTTCGATGACATAGCTTGTTCGTCTTTATCGTCGATTGGACCGAACTGATAGGCTACCATTGGCCAGTTCCTAGCCACTACCCATCAATACTATTTACTTTGGATGAGGTTGACTGGCTTAACAATTCAAATGCAAAGTTTAGCGAACCAGGTACAAACTTTAGTTCACCTACATTTGTCTAGACAACCAGGAAGCTCCATAAACTTTCAAACAACAAGTGTGATCGGAAATCTGTAAGCTCTTAATATCTTTGACTTTCAACAGTCAGGTCTCAGTCGTATAAAAAGACCAGATGAACAACACAACAGTACATTTGTTCATCTATACTTAGACAAATATCTTTCTAGCACCAAAAAACACGTGAGCTGCTGCTGCATGTCAAATTCATCTGTTGCATCTGAGAAAAAACAAACACAAATTAAGTAGAAAGGTCAACGTACTCCACCACCACCACTTCCTCTCCCATCCTAAAATTACCACTAAAACCTAATCCATCCATTCTGTACCATTCATTATCCATCATCTTACCTTTGAGAAGTGTGAAACACTCATTCAAATCAGTTGAAGTCAACATCGGACAAGGCATTACAACATAGCACTAATCATGTCACACCTCACATCAGTACATCACGCGAAACGTCCCAAGATATGAGACCGAAGCATTTAGAAGGATGTAATCAAAGGTAGTAAAAACCGCGAACAAGGAGAATGAAGGAGTAAAACTATGACGATTGGGATATAGATAATACGTGGATGTCCTTGCACCACTGAGATGGATTGTGAGTTATATCGCCAAGAATTCTCAACCACAGTGGAGAGAATAAAATCTTATGCCAACCCACAAAGTCTCTGGCTTTTGGTTTGAGCTATGTAGCTGATGTAGACTTACAGGTTGGAGTCCATGTGACAGAGTATTTCAACAGATTTCCTCAATCTCAATAGTGACGTTAAGTTTCGTCATTGTTCTACTCCATCCTTCTCCCTGTTTATTACTTTCTACCACCGTTAATTACTTTTGCCATATGTCCCAATCTTGTATTTCAATGTCTTTTTCTTGATAAACCTGTGACTAGTTGGTACATGTCTTTAACTTTCAGGCAGTAGTAGTAGGTCCTAGCTCTGCTGAGGTCTGTATAGCCTGGTAGGATCATACGTTCGAAAACAGTAGGTGTGGTTCGTTGTTTACCTCATGTGAAGGTGGATGATGAGTGCATTAGGCTTTTTTCCATGTCGAAGAAGAATATATTTATGTAGGAGTTGTAACAACTCGAACTGTTATGCGTTGGTGATAAGTTGCATATTGGTATTAAACTGAGACAGTCAAAAGGTGTTTACATTATAGAATAAATAGCAAAAGCAACGCAACAGTCAGTATGATAGTGACTTACTATTCCTCTACACAAACAATTAACCAGTAATTTTATGGTGATTCTATTTGATTCAGTGGAAATGTCAATAGGAAACATTATTTTACTACATAATTTCTATATATTCAAATACGAAGTTACACAAACCTGCATACTGGGGTAAAGAGTTTACAACTACAGATAAAAATGTTAAGCGTATGAAAGTTTAGACTGACTTTGAAACACTAGAGGTAAGTAGGACAAATACACCTTTAGAGAATTAAACAGTGAAATGAAACACAAATAGCTGACTGAAAAAAATCAACTTAGAACCTAGCACACAGGTACATCAGCTCAAGTTGCAATACTGCATAGTAGTACACAATGAACAGCTGGATAGGAAAGGAGTGATATCAAAGAAAATAAAGTAGTATGAGAGAATAAACAATCTGAGGATAAAAGTTAGCATGAATACTCAAAATTTAGAAAATATCAAGGGGTAAATACATCTGCACCACTGTGACCGATTTTCAGTTATGTCACCAAGAGACCTCAACTACTGATTCCTTTCCTCTCGGAAAACCCAACCACATAGTCTACATCTCCCTACAAGGCTCAAGCCAGTAATTAAAGACTTTATGGACTTGTGTCATGTCTTGGTCTGGCCGCCCTGAAACCTCTTTCAATTTAATCTAACTTCCCCTAGCACAATTTCTGAAATCAATGAAATCAGTGAGGTTAAAAAAGACAAACAATTCAAAAAGAAAAGCAAAAAACAGTGTAGCTGAGTGATTATAGGAGTTGAGATGAAAACTTGGATCGCTGTACTATTCAAAGTAACAACCTCCATCAAGTTGTCGATTGAGCAATCTGCCAACCATGTTAAGAGAGTTAATTGTTAACAAGTTTCGATTTCCCTTCGACCACCAAGGTTTCCATTTACTTGCTATGTGTCTCATCAAAAAATAAGTAATTTTCAGAAAACTCTATCACTAACCAATGATTAAAATTGATAGAATAGCTCCAGTGGTCCTCAATATGCCAACAGAAGCTGGAAAAAACCATACCCACATAACACCAAGGGATCTTCATGCCATCTATGTTTCCTTTGATAAACCTCAAGACTGACCTGTTGATAATTAAAAAGAGAGTATTGGAACGTTTGCATATTTTAAATGATAACAAACTGCGGATATACATGATATCATTCAATGAATGCTCACATAACACATGATAAAGTCGGTGCAGAGGAATGAATTGAGAATGAAAACGGTGAGCACACACATATCCCCTAAAACCTGTTTCTTGATATTTGAAGACTCTTACCATTTACTCCACATACACATGTAAACCGACAACCTGTTTCACTATTTTGACTAGGTATGTGAATAAATTCTTTTTTTAAATCCCCAAAATACTCCTAGTGCTGATTTTGCGTCTATATTGTGGAATATAACAAAAATAGCTTTTTGTTCAGTTGGAAACGCAGTTTCGTTAGACATTTAATGAATGTGGATCACATGGAAACAAGCGACAAAAGCATTTAGGGAATTTCGTATTAGTGCTCTCACGTCAACTGCTGTGACTGAATCTATTTTCTCAGCTACCGATATGTGTAAAACACAATCGTACTAGCAGATGCAGAAAAAATATAATTTCGTTCTAATTGCGTACTACAGAAATTAATAAGCTACATTTTAACTTGAATGAATGCTCTTCTAAGTAAATTCTCTAAACGTCTCACAATAAAGAAAAAACTAAATAAATGGTCCGATTGATAACTAGGTCTGGGGTAAATACATGTCAGTTCTGTTTTGAGGGCTATTAAGCAAGAGGGCAGTCGAATTGTTGATTTTGGATGCACCAAAACTCCTAAGCAACCTGTTAATCCCATATGAAATAAAGTCTAAAAATTTCGTGTTTCAAAGTTTGCAGGTGCCAACCACGCAGTCTACATCTCCCTACAAGGCTCAAGCCAGTAATCAAAGACTTTATGGACTTGTCCCACATCTTCATCTGGCCGCCCTGAACCCTCTTCCAACCTAATCCAACTTCTCTAGCATAACACGTCGAGGTAGGCGATGGCTTGGCAGGTACAGTACATGTTCAAGCCATCTCAGTCGACTAAGGTTCACAACCTCACTTATCGACTTGCCTATCTTGCCCACTATCCTTCCGGGACCATAATATTCTGCATACGGTGAGGAATACTACGAAGACACCTATGATCGAACACCTGTTACCAATTCATGTCCTCTACTTCCAATGATCATGTCTCAAAGCCGTACAACAAGACAGAACGAACTTCAGAGCACCACAAGTCCACAGATGAGACAAGTTGGCCAATAACAAACAGACCTCCTGCATCCGAGCTGAGACCTCGTCAGGAACTAGACCGTGCGAGCTGAGTAAGTGAAGTCGAAATATTCTATCACTTCTCTCTCTATCATTAAACTGAGAGCACTTGCAGCAGACCAGTCTTGTAGTGTCATTTTACATTTCATAGGTGCTTCACGCGTGTTAAGTATGCTCAAAATTTCTGTTCAATGCAGAAAGACCCTATACTGCTTCAGTGTCTTCACTCAGCAGGACAATATCACCTACATATTTCAAATCAAACAGATGACCTCCAAGAAATAGGTCAATCCCAGTGAAGTCAGACGTGCCGAAGGTTAGGTCAGTTAGCACTCTCGACTGAAGTCAAATAGGAAAAGTAAGTGGGCATCACTGGCGGACACCACTTAATGACTGAAAAATCAACGAGGAACCTCGCAAACACATGCATCGGCTCAAGTTGCCATATTTCACAGTAGTACACAAAGAATAGATGGATGGAAAAAGACTCATTTCAAGGAAGATAAAAAAAGTGTGAGAGAATAAACAATCTAACGACAAAAGATAGCGTAGACGGTCAAGGTGTTAAGGAGTAAATACAACCGCACCACTATGACCGAATATCATCCATGTCACCAAGACTCCCCAGCCATTTATTACTTTCATCTCAAGGACCACAGCAGGTAGTCCACATCTCCCAAACAGCTCAGACCCATAGCTACATAAATAGTAGACTGGTGTCGGGTTTCGGTCTGGCCACAAATATTTGTCGTCAGTTTACATGACAACTCTCCATAAACCCTGACACGGCTGAGTAACTTCAAGTACAGCTTTGATAAACACTATATACTTGCTCGGTACTCCCTTCACAGTCACACACTGTCACAAAACCTCACGGTCGACTGAGTCAAATGCAGCCTTCGATCAAGAAATATGCCAAGTATCAGACACAAGTAGGCAGGTAGGCAGGTATACCTGTGTTCCAGAATCTGTCGGAGGGTAAAACTATGATCGATGCACCCTCGTCCACGTCCACGTCCGAAACCTGCATGACAGTTTTCTCGAGCTACAATTACACGTCTCATAACTATGGACACCAGCATAGTCGACACAACAAGATTCCTCTCCCTTCTCATCAACTAGGATGACCAGTGAAGTAAATCAGTCTGATGGCACTAGCTCTCATCCCCCTACACTAACAAGTACCTCCGTCACTTTACGCGGCAATCTCCTACTTCCATCCTCGAACACGTCAGGTGGCAAGTTGTCAAGTCCTGATACTCTCAGTCGTTTCATACAGCGTTCCATACAGCGTTTTCAACTTCAAGCAAAATCAAAGGACTAACATCTGCATCCAATTCAGGTCCAGACTAGATGCTGGACAACTAGACACTTTCTGAAGGCCAGCTGAACTGTGCTTCAAAGTATTTTGCCCAACGTTTTAGCCGCCTGTCCTGGCAGGTTATGTGGATACAATGCTTTCCGGTTCCGTTCCACTAACCAATGTTTTCTTCTTGCCAGTATCCTTAATAAGCCTAAATAACTACCGAGTGTTACCCAACGCTAATGTCTTCTCCATCTCTCTCGTTCACAACACCCACCACTGCTAACGATCACCATCATTGGGGAAGACTCTTATTCACCAACTCGCATCCAAGTTGCTTTTATTCTTCAGCATGGTCGCAGACAGCCAAATAGAATCAGTCTTCTCGCATCAACGAGTTTAGATGATGTCGTAGAAATCCAATGACGTCTGCTCACCTTCCTTCATGTCTAGGTGGTTACCAATTGTCTTTGCCGCTGTTTCTACAACAGACAATACGATACTCGCTTTCTTCACAATGACCATTGCTGTCATGTTCAGAAAAATCCTCAGCTAACTCCTCCATGAATACGTACTTGTCGTCCTTATCCTCCAGTCGACCACAGACAAACTTTACTATCACCTGTCTCTTGAGACCTGTAAGGCGCGGACATACGCGAACCCATACTATCGCCTGGTCGGAGTCCGAAGCGGAACTCCACCGATGGTTTCTAGCAATGTGATCTATCTGTATGCATCGTTGGTTTGATGTCAGTGAACGCCATCTGAGACAGTGTCTCTCCTGATGCTTAAAGTTAGTCCTGGCCAAAAACAAGTGACTCTCATAACAAAATGGCAATAGACGATCACTGTTCACGGTTCGTTGGCATAGGATTCCGAAGATGCCTTCTCGATTGGCTCAGCTTCCCTACTTGAGTGTTAAAGTCAATCATCTACCAGTATGATTATATCTGAGCGTTTCGCTTTCTGTAGCAAAATTGACAGCTTCTCATAGAATTCATCCTTTGCATCATCCGAACTGCAGTCGGTGGGTGCGTAGGTGGAGATTACGAATAGGCATCGGTTGGTTTCACAACCCCTCCTAGTTCTTACATATCCGTTCAGTTGAACACCACATAGATGGTTGTTGACTGGTATCCAATCGAGAAGTGGACTTAATGCCATACAGCTGAATGCTATGTCTGCACCAGTGACTCCACGAAAGCTAGCCACTGAGTTTCTGGATACTCTTAAGGTGGACGTTGATTCACTACTTTGACCAGGTGATGTCAATGTAACAAGCACACTCGGATCCTGTATACTTATCTCACAGACAGTATACATGCGTGGCTAGAGATTCCAGAGTTTTTCTAAAATGATGCTTGCTATTCCATTCGACATAGAGTTCGGACGTTGAATGCTCCTACATGAAGTCGAAGGCAGGGTCTTAGGAGGCTAGGAATGGGGTTTCGACGGTCTTGATCGTTGGCAGTGGTCGCAGAGTGAGAGACCTGATATTAGTATCAGGAGGTGAAGGTAAATGAGGAGGATAGGTTATATTTGATTGGTTCTTGCATGGTACTGGAAGGGTGATGGTGGTTGAGACTTTCCGGCTGGGGGGTGTGGCTCAATGGTTTAGGGAGGTGATTAGTAACCATTATGTGGCGGCTTCGGGGGCTGCTTCACCGACTGCGGTTTGAATAACCAGGTAGTATCATTGGCCCTCATACAATAAGTGTGGCTCATCGTCAACTGCACACACGTGTACAAGGTGGCGTTTCGTTTCATTCATTTGCTGTCCACACCGTGGAAGGATATTTCTTCTTAAAGTACCTGGAAGAGTAAAATACTAGTGTAATCGCAGAACTTCTGGGTCATCTGCTCGAGAGAGAGAACCCATACAACCGGGACCGGGAGCATAGTGGAGTGTGCTACTTTTGGGGCCAATCTTTTCTAATCCCACCCCTTCCGTTGAGAAGGCAGAAGCAGTGTGGCACTGCTGGTCATCCAAAGGAAACACCTTACTGCTGCCACACCCCATCCAGTTAGCAGTACGCCTACGCCCTCAGTTCCCTTATCATAGTGTAGTGAAATCACTACACTACAACGGTAACCACGTTTTAACCGCTATCCTTCAGACCTTTCTGGCGTGATAGGACCTCGAAGAAACAAGCGTTTCACCCCCATAGCTTGTTGGATCATTGTGGTATGCAAGCCTGAGTACCACTTCAAGATAACAGCCATTGGTCAAGTATGAAATCAACAACCATGTTTAGTATCAATCAAATTAATGACAAACAATTCATAGCATAATTGACAGAAATTGAGCATTTCTGTAGTAAACTAAGTGCTAAGAATTGTTATGAAAGGGAATTATGACAGTAGATATTATAATTCAGTCCATACATAAACAATAAACTCTAAGTGCATCAATAATTTGTTTTTAAAATACCAAAACTATTTAACTTGCCGGTTTAACAAAGGTAATATGTTTAAATTCCACGGACTTTCAGCATACTTCTTTGCCTCCGCCAGCTGAGAAGCAGTGCCGACCAAGTTCTTCAGCATTAATTTAGTTGGAAATCCTGAACCTTGAGAACTAGAGTGAATATCAGCACCGTATTCAACAACAACATCATCATTATATTCCTGTAAGATCCGCCAAAACTCCTGTTCTACTTCTGCACACGGTACTTCCTGACGGATGCAATGTATGTATAAAAAACATACACCAAAACTACATATAACTAAGAATAAAGTAGTGACGGAGTTCCAGAAAATAAACATCAAAGTTAATGTAATAATACCTAGATTCCACTTAGATATTACCAGAGTGGATAATTATCAATACAGACTAGACAGACAAATCAATGCAGAAACTTGCAAATAAGTCCATTAACTCACGACGTTAAAATTCCTTTCAGCATACAACGAAATAGGTGCAAAAAGAAAAACACTAAACAAATGTGTATACGAGAGATCAAAAATAAAGGTTAGTCGATTTTTCCCGATTTCGAAGATATATATATATATATATATATATATATATATATATATATATATATATATATATATATATATATATATATAAGCAAGTGATATCATAACTTACATTTAGACAGTATTTATACACCTTAAGCGAAGTCTATGTGCCAACACATAAGAATAAATTCGGTAAGAAAATGAAAATCCATACTCGTTGCAAGGGGTCGCTGTCGTAACCTAGGAGACTAGTGAAGAACACTCCGGTGTTTGAAGCGTTGGGTGCTGAGTTCCAGTGTCAGTGGGAACACAATAAGTCACTGGAATGCAGGTAAATTCATCAAAGGAAACCAAAATAGGAAGAAACGTGACTAGCTGAATGCGCCTCTAGTCATCATCAAACAAAATAATTTTATGAACTAAATCACTGAATATTTCTCACTATCACATCGTATTACGTCAAGTACTCTAGGCAGACGGTATACGTCTTCGTACACGACTTGAATAAGATTCAACGACTCCGTGGGTCGCTATCACATGCTTATAAGCTCTTAATATCTTTGACTTTCAACAGTCAGGTCTCAGTCGTATAAAAAGACCAGATGAACAACACAACAGTACATTTGTTCATCTATACTTAGACAAATATCTTTCTAGCACCAAAAAACACGTGAGCTGCTGCTGCATGTCAAATTCATCTGTTGCATCTGAGAAAAACAAACACAAATTAAGTAGAAAGGTCAACGTACTCCACCACCACCACTTCCTCTCCCATCCTAAAATTACCACTAAAACCTAATCCATCCATTCTGTACCATTCATTATCCATCATCTTACCTTTGAGAAGTGTGAAACACTCATTCAAATCAGTTGAAGTCAACATCGGACAAGGCATTACAACATAGCACTAATCATGTCACACCTCACATCAGTACATCACGCGAAACGTCCCAAGATATGAGACCGAAGCATTTAGAAGGATGTAATCAAAGGTAGTAAAAACCGCGAACAAGGAGAATGAAGGAGTAAAACTATGACGATTGGGATATAGATAATACGTGGATGTCCTTGCACCACTGAGATGGATTGTGAGTCATATCGCCAAAAGTTTTTGACTGTCGATTTTCGTTGTAGCCTGGACTCCAGCCGGAAAGTTTATATATATTCTAGCTCAGGCTAAGAGTCAGACTTTGTGAAGTGGTGCCGCGTTTTTTCTCATCAATTGCTTTTAGCCAGTACCAAAGTCTTGCACAGCCATCACCACCGTTCAACCGGACATTCCTCCTCTGACATTCAAGTCTGAACTCAAATAGATCACACTACAAACAGCGAAAACACATACGAAATTGAAAAAAAGTTCCAAATCATCCGTTGGGTTTTAGCATATCCTACGCTTATTTTGCGTTTGGTATTCGGCAAACTGTCGCATAGAACTTGACACTCCTGTCCCACTTAATTTTAATGTAGTTTCACTTTTATAATCTTTTCTCGATGTCACTGAGAAGTACGGTTAAGCGAACCAACACAAGCTTTGTGCTATCCTGTTTGTTCGTCTATACCTGAAGTTATCACCACAATCTGCATTTCAAGTAACAAATAAGTCAAATTTTGCTGTAAAAACAACCAGTTGCTATAAGTACATACTGTCATAATTGGTATTTGAATCAGTCGCACGATAATGCTGGCATGAACAACAGCATCGAATCCAGACTATACCTGTTGAATGAAGAATGATATATTCAGACATTACCAAGGTTTTATCACATGAACGTAATCTGATCTCGACAACTCAGATAACTAAGAACCAGCCGGTAGGCGCTACCTTGATGTGGTTGTCCGACTTTCACATCAAAATGATATGAAAGGTAAACTCAGGTTAAAACAACAGTTCCAACAGACCCTTAAGTACCAAAACCTTCAAGAGATATCACCCAAATGGCTGTAAGACTGGAAGCAGACAGTCATGGTGTACATAATATAGATCGTGATAGGCAAGTCTACGGTAGTGGTATTCCCTTTGCCTTAGATAAGTAACATGCCAATCATGCTGCCTTTTATCGCCAAGAGAAATCAGGAGCGACTGGTCTTCAGAATAGCGCAAACCTCACTCACTTTTGTTTGCCAGCAGTAGCTTTCCAAGGTACGAACGCAACTTTATAAACAGCAATACCACAAAAAGGATCACATGTAACAGGCCTTAGGCAGACATCGTTGAGCCATACAGTCACGTAAAAAGTAGTCAACTTTCATTGAAAGTACTCTAAAAAAAAACGGCATCCGCAATGTGGGACATCATCAGTATCAACATAGGACCAGGCATTACTGCGTAACGGTCCGAGTTGCCCCAGCTCAGTACAGTACATCAAGTAGAAAGGTGGTGAGGTGGAGGATGAAGATAAGAGAATGCAGTCAGAAGAAATATAAAGTACGAAAAGACAGAAACGAAGAATGAGAAAGTGGTGAGATTCGGTATAGCCTCGTTAAGATGAGGATAATGTGTGTATACATCTACGCCACTGACATCGGTTCTGAGCAATATCATCCCCTAGAGTCAGTCTCCAACCACTGGTTCTTCTTGTCCCATGGACCCCAATCACCTAGTCTGCATCGCTCAAGCAAACAGTCAGAGACTTCATATATTGGTGCCATGTTTTAGTCTGGCCACCTCGGGCCTTTCTCCAGCCTGGAACTACTTCAGCCGACTTTATGTGACCAGGGAATTGGTGACTAGGCAGGCATACATAACGCGTGTCACAACTATCTCAGTCGATGAAGGTTCACAACCTCGTCAACTGACTTACCTTCTCTCCCTAAAACTCTACACCTGACCTCTGTGTTACTCATGTGGTGACACCATGGAATAAGACCTATGCAACGAAGGCAAAGGTGGTCAAACACCTGAAGCCTTCTCATGTTTTCAATGGCCTTCAATGGTCATGTTTCACAGCCATACAGTAGAACACATCGGACTGCTGTGCAGTATATGCGACTCTTAGTAAACAATTGGATATCACGGCGGCACCACAAGTGGCGTAAGTTGGCGAAAATCAATCGAGCCTTTTGTAACCGTGCAGAGGTTTCATCGGCAACTGACCCACCAGGGCTGATCCGGCTTCCCAGATAAGTGGAGTGGTCAACACACTCAACCATTACACTCTCTATTGTTAGCCAAGGTAGGGCACCGTTGAAGACCAGACCTGGAGCAAAAATTTGCATTTGGGTGGTGAGAAACGCATCCCAAACATTCTCAAATTGCTACTCAAAGTGTTCAGAAGACTCTGAATCTTGTCAGCGTCTTCATCTAATAGGACTATATTATCTGCATATTCTAGGTTTAAAGAAAATTCTCCACCGATTAGGTCAACGTCTGTGTAACCTGGTGACGAGAGGGAAACCTCCAAAAGAATATCTATGATGAAATTGAATAAGAATGGAGAGAGTGGGCACCCTTGACGAGCACCACTCGATGAGTACAGCTCATCTGACATCTCACCATAGGCTCTAACATGTCCGCAAGTGTTCGAGTAGACAGCTTTCAATTAAAGTGACGTACTTACTCGGCATAACTTCGCCTGGTTAACTAGTTCACTAGTTACTAGCCGGTCCTAAGCCCGGGTAAAGAGGGAAGGTTGGGCATAGGGCTAGCAACCCTAACCCGTAAAACAAATCTAACCGCTAAAGAAACTTCAAAGCACAAACAAAATATAAAAAATGAAAACAAACTTATTCCCCGCTGGAATCGGAGAGGCGAAATGACGCCAGTTGGTGAAAGCCTTCGGGAAGCCAATTGGCCGATGTGTCTTCTCTCGATGAAAGCGAAAGTAAACGTGGGGACATGGAATGTCCGCACGATGTTTGAACCCAGTAAGGCAGCCCAGATTGCAAGGGAGATGAGAAGGTATCACATCGAAGTGCTTGGGATTTGCGAAAGCAGATGGAATGGGAGTGGACTCTCCAAACTGTCAACTGGAGAATCAATAATCTACTCCGGTCACCCAGACGCCAACCACGAGCACACTGAGGGAGTGGCTATCATGATGTCCTCAAGAGCATCGAAGGCTCTCATGCAGTGGGAACCAATCTCCTCCAGGATCATGACAGCAAGATTCAACTCAAAAGGAAGAAAGGTCACAATCATACAATGTTATGCACCTACAAATAATGCAGAGCAAGAGAAAAAGGAGGATTTCTACAGACAACTTCAATCAACACTGGACAAGACGTCAGTTGGCGATATCAAAATTCTGATGGGCGACATGAATGCCAAACTGGGAGGGGACAACACGGGAAGAGAACTAACCATGGGTCGAGAGGCACTAGGTGAAATGAATGAGAATGGAGAATTGTTTGCAGAATTCTGCGCATTCAACGATTTGGTGATTGGAGGCAGTGTGTTCAGGCACAAAGATATCCACAAAGCGACATGGACACCAGGACACACTAAAAATCAAATCGACTTTATCTCAATCTCAAGAAAATGGAGACGCAGTCTACTTAACACAAGGTCAAGAAGAGGAGCAGATGTAGGTTCAGACCACTATCTAGTGCAAGGAACCTTCCAAATCAAGTTAAAAGCCTTCAAGGAAGCTGGTGATAGACCTCAACTCAAGTACAACACTCGGAAACTGAAGGATGAAACTACAAAGGAGATCTTCAAAGCAGCCATCAAGACAAAATGGGAGACATCGAGCAACATCCCTGAAGAAACCTGTGTGGAAGAACACTGGAAGTCTTTGAAAGCTATGTGGAAAGAAACCTGCACAACAGTATTAGGAAGGAAGAAGAAAGAAGACAAGGAATGGATCTCGACAGATACCTGGAAGCTGATAGAGGAGAGGAGGATGGTGAAGCAGAAGATAAACCAGTGCAAGGATGCTCAACGACAAGAGGAACTGAGCACAATGTATAAAACACTGGACAAAGAAGTGAAGAAGAGTGCACGCAAAGACAAAAGACACTTCTACGAAACACTGGCAAGTGAAGCAGAACAGGCTGCAGGTAAGAGAGACCTGACGACATTGTATCAAATAACCAGGTTGCTATCAGGGAAGAGACCAACACAGATGAAACCAATAAAAGATGAAGAAGGAAATTTAATTACAAAAGAAGAGAAACAGAGGAAACGATGGGCCGACCACTTCAAGAAGCTCTTGAATCGACCACCACCTGCACTTCGTCCAGAAATACCACCTGCAGCCGCTGAACTACAAGTGAACATTAATCCCCCAACGAAAATGGAAGTCCTGAACGCCATAAAGCTACTGAAATGCGGGAAAGCAGCAGGACCAGATGGAATACCGCCAGAAGCACTGAAAACAGATGCAGAGACAACAGCGGCCATGCTCACACCACTATTGCAGAAGGTGTGGAAGGAAGAGAAGGTACCTGACGATTGGAAGAAGGGTTACCTTGTCAAACTGCCGAAGAAGGGAGACCTCAGTGCTTGCAAGAACTGGCGCGGAATCACTCTCCTGTCCACCCCAAGTAAAATATTAAGCCGCATCATCCTGGAGAGGCTAAGGGATGCACTGGATTCAAAACTACGACCGGAACAGGCAGGCTTCAGGAAGTACAAATCATGTGCAGACCAAATTGCAACGCTTCGTATCATCATAGAACAGAGCATAGAATGGCAATCACCTCTCCACCTCAACTTCATCGACTTTGAGAAGGCCTTTGACAGCGTCGACCGAGAAGTAATTTGGAAACTGCTTCAATACTACGGAGTACCGCAAACCTTTATCCGCCTCATTCAACAACTATATGAAGATGCTACATGCCAAGTAATCCACAATGGGAAGCTCAGTGATGCCTTTGAAGTGAAGACAGGAGTGAAACAAGGTTGCCTACTATCCCCCATGATATTCCTGATTGTGGTGGACTGGATCATGCAGCAAACAGTAGGCAGCGAGAAGAGGGGGATACACTGGACGACGGAAAAGAACCTAGAAGACTTGGATTTCGCCGATGACTTATGCCTAATGTCACATAAACTTGAAGATCTGCAGGCAAAAACTAACAAGTTGATAGAAGAGGCAGCGAAGACGGGACTTCAGGTGAATATAGAGAAGACAGAAGTGATGAAGATACCGCACCACCAACATCAACAACAACAAACTCCAATCACCGTCAACGGGAGAAACTTGAAGGAAGTAACCTCCTTCACTTATCTAGGAAGCACTGTTTCAACTACAGGCGGGACGGACGAGGACGTCAAAGTCAGAATCGGAAAAGCAAGACAGGCGTTCATTAGCCTGAAACCAGTGTGGAGATCTTCTGCACTCAGCATGCGGAACAAGATACGGATTTTCAACACCAACGTCAAGTCAGTGCTCTTGTATGGCTCAGAGACTTGGCGCGTCACGAAAGGTATTTCCAATAAACTACAGACATTCATCAACAACTGCTTACGCTCGCTACTGAAGATCAGATGGCCAGAAAAAATAAGCAACAAGGAACTCTGGGAACGAACCAACCAAGAACCTATCACGCAACAAATATGCAGGAAGAAGTGGAGATGGATTGGCCATGCACTGAGAAGGCCGACGGAGGACATCACGCGTCAGGCCCTCGAGTGGAATCCCCATGGGAAGCGACGAGTTGGACGTCCGAGGGTGACATGGAGGAGGTCGTGCGAGCAGGAAATGAGAGCTTCTGGGCTGTCGTGGGACCAGGTTCAAAAGATCTCAGAGAACAGAGGTCACTGGAGGTGTGCTACTGAAGCCCTATGTTCCACTAGGAACCCAAGGGACTAATAATAATAATAATAATAATAATACTTACTCGGCATGCCTTTTGGTGAGAGACATTGCCACAAGACTTCTCGATCAACGGAGTCAAATGCCGCCTTCAGGTCGAGAAATACAGCCAGTGTCGGGCGCCAGTAAGCATGTCTGTGCTCCAAAACCTGGCGCAGTGTGAATATTTGGTCGATACATCTGCGACCAGGTCTAGAGCCTGCCTGGTTTTCTCGGGCTTGTTGTTCCCGAGCTCCACTAAGGCGTCGAAGAATTATAGAACCTAGAATTTTAGACACCATGTTCATCAGGCTGATTCCTCTGTGGTTATCACAAGAGGACTTCTCGCCTTTCTTGAAGACTGGGATGATGAGTGACTTATACCAGTCAGAGGGGATCGTATTTGATTCCCATATACTAGCCAGCACTTCCCTTAACCTAAGAGCACTGCACCACCACTCTTGTTACCCAACCAACCTTGTAATTGAAGTGGTCAATCACTTCAAATTGTTCAGAAGACGTTATAACTCGTTAGCATCTTCGCCTAATCCAAAGACATCTGAGTACTCTATGTTCACGAAGCGGAGTCCTGGGACAAGGTCCATCCGCATAAGGTCAGACGAGAAGAGAGACATTTATAAGCATGTATGCGATGAAACTGAATAAGACAGGGAGAGTGGACAACCCTAACGGACATTACTGCAAGTACACAACACTGATACTTAACAACAGGCTCCAAGACATACATGGACATTCGGATAGTCTTCAGTCGGGTGATATAATTAGTCAGGACCAGTTTGAGTGAAAAACACTGACATAAGATCTCTCGACCAACGAAGTTGCATGCGGTTTTTAAATCAAGAGGAACAGAGCGGTGCTTATGTCTGTTCTTCATCCTGATTTGACCTGCCCACCTGTGCACCAAAATCACTTGTTATGACAACCACATATGCACATTTGGCTTTCAGTAGGAGACTAGACAGTGTTAAGTAGAACTTGTCTTTTACTTCATCAAGCTTTAGAAAAAGTCAGTAGAAAAATCGACTCCATTGTGATCGATTCTCAGTTACTTCACAAAGAGTCTTCAACCGCTGATTGCTATCGTCTCGTAGACCTCAGTCAGAGTCTTCACCTCACCACATGGCTCAGACAAGCAGTCAGAGGTTTCATGCGCTTGTGCCACGTTTTAGTCTTGTCACCTGGAGCCTTCTTCCAACTTAATCCAACTTCTCCTAGCATTACACGACCAGCAAGGCTGTGGCTTGACATAAGCAGCAAATGTCCAAGCAACCTCAGTCGACTAAGGTTCACAACCTTGTCAATTAACTTGCCCAGTATCCACTGCCTGACCTCAACAATGTTCACGCGTGGATTCCCCCAAATGTGAGCAATACTACAAAGACATCTATGATCAAAACCCTCTAACCCCTTCGGGTCTTCTAGTTTCAACGGCCATGTCTCACAGACGTACAACAGAACATAAAGAACTGCAGTGCAGTAAACTCCTCCTTTAACAGGTAGTTTTGTATGTCGCCAACGCCATAGATGTTGCAATTTTGCAAGTGCCAGACGGGCCTTTTGTGTTCGAGCTGAGATTTCGTTAGCAACCAGCCCGTTCGAAGTAATGTACCTCCACAAGTAAGTGGTCGACACATCCTACCACTTTACGCTCTGCCATCAGGCTGAGAGTCTTCTTAAGTCAGTCCATGAGCATTATCTTACATTTCACAGGTGCGAAACGCATACCAAACAAACAGATTTCTGATCAACGGGCTTAGAAAACCCTGCATTTTGTCAGCATCTTTACCTAACAAACCAATATTGTCTGCGTGCCAATTAGATTCTATCCAGAGAGCAGATCAATTCCTGTGAAGCCACAGGTCCCTTAATATGTTAATAACGAATTTAAACGTGAACGGTGACAGAAGACATCCTTGCTACACACCATTAGTTGCCATCAATCCAGATGACAACTGTTTTCAAGCCTTGATATAGCTGTCGGAGTTCGACTAGAAAGGTTTTATTAGCATTATATACTTGGTCGGAAATCCCTTTAGTCAGTGCCACAACATTTCACTTCATCCAAAATGTAAGCAGCGACTACCAAAAGATAACGGCACATCTCACTGCAACATTCCACTAAACAATGCACAGGCGATTGCCAACTGGTCGAACGGTGAACTTTATCTTTAGAACCTCTAGAAAGTCGAAGTGAATTTCGCATATTTACGATAGTGGTCAAGTGTGGTTGAGTGACCACACTTGCATTCTGCACGCGTGTCTCACAAAAACAGAACATGTCCGCAACCGTAGATGTCAGAGTCTCGGATACTGAAGCGAGTTTTCTAATTTGACGAAGTGTCGACATTTAAAGCTGCAATATGTAATTTGGGGTGCGGTTTCAGTAGAACCAGGATACTGTTTTGTGGATCTGAATCGGTATCAAGGGATGCAGAGATACTGGTTACGTGAAATAAAGAGGAATACTATACTACACTATACTTCTATCCCAGAAAACAGAGCGGATCGACGATTTTGAAGTTTTTGCAGTTAACGCAAGGGCAGAATATCTGATCTACAGAGTAATGTGAGTGCCGCGACAAAATAAGCAGTTAGAGAATACAAACATGATTATAACAACTAGTCAATCTAGAATACACTTACAGTGCATGGTCGTTTGAAATAAGCAGATTTGAATTCATCTGCCATTATACCAAACTCTTGAAGAGAATATGTTTTGCTCGACTGAGGAAATCCATAAACATCAACAGGATTAGAGCAAATTTGTCGAACACATTCAGGACATTTCCACTGGCACTTCGGGATGGAGCGGAGAGGTGGATCGAGGCAATACAAGTGATAACAAGCTTCACAAGTATCCGTGTCACAAACGAGTAGACTGGCTTCGTCATCTCCGGAACCACAAACGCGACAGTTATAATCATCAATCTGCGAATGCAGGTACGTAAAAGCGACATTCGGTAAACTTACGTTGATTTCCGGTTTGAAATCTATGCAGAAGAAAGACAATCAGACCAATATTGTTCAAAACGTACTTTTTGGTCGTTCATCTACAGGCACAGCCGCTTTAGGTCCAGCACCGAAAAACTGCAAATTTTTCAGCTCATTACTGGCTGAGTAGTCTATTTTATTTTCCTAAACGAGAAAGGAGTAAGATACAATGGAACTTACCTCGACTGAACGTCTACAGCGCTTGTAACTGCTTATACGGCTCCTAGAACGATTGACAGTCTAAAACTAATAAAATATAGAATGAAAATTACTTTAGTTGATGAAGAGGGAGCTGAAACCGTTTGGTCAAATGAAAGAAGCAATTTTTCATAGTTGCTTCTGATAGAATGAGCATGTCTGCTCTGATATCCTAATTTTTCAGCAATATTAGGCCAGGAGTGATTATCGCAAGCTTGACGATATCCACCTGCCTCTGCAACCTGTTTGTGAAGAGCGTATAGATCCAGGTATCGGCCGCAAATGCTCGGTACTCGAATTTTGTCTCCTCCCTGCAAGTTGAGGGCAGTTTTAAACTGAAAATACCTGTAGCTGGACAAACTTGTAGAGTTTACTGATGAAATTTAACTTTATTCGAGAATGAGCCTAAGGTGTGGTCGATTATGAGATTTAGATTACCTCCAGTTCATACAGACGTTGGACGCGTGGTGTGAATGAAAATTCTTTCATATTTACGGCAAAAGGTGGGTTCCAACACTGACAAAAATAATAATGGATTACGATGAATTAAATGTGGGAAAAGTATGAAGTATGAATATTGTAGTATTGAAAAAAGTAACTGTTGGAAAACCAGAAAGGATATATCAAATGAAAAAAACAGTTGTAGGGATAGCAACATTGGTAAATTACAAACAAGTTAAACAGACCTACTTTGGGAGGGACGATTTTACATATGCCAGTTTTTATGCAGATTGGTCGTATTTTCATCAAGTAAGCGAGGGGGTCTTCAAACTCCTCAGACGTTGGATAAAATACGGGAGCCTCAGGAGGTGGCACAAAAGTAAAAGCATTTGGCATCCTTTAATCCTAAACACAAAATATGAGCAACAGGTAACTTAGTTGACCGTACAGTATTTGTGATCTAATTTGAAGGTAAATTACGACAGGCCTTATTGAAGTAGGCTATGAAAACGTGAAGAAACAAGAACTAAACAACCGTACAGACAGCGGCCATTAGCACAATGGCGGTGTAGTGAACTGTGTGGCGGCATTATGAAGTCAGACTCATACATATGCTGGCTGCACAACAAAAATTTAGCAAAATGTTAAGTAACGTCCTGACAATCTAGTATTTTGATTATTCTGATCCTTGTTAACATTGATTTTACGCTTTTCGTACATCCAGTTAGAATTTGTACAATCTACATAAACATACAGAACTGGCTATAAAAATTGGCTGTATTGAGGAGCCCTTATGGCAAATAATTTTTTAAACAATTCACCAATATTCATTTTGACAAAAGTAGGCGTGACGACTGCTTAGAGAAGAGCACCAGAAACATCTGGAATTTAGGTCAATAAACAGCTTCCATACGAAAAAAAACAAACCTCAGTTGCTGACTACGTTATCGAACATGGATAAACTCCGGAACTCTCCTGATTGGTTGGACGACAAGAATGGCGCAAATCGAAGTACAGCTATCATCGAGAAATTACCTGGTAAATTCTTCATTGAAGTAGTTCTCCAAAATAAATAGAAAGTTAAAGTGAAAATACTTGAAACCTCTTCAACACACTTGGAAACGTATACAGTCAAAAATCACAACCAAGGCACCCTTAGTTGAAGTCAGCTGTAGCGCACAAATCATGACGAGAAGGACTAATATTTTGTACCAAATAAGGTTCCATTGAAATAATTAGGTACTTATACTTGTACTATTATTTCTGCATTATGTGAACAATTGAATCCTATAACTGAACTCATTAAAACCAAACACTTTTCCAAGGGAGCTATATACAAATGGTTAATGTGAGTTCCGCGTCTGGTTGCTAAGATAGTTTGCAACGGGCGTATGCAATCAGAAAATCTTTAATTTTTCCATCTTTTCCACTTCAGTTGAGTACTACGGTTCAGGAAGCTGCAGCACGGGAGATCACGCGAATTGAGCGCATTGGGGCACACTCTCACATTCGTGGCTTAGGCCTAAATGATGATCTGGAGGCTCGGCAGGTTTCACAGGGCATGGTTGGGCAGTGTAAAGCCAGAAGAGCAGCTGGTCTTATCTTGGGCATGATTCGCGAAGGAAAAATCGCTGGACGTGCTATACTTCTCGCTGGTCCACCGGGAACAGGAAAGACTGCTATTGCTATGGGAATGGCTCAGGCGCTTGGACACGACACACCATTCACTGCGATGGCTGGTAGTGAAATATTTTCTCTGGAGATGAGCAAGACAGAGGCTCTGACTCAGGCATTTCGCAAGTCGATAGGTGTACGTATAAAGTAAGTCCATTGTTGTATTTACTGTGAATTCCCAGAGAAGAAGCAGAGATAATTGAAGGCGAGGTTGTTGAAATTTTAATAGATCGCCCTGCAACTGGTACGGGTGCCAAAGTTGGCAAATTAACTCTCAAGACAACTGAGATGGAGACAGTTTATGATCTTGGTCAGAAGATGATCGAATCTTTGACGAAGGAAAAGGTCCAAGCAGGGTAAATTTTGCTTTTCGTGATATGAGATTGTCTTAGTGATATAATTACCATCGACAAACCTTCTGGAAAAGTTACGAGGCTTGGACGTTCGTTTACTAGAGCTCGGGATTATGATGCAACTGGTGGTCAGACAAAATTTGTTCAGTGTCCTGAGGGCGAGTTGCAAAAACGAAAAGAAGTTGTTCACACAGTTACTTTACATGAGATTGATGTTATCAACAGCAGGACGCAGGGATTTCTCGCACTTTTCAGTGGCGACACAGGTGAAATAAAGTCAGAGGTCAGAGATCAGATTAACCACAAAGTGGCTGAATGGAGAGAAGAAGGCAAAGCTGAAATTGTTCCTGGTGTGAGTGGTATTAACGTATTTTTTTTTAGTTATGGAGACCTGTTTTGCTGTTTCATACAGACCATATTCTGCTTTACAGTTTTTGAAGTTCATGGGATATCTGAGGAAGCTAAGAATTCGGTTGAGGCTTTGGACTTTAGGACTAACCGAATGTTTCGTAATAGATAGGCACTGAAAATTGACGAACGTCCATTTATCAGCAGACGACATAAGTTAGAAAAGATTTCAATTCGGAAAGTGTTTAGTCACTGTAATATGATTTTCCTCTCGTATGTTACCTTTTCTTGTGAGCCTTTCAGTGCATTCGCCTTGCTATTTATTTTAAATCCTTATTTGTAACGATTTTAGTCGGGTTCATTTCGTCCATACTTGACGTGGAACGGAGTCTGGTCACGTTACCTAAGATTGTAGCTTCATCAACAAAGCTAGTTATAATAAACATATTACGAGGACTAGCTTAAACTTTTTGATCTCAGAATACGTTTAAACACTGATCTTCTTACCAACGAGTTGACTTACCACTTTTCGCTCCTCTGTAGTAATCATATTTCTTTTTAAAGGTCCTATTTATTGACGAGGTACATATGTTGGACATCGAATGTTTCTCGTTCCTGAATCGAGCTCTTGAATCCGATATGGCTCCCGTTCTAATCGTCGCCACTAATCGAGGTATCACTAGGTGAGTGACAGCTGTTTTTAAATGACAGTTCATTATTACAATCTGTTAATTTAAACGCAACTGCTCTAATTCAGTCTCATTAATGAATCACGTCTCCGCATCGAGTGTGTCACTTGAGACAAGTTAATATTCGTCCATCCTTTCAAAGCACCCCTAATCATTGACACACGGAACCAACGTAGGAACTCACACACATGCGCCTAAGTTCATACTCAAAATATTAGATGTCCAAATATCAGCTCCTGCTGCTTGAAGTTTAATATAATCCTCTAAACTGCAAACAGAGTTAGACGACCGACATCTACGTCTCAGGTCCAGGCTGGATGCTGGACAACTAGACACTTTCTGAAGGCCAGCTGAACTGTGCTTCAAAGTATTTTGCCCAATGTTTTAGCCGCCTGTCCTGGCAGGTTATGTGGATACAATGCTTTCCGGTTCCGTTCCACTAACCAATGTTTTCTTCTTGCCAGTATCCTTAATAAGCCTAAATAACTACCGAGTGTTACCCAACGCTAATGTCTTCTCCATCTCTCTCGTTCACAACACCCACCACTGCTAACGATCACCATCATTGGGGAAGACTCTTATTCACCAACTCGCATCCAAGTTGCTTTTATTCTTCAGCATGGTCGCAGACAGCCAAATAGAATCAGTCTTCTCGCATCAACGAGTTTAGATGATGTCGTAGAAATCCAATGACGTCTGCTCACCTTCCTTCATGTCTAGGTGGTTACCAATTGTCTTTGCCGCTGTTTCTACAACAGACAATACGATACTCGCTTTCTTCACAATGACCATTGCTGTCATGTTCAGAAAAATCCTCAGCTAACTCCTCCATGAATACGTACTTGTCGTCCTTATCCTCCAGTCGACCACAGACAAACTTTACTATCACCTGTCTCTTGAGACCTGTAAGGCGCGGACATACGCGAACCCATACTATCGCCTGGTCGGAGTCCGAAGCGGAACTCCACCGATGGTTTCTAGCAATGTGATCTATCTGTATGCATCGTTGGTTTGATGTCAGTGAACGCCATCTGAGACAGTGTCTCTCCTGATGCTTAAAGTTAGTCCTGGCCAAAAACAAGTGACTCTCATAACAAAATGGCAATAGACGATCACTGTTCACGGTTCGTTGGCATAGGATTCCGAAGATGCCTTCTCGATTGGCTCAGCTTCCCTACTTGAGTGTTAAAGTCAATCATCTACCAGTATGATTATATCTGAGCGTTTCGCTTTCTGTAGCAAAATTGACAGCTTCTCATAGAATTCATCCTTTGCATCATCCGAACTGCAGTCGGTGGGTGCGTAGGTGGAGATTACGAATAGGCATCGGTTGGTTTCACAACCCCTCCTAGTTCTTACATATCCGTTCAGTTGAACACCACATAGATGGTTGTTGACTGGTATCCAATCGAGAAGTGGACTTAATGCCATACAGCTGAATGCTATGTCTGCACCAGTGACTCCACGAAAGCTAGCCACTGAGTTTCTGGATACTCTTAAGGTGGACGTTGATTCACTACTTTGACCAGGTGATGTCAATGTAACAAGCACACTCGGATCCTGTATACTTATCTCACAGACAGTATACATGCGTGGCTAGAGATTCCAGAGTTTTTCTAAAATTGATGCTTGCTATTCCATTCGACATAGAGTTCGGACGTTGAATGCTCCTACATGAAGTCGAAGGCAGGGTCTTAGGAGGCTAGGAATGGGGTTTCGACGGTCTTGATCGTTGGCAGTGGTCGCAGAGTGAGAGACCTGATATTAGTATCAGGAGTTGAAGGTAAATGAGGAGACGGAAATGGGGAGGGAATGTACTTCTTATTAGGGTACCTGGAAGACGACATGATTAGTGAGACCATAGAGCCCAAGGGACATCTGCTTGAGGCCAGTTACGGACAAACTTTGGTGGGTAGTTGTTTTGACGTCTGGTTATTCTAACGCTGGATGGAGAGAACCGATACTGCCGGGACCGAAAGACCATGGAGCATGGTGGAGTTTGTTACGTTGGGGTTCAGTCTTTTCTAACCCTGTCTCCTTCCGTTAAGAAGGCAGAATCAGCGTGGCATTGCTAGTCATCCAAGGGCAACATCTTAACGCCGTCTTACCCTCGTGCAGTCAGCAGTACGAATTCACTCTCCGAACCCTATCATAGCGTAGTAATTTAACTTATCCTACGTTGATAAAACAACATCATAAGTCTTTTGTAAGAGGTTTAGTGATAGCGTGTGATTGTAGAGGAAGTACCAACAAGTACATTATGCTAATCAACACTCTCTTCTCATACTCACGCAGTTGTGTCAAGGGCTCATGGGGGGGGGAGGGGAGGGGTGTCATTTGAAGTAATGAAAACTAGTGATGTCCCCCAGGAATGGCGGTTATCATCGTTTCTGTTTAACTTTGTTATATACGTGGTGATGGAAATAACTATGCACTTGTGATGTCACAGGAACTAACCTACTCCTTGCAGGGCACCCGGTTGACTTAGAGTATGTAGACGACACAGTCCCGTTAGACGAAGACGCTGAAAAGATGCAGACTCTTTTGATCACCTTGAATAGAATGTGTGTACGTTTGATATGGGTTTCATACCTGCCTAGAGTAAGTAAGTCAGTGCTTCAAGACTGATCTGCACTGACACTGACACTTAATTTAAGGATAGAGGTTGGACTGGTAGAGCATATTGACTACTTGAGTTACATGTGAAGTTGCATCAGTCCAAATGAGTTAGTTATTTACGAAATCTCAGGTGAGATACGAAAATCTCATCTGGTATTTGCCAAGTTACACCGATACTGACATTAGAGAGATATCCTACCACTGATTAGAAGAATGAGTATACTGCGCTTTAGGTCTCCCTGTCTTATTACGTGACTGTGAGATATGGCCTTTGAGAACGGGAGATATGAAGAGACTACACATTTTTGACCATACGCATCTTGCCATCTTTTGATTAGAAAAATGTGTATACTGCGCTTTAGGTCTCTCTGTCCTGTTAGGCGATTGTAAGACAGGAGGTGATGGCAAATAAGGAGACATAATTGAGGAGGATAGGTTATGTTTGATCGGTTCTAGCATATTAGTGGTAGGTTGAGGGTGGTTGACACTTCTCGGCTGCCTACATCATGGATATCTATTTTTTCTTATGGTATGTTAAAAAAAAAGTCATGATGCGTGACGGCATAACCCATGGAAAATCTGCTTGAGTCCGGTCTTATGCAGTTCTGAGATCTCGGTTGTTTGATTTTGAATCCGATAATGAATCCCCGTCGTGGGCATTAAGCTGCAAGGGGTATCAGTGTACCTTTGGTGCGGACGTTTTCATCCTTTTTTAGATAGGGATGACAGTATCAGCATGGCACTACTGCTCTTTCACGGAAAACAACTTACTGTTCTCACTCCTTCCAGTCAACGGTACGACTTCGCTCTCAGACCCAGCATCAAAGTGTAGTAATTTACATTACAACAGTAACTACTTACTTCTAACCGCCTTTCTGGCCTGTTTGGACCTCGCAGGAACATCCGTTCCATCATCTTAGCTGGTCGGATCATTGTGATATACAACCACGACCAGCACATGAATTAGCAGCTGTCAGTTAGCAAAAGATATGAAGAGACTACAAGTTTTTGATTAGTCATAAGGATATCATTTCGTCACCAATCGGTTCGAATGCATAAAGTCTTGACCTGTCAGCATGTATTTGTCTGTGGCATCTCTTGGGATCGGAACCCAAGCGACGCTGCTTCCAAGGAGACTTTATCTGTATTTATGGTTGCCAAGTGTTCTAAATACATATTTCTAAGTCTATTATTACCAACCAAGTGGCTGAGTGGTTAACGCGTTCGCCGTAAAACCTGAAGGTCCTGAGTTCGACCCCTAGCCGGGTCACGGGTGTGTGCTGCCGAAGAGTACCATACTAGGACGAAGCAGCTGTCCAGTGCTCCCAAATTCTCAATGGTTCTCCAACCGATGTCAGTCGGTGATAAATACTACCTCTAAGTTAAAAATCCCCATTCACCTCAAAAATACATACTTGTCTCTTCATATCCAAGTTTTTTTTGACAGCTTTTTTTGTTTATTTTATCTAATGTCCTCAAGCCATGTATCATGCTTCTGTGTTAATTGTAGTTTATGTCGAAAATCCTACTGATTTCATGATCTGCGAGTGTAACCACCTAGATGCTGAGTAATAATCTGTTGCTCTTCAGAATGTAGATCTCTGTTCTTGTAGCTATTAACAGTTAGTCTTCATCTTTTATGTTGGATCCATACTTTCGATTATTTTCTGTTTTGCAGATTTGATTTCTTTGTGTGAATATTAGTTTTTCAGGTGAAAAATTTTATTTCGGTTTCCATTATTTCTCTTTCGAAATCGTATAGAATTCGTGGAACCAACTATCAGAGTCCACATGGAATACCTATTGATCTGCTCGACCGGTTGCTCATAATTTCAACTGATCCGTACACAGACAAGGAGATCCAAGCAATTTTGAAAATTCGATGTGAAGAGGAAGACGTTAATATTTCAGAGGATGCTTTAGTTGTTCTCACTCGAATTGGCATGCAAACATCTTTACGTTATGCAATTCAGCTCATTACTACTGCAAATTTGGTCTGCCGTAAGCGTAAGGTTAGTTTTGAAACTAAACACATTTCCCTGACTATTCTGATCTTTTAAATTGCTTTTATTTTATTTTTCATTACAAAAGAGTCTAAAGGCGTTTAGTACATTATCAGTAGTACTACTGATACAAGCACTTCGTGGGTTACATAAAATTTAATCTTTTGTTAAGAAAAGGCACGTTTTTAGCAGTCTTTGCCTCGTGTGTAATTCACATCTAATCAGTATGAATGAAACTACTAATGTATGTTTTTATGAAGTATATTCTTAGACTTCAGATGTAAGTTAGCTGGGGCATGCATATCTGAATAGAGGTATATGATATGCAGTGGTTTGCCATAAATGTTTCCAAGGTAAAACTGGCTTAGCAGCACTTTTCAGCATTGTCTGATCAAGGTCAATGCAGATCAGTCAATAGCTCCATACTACAAAATTTAGTTAACATAGTACAGCTCCAGAAGATTCATTTGTAGAAGTTACCAAAATACAACATCATCTCCAGAAAGATATCAGGAAGCATTTTTTCAGCATTACTGAAGCTATGGCAGCGCATAGTGTGAAGCAGGAGTCGTGAATCTAGAAGCAAGTTTGCCATTCACCATTCTTATTAACCCCTTAGTTTTTAAACCTTCCACCTAACTAATTTTTTTAATTCTCGCTCTGTTACTCACCGAATGTTTTCAGCTCATTTACGAATTTCTCATTCCCTTTCACAATGACAACTGTTTACAAATCCTTCAATTCTTGGTTTCACCTCAGTTGTTTGTTATTTATTCATGTTTCTTACATAACTTCCATCTCTATATTATTTTCCTGGCTATAAGCTAAAAAAAGCTATTGATTGACATTTTCACCCCTAAGCATGCACACTAATTATATTTAAGTGCGATTGTTCAGCCTCTGAAGATGTTATCACCAAAAACAAATTGGTTAGCTGAATTCTTTTTTCTTTTATGACTCATTGTGAGTATTTAAGACATTTATATTCCAACAGAGTAACCATACGCCATTTGCTCGATTCAGGAGAGTGTAGTGCCGTGGTAATTCTGTCTATCCAAACTACTGTATCTCGTGTTATTTTATCCATCCCTTTTATTTTCTCTATCTGCTCTATGTAACATCCATTTGTTTGTTTCTGTCTGACACTATCTTTATAGTATTACGGCGGTGATTATTTTATTATTATATCCGGAGAAAATGAGCGATACTTTTTATGAGGCAATTAATTTAACTAGACCTAGTACTACATGCTTGTGTAGTAAACTCAGCCACACTTGGTATGTTGTAAGAGTTGATGATACTGCTCGATTGCGCAGGTCGAAGTATTTAAACCCGGGACTCATTGCTTGAAAGTTGGGTTCCTAAGTCAGTGAAGAACATCTCATCTGGATGGTAAAATATGCTGCAGTCGAACTCTCAAGAGAACTGTTACGTAAGACTAAGGAAAAGTAAAGCAAATAATGATATGATGTTTTAGGAGAGGCATGGGTGCAGCTATCCGATATACACATTGCAGTGGTGTTTATATGATTTTTTGGGTACAGCTTTTGTCCGCACTTTTGTTATTTTACTCACTATTTTCCTCTTAACACATCTCAGGGTCTAGAAGTCAGTAAAGAAGATATACGCAAAGTATATTCTTTGTTTATGGATGAGGCCAGATCTACTTTGTTCCTTAAGGAATATCAACAAGAGTTCATGTTCAATGAAATAGCTGAAACACAGCCTTCGATTTCAGGTTTGTCCTTGATTCTGATTTTATTGTATCAGTCATATGATTTGTTTATTTGCACTAACAGAAACTCGATACCGAACCAAAATGCACCACACAAAATATCTGAGTAGCTCTATGATCTTATTAACAGGGTTATATAAAATCACTCAAGAATCTCATTACTTTACTTTCAAAGACAAAAAGAACTTGAAAAACTTCAGTATGGTTGGATTTCGGGCTATATCTGGTGTATTTTTGAAGCAAAATGTTGCATGCTCTCCTATACTCCACTCCTACCTAGAGGATTATAATGCACCAATAAACATTAACCCTACCCAGTTATTCTTCGTTCAAAATCTCTATTTTATTCGTTTTCAGAGCATTTAAGTAGTGCACATTATGGAAGTCACCTGTTTAATATTCAAAAGACACATCAAGTCACCGAAGGGGTAATCTCAAGACAATTTCATTTGCGCAGTAACAACATCTAGCCTTCTTGAACAGTCTCGAACCTCAAAATAGACCACTTAGTAGTGCTACCGTTTCGCAAAGACTTAGTCGAAAGTCTTCATCCCCAAGGGGCCGGTTTTCGCAGGTGTGTGGTGAAACTGTATTCCAAACCACAGTTTTTAATGTTGGACTAACTTAATAGCATCACATGCCACTATGACTTGTGCCATGGGACGTCTTCTGTTTACGCCAGAGAAGTGGGCATTCCAACGACTTTTATTGTCCATGACTCCATCCCTGGTTTTTAAAGATAATGGCTACACATTCACTGGTGTGGTTTGCTTGTTTAGACACTGGATACTGATGTAGATATAAAGGATTTGTCGTATGCAGCAAAATGGTACAATGTTCGCTAAGATTATAGTGACTTTTCACCTAAAAACTGGCTACTGGTTTCTAAACTAAGCGTTTTTCAATTAACGGCATTGATGTTAAGATGTATGAATATCTTGAATTCTTACTTCATTGCTTTCACGGCTTTCTTTTTTCCAGGTGACAAACCAAGTGCATAGCACGTAACTATCTGCTTCATTGGAGTACTACTGGTTATTTTTATGTGAATAGATTTGACTTCTGATGTGCTATTTTCATCCTTACCCATTTGTTCATGTCCCTGAATAACGTTTATACGGGGTTTCATTTAAAATAAATGAGTAATATTCGATACTTAGTGTTATTATCACTTTGGAAAATGAAAAGGAGATGCGATCAGTCGTTAGTCACAACCATGTAGTGCATTGCTTCAAAACCACATGTAGCGCGAAATTCGCATAGTTGTTAATTATCGAAAATCTGACGAATTATTTTTTGAATACTAAGTGACCTGAATGAAGTTAGCTGAATAATTTATCGAGATGGTCATTAAGAAATACGTAGAAAGAATATAAAGCGTGACTCTATTAAATGGCGTACTTCACGGAGGTGTCTTCATTGAATCGTAGACTGCATCAGCATGCGAGCCCCTCTATGTCAATAGCTGAATCCAAGCCTTATGAATATTCAATTCCTTTGGCTGTACAATATATTTCCATAGGAAAGCCTTTCGAGTTATACCTTGGTAGATATCGTAACCATTACTTTTGACCTGACAGAGCCTGAACGTGTTAATGAAGAAATGCCGTACAATCCTACACAGGTTTGACAAGCTACGCTGTGCATTGTACTTACTTGAATTCTTCAGTGATTCACATAATGAAATCAAGTCTACTACGTTAGAAAAATACCCTGAAGGAAACTTTACTACGAGTGCAGCAGACTTGTAGAAAACGCAGTCACCAACTCAGTATGCACTTCGAATTCAGATATGATACTGTGGGCATAGTTCGCTAGAAACCCTGCATTGAAATAGTCACGACATATCCTGTTCATTGGTGCAGTAAGAAATCAACAGGCACTCCATCGGTATTACATCAACCTATATATACCGATTTAAGTACACATACTAAAGACGGGTAGACAACCTAAATCTCGCACAGAAATACGTCTGCTCAACTTACCACGACTCACTAGAACATTGGAATTATGAGGATGAAGAGTGATAGAGAAAATGTTGAAGGGAGTGAATTCATGCGCATCTGTGTTCGAATTCAACGCTATCCCCAATAGTCTATAAAATTGTATCGAGAATACTTACTAGGCAACTGAAACCGACAGTCATACATAGACTGGGGCATTGGCTTGGTCTGAAAATGATAGCTTTCTAACTTCGGATAACGTAGTCCGTTGACTCACCACATACCGCACGGCTTATCCACTCAGCGAAGTCTAACAACGTTATTGGTTCCCTTTTCTCCTTCGCCAAATACTTTAAAGCTTGACATCAACATTGCTAGCTGTGATTACACTAAAACAAAAAGTGCTTGTCTGTAAAAAAACTTTCCCATGCACTCCAACTACAGTGTAATGGAGGACAAAGTGAACCGCTGCCCTTTTGATTTACAGGAGGATATCACGTCAACGGTATCTATTCTTGTGTCATAAAGCGATGCTTTCAGTAAGACATATTTCCAAAACTTAGGCGTACTTCACCAACTTAACCCTCGTTTGAAATGTTTCGCTAAACTACTTCAACACCCTATCAACTGGTTTCCGATCGATTAACTAAAATATGTCCAAATAATACAGCAAGTCAGTGCTTAAATAATACAGGTTGCAAGGAGCTAGTGAAAAGTAAAGGGACAAACTATTTCATGTTAATTTTTTCAAACGTACGTTTTGCCGTTTTCAAACTTTTGGGGGATGAGATCGTTCTCAAAAGTTGCACTTCATAATTACTACTATCTACGCTGCGCCACAAAATAATTCCTCGTAAGTTATGAAGTCCACCATTTGAGCCTTTTTCATGGTCATAGAAAATATTACAACTGATATCAGTCTACGATGAATAACACCTTGAAATATTTCCAAATCTCCACAACTCCCTCAACATTCCACCTGTGTTGAGTCCTTATTAATTTGGTATGGCTGAGAACACCAATAATGTTTTCGACTTCATCCCATCTTCCCCTTCTATATCGTCGTTAGTTTTGCCGGTTATTGCGGAAAAAATCCTGCACATTAGAGAACAAATACTGCTTTGATATAGGAATCTTTCAAACCCGTATTTGACTTAAGCCTTCAGAGGATATGTAGCAAAGGAGTCACTGGCAATGAAAACATGATATAACGCATTTTTTTTTTGCAAAAAACCGTTGAATCCACTACCGATCATAATAAGCCAATAAAAAGAATATGTTGATGAGTCTAGTCATGTATTTACGCGTACACAAATCTAACGGGTATATAAGTGAGATGACCACAGCATCGCGATTGGGTCAAAGAATAGTAAAATCCACTGTTAGCTCACTACAGAACAACCTAGAGGATACTGGCGAAACTCTAGTTTTATCACCATTGAGACTCTCCAGTTACTGAGCATAGTAGAGGTGATGGCACCACAACACTAGCACCTTTGTTGTCAGCTTACTTATGTATTTGAACTTGAATTCGACTACCACAACGACACATTCTCCACTCATCATTTGAAATTAGACAATAAGCTGGATCAGCATTTATTCCAACCTTTACTTGGGGGACACTCAACAATTACATATATGGTCACGTAATGGGTAATCAGCCACATCTCTTGCTTGAGGTTGATGAACAGATCGTAATTTTCCTAAAGTTTTCTCAAAGCTGCGTGAAAACAATATCAATTTTTCATGCTTCTAGGAAAATTGAGTCATTTTCCAGTTGTAGACCAACTACTGACTGATTCTATCTGGTTTTATAAATTTTTACCAAGCCGAAGTTGTAGAGGAACGATTAGAGTTAAGAAATATTTTCTATAGACGTGTTCAACCAAGTGGTTATGAGACACAAGTAAGCAACAAAAATAACTAACTGAATAACATTTAGTTTTCTCCCCAATGCAAGAAAGCATCCGTTTACACACAGTTACCCTATCATGGTCCTAATAGTCTGCAGGCGACATACAACGTAGTTTTGCCGTCGCAGTTACATAAAAGTATTAACTTCATGATAGACGCTTTCTATGGTTCTTTCATGCATTTACCCTACAACCCCAGAAAGTGTCTTGCTGTCAAGCTTTTTGTCTTGTTTGCCGATTATATGAAGGCCATCGGAAATCCAAGACAATACGATTTTGCTTTAATAAATGTACAGTAAGATTTTCGCTAGCGCCTTTTCACATGTAGACGAATTCTTTGGGTTTATGAATGCTTGACGAATTAGTGATATTGATGTCAAGACAAAAGGGGACAGAATTCCAACATATATTCGTAATATCACCAGTACGTAATTAGAAATAACGAAGTAGGCATTTTTCTGAGTTATTTCCATAACCTTTCTAGACTATATCTTAAAAGTTATAACACAGTAAATTGGTGTAGAGGTGATTTTCTCAGCAGTATTCTACAAACAGTGTTGAGTTTGAGCATTCGTGGCATGGGGTATACATCAATATGTTAGTCAGCATCGAAATCACGTGCAGCATACAGAAAACACGCTTATATGTGTGTATAGCACATTCTATACAAATTCCCCACTGGCATTACACACTTTTATACCTATGATTTTCAAAATAAAAATATGCATCACTTCAACTGATAGTTTTCAGATGGCTTCTATTACTCTGGAGACACCCATATTTTTCTAAATGTAATAGGATTCTCCTTAAAATTCAGTTTTATATTACGTGAATGGTTTTGAAGAAATTAAAGTCAAGGTACTCAAATCATAAGTGAAATTAATTAGTGTTCATCTGTACAATATCTGATAACTGATTATTGAAGTACTAGTTACATAAAATGTGACATTGGGTCATCACGGTTCATCTTTGTACGATAATAAGCTTCCATTTCTTCTACAGTGGGAGGTTTAACTTCAGCAAGTGAATTGTATGGTCGCTTACGCTCGTCCATTGCAAGATATTCATCTACTGCTTTCAAACGTTCTCTTTCCTTCTTTATAGCTTCTTGGATTAACCGCTCCTGAATTTTATCAATATTGTCTTCCGATTCTTCAGATGAACCTGAACTACTACTGCTACTATTACGTCTACGTTTATGCTTATTTTTGGAAGATTTCTTGAGATGGTCTTTTCTTTTTTCTTTTTATCGGCCCGCTGAGCACGAATACGCTCACGTCGAGATTCTGACCGAGCTAACTCTTTATCTCTAGCTTCTTTAGTTTTGGGGTCTGAAGTGTATTCATCTAAGTCTGCTTCTACTGGAGACCTAGAATGCGGCTGTTCGCTGAATATTTCTTGATGCTGATCTTTATCACTGACGCGAATTGCTAATTCCTCTTCAGAGGAGTTGCCACTTGAACTTGAGGATGAGCTGGAGCTAGATCGGCTTGAAGTCTGTCTACTTTTCACTCGTTTTCGCTTCCTACGTTTTAAAGTTTCACTATCTGCATGACTTTTTGAATTGGCTTCAATATCAGAATTTGTCTCACCACTTGTAGGCATGGGTGGTGGTTGTAGCAGCGCCATAGCTGTTGCACCATCCGGGACTTCTGGAAAACTTATTTGTTTGCTTTTTTCTCCCAAACAGTAAGACTCCTTGATGAGTGAATGACAGCATCGATAACCCCACTGGCCATTGAACCAATATGAGCCCCATACACTCTACACAAAATTTAGTATGATAGAATAATGAACACACTTTAAATAAGCATATGTTTAGGTACATATGATGGTAACAGCGAGAATAAAAACAATATAAATGTGTATAAGTGTAAAACTTGGGCAGTGTGGTAGAATGTAATTTCATGATGGATTTGTTTCTTTGATAGCGCTCAGTGACAGCATTATTTACTTGATGACAATTCGAGCATAAATTATTGCTCATAATCATATCAGTGGAATCAACATCCATTCGATTTCTGATTTCAGAAGTTCTGTCACCTTAAGTTCTTTGTTTTTACTGATAGTAAAATGTTCCGTATCTCTGGTATAGGTGCTGCGTCATTTCTATTACATATGCTGGGTGTAGATTCGATGAAAAAAAGAATATCCAGTGACAGGACTACTAAAATCTAATATTGAAAAGAGTGCGATTACACTTACATGATTATGAGCAATAATTTAGGCTCGAAACGTCATCAAGTAAACAATACTGTATCACTGTGCGCTATACAACAAATACGGAATCGAAAAAGACAAAATCAACGCAGAACACTGCAAAGTAGTGCATCCCTCCAAGTAGCCATACCTTACAGCAACAAGCTAAAAAGAAGTGAATAGGAAAAGAGGAGAAAGAATTTGAAGAATGAAAGTTAGTGAGCAGGTTCAAAATTTCGAGAATGACAAGGAGTGAACACATTTGCGCCATTGTGATCGATTTTGCACTGTCACCAAAAGTCTCCAACCACTGATTCTCATCCTCTCTCGGACCCCAGTCAGGTAGCCTACACGTTTCGAACCAAAAGTCAGAGACTTCATAAAATGATGGCACATATGTTTTTCTGTTTACTCTGAGCCTTCTTCCCCTCATTTCCTACTTCAGTTAACACTCCACGTCCAAGCCACCCTAGTCAGTGAAAGTTCTTTGTCTAGTAGCATTCACCTAACCTTGGCATTGCTCACATGATAATTCCACCATGCCATGGGCAGTGGTGGGAAGATGCGTATGGTCAAAAATGTGTAGTCTCTTCATATCTCCCGTTCTCAAAGGCCATATCTCACAGTCACGTAATAAGACAGGGAGACCTAAAGCGCAGTATACTCATTCTTCTAATCGGTGGTAGGATATCTCTCTAATGTCAGTATCGGTGTAACTTGGCAAATACCAGATGAGATTTTCGTATCTCACCTGAGATTTCGTAAATAACTAACTCATTTGGACTGATGCAACTTCACATGTAACTCAAGTAGTCAATATGCTCTACCAGTCCAACCTCTATCCTTAAATTAAGTGTCAGTGTCAGTGCAGATCAGTCTTGAAGCACTGACTTACTTACTCTAGGCAGGTATGAAACCCATATCAAACGTACACACATTCTATTCAAGGTGATCAAAAGAGTCTGCATCTTTTCAGCGTCTTCGTCTAACGGGACTGTGTCGTCTACATACTCTAAGTCAACCGGGTGCCCTGCAAGGAGTAGGTTAGTTCCTGTGACATCACAAGTGCATAGTTATTTCCATCACCACGTATATAACAAAGTTAAACAGAAACGATGATAACCGCCATTCCTGGGGGACATCACTAGTTTTCATTACTTCAAATGACACCCCTCCCCTCCCCCCCCATGAGCCCTTGACACAACTGCGTGAGTATGAGAAGAGAGTGTTGATTAGCATAATGTACTTGTTGGTACTTCCTCGTTGATTAGTATAAAAATAAAAACAATAACTTGCTTGGTTGTGGCAAGCAGTGGAATCCTAATCGTACACTACGTAGCACTTAGTTGTCCGCTGGATCTACTTGCCGCCCAGTTAGCGATGTTGTCTACACTAAAGTCAGAACCCAGCATCCATCTGAGTCACGACAGACATATCTAGAGAAAATCATGGCATAATAAACCTGCAAACAATATTGAAGCATCCATGCAGAAGTTCATATGTCAATTAATATCAATTTATCCGATTTAGTATAACGGTAAGTTACAAGTACCAACAAAATAATAACATAAGCAGCCTTAAAAACGTAGACGACAAAAAGGGAAAATGATAAACAATATAAGTAGAGGCTACTGTAATTTAAAAGAGAAGGAGTGGGTGCAACATATTTTAAACCATATTTCAAACCACCGAATGTGGTTGCCTTGTGGATCCTAAAAAACAGGAATACACTTTCTCTCAGCAAATTGATAACCAATCTGAAATTTCTTTTACTTAGGTGACTAAACGAAACAAGTTAGGATACAATTACACTTTCTAATGACTGACACAGCATTTTGTGAATCACAAGGAATTAGTCATGCATACAGTAAATTAGTGAATCAGTAAGAACCTGGGATTGCTGTGTAGTGGTCCAAGATGTCATACATCATATCAGCGCACCAAGCGACAAAGCGCCAAGGTTAAATGTCAATAAATAAGAAAGCAATCGAAATTGGTAGAACGTCGTGAAAAGAATGAGACAAAATCCAGTGAAATGAAGATGATGTATGAACACATCTGTGCCATCGAGACCAATTCTCAGTTGTATTGTCTACAGTTCCCAACCACCGGTTTCTGTTCTCAAGCAGATCCCAACAAAGAAGTCTAAATTCCTCTATTCGGTTCAAACTAACGGTCAAAAGCTTCATTTCGTAGTTTAGCCAAGCTTAACCTTTAACAACCTAGGCTTACTTTACTTAACAATGTGACGAAGTAGATGGTGACGAGGGATTCGTAACACATGTTCAAGTCATCTGCATCGATGACGATGCATAACTCCTTTGCCCAAAACTCTTCGTCTGACTTCTGCGTAACTGACAAAGTGGTTCCATGACATGTTGCTCATACTACGAAGGTAACTATTGTCAAACACCTGAACCCTTGTCATGTACTCACAAAAACCAGTTAATAAACTCAATGTCCGTAGTGGAAGACTGTGGGGCTGGGGATGAGAGGTCAGTCTTTTCTAATCCCCGCTCACATAGGGAAGACGCCATCAGCATTAACTCCTGCTTATTCGTGGGAAACACGTCACTGTTGTAGCATTCCCCTTCTGTTAGCAGTACTTTGTTCTCCTACTCGTATTATAGCGTAGAAATTTACACCACTATCCAACACACCTCTGGAGTAAGGTAAGACCTCGACTAGCAAATGTACCCACTAGCAAAGCTCGTTGGGTCATTGTGATATGCAAGTCTGACAACCACTTCAAGTTGGCACTAATAGGTTGAGCCAATGGTGAAGTATAAGTTGAGTGGTGTACGCCAGGGATATCCATTGTCTCAACTTATATTTAACTTCATTAAGGTGCCTGCTATGGATCAGCGAGATAGTAAGCGGTTCAATACAAGTGATGCTTACGAGTTAGAATTTACGTTAAACATGTAACCCATAATTCGGAGGATGGTTTGTCGTATCTCAAAGTAATCTTAGTAATATACTTTATTCAATATACTAACCACTTTTTAAATGAATTAAGGCGCATGTTAGACAGCACAATGACCCAATGTGAACAGTTTTAGAGACGTTCTTTTTGATCTCTTTCAGATCACTAGGGCTTAATTGTTTCGATTCTAACAAGACAGCAGATTTGCCCATCTAATTTTCAAGATAGAAGGCAAACCTTATCTATATAAAATGTATGAACACGCCTATTTGGTGAGAAAGACTGTCAGATCATTGACATAACATTACAAATAAACATCATTTTCCATAGCTACATATATGCACAGCATATATAATAGCTAAATTCATGACTACAATAACTATCCAGTTTAAAACCCGATCAACAGCTGATACATTGGTGTGGTAGTCAAAGTTGCGTATTACTATGACCCGACAGGTTATTCTGCCTGGAACAAATGCTCCCTGAGGCTGTACACGCCTGGAAGGGTCTGCTGAAAGTGTAAATATGATACGCTGTGGTGGAAGCTCGACGGCGAAGTCGTGATGCGAGCTGAACGGAGTGCGACAGCAGTGAAGTGTTTCTTACGGATGACCAGCAATCCATGCTGATGCTCTTTCGTATTAGAAGTATGGGTTAGAAAGCGTCAGTCCCGAAAATAGCACACTCCTCTTTGTTCTGTGGTATTCTGGCCCCAACGGTATGCGTTTTTCTTGTCCGATGATGAAAAAATTATATCCAAGTCCAAAACTCTTGAAAAGATCAAGTGACTGATCTTAAACAGTTGTATTTTGGATACTACGATCATGCAAAACTAATCTCTTTTCTTTTTCATATACCTTATAGGACCAATTCCAGTGTGGGCGGCTGAGAAGTACCAACTTCCCACACATTTCCAACAGCATATAAAACCCAAGTGAAAATAAACTAACTGCCTTACTTTTGTCACCTCCCTTGCCTTCGCTTGCTGATACCGACACTAGGCTAATTGCAAACTTTTCAACCTCTCATACTGCGAACATTGCAAGCGATCTACACCAGCAAAATATCATTCTTAGTCTCCAAAAACAAAGCCGCCAATTCTACTTGGAAATTCCCACATCTGAGCCCTATGCCGAAATCTGACTACAAGTGTCAGTTGCACGACTCTGGAATCTTAAACCCTTCGTATGAGCTGACTTTCTGAGATACGTATACACGACGCAAGTGTGCCTATTTACTTGATCATATTTGGTCACTGTGGTAAATCTGCAAAATCCCCTCTAAAAGTTTTAAGAACTACAAAAAATTTTGACGCCTATTGCCAATCTCCACCTATGCTCCTATTGACTGAAGTTCATATGACACAAAAGATGAGTTTTATTAAAAGTTGTTAGTAGCTCAACATACAGCAAAAAGTTCACATACAGTCACAACAGAGCCCAACTTCAAAGCTTAAGCATGGAAGCTGGGCCAGTCGCAAAGCAATCTTGAACGTCCCTGATGCAACCAGACAGATATATCAACGTAGAATCTCGTAAGTAGATCGCCACAACTTGCCATATTTCACAGTAGTATACAAAGAAAAAAATCGACAGAAAAAGATTGATATCAAAGTACATAAAGTTGTCAGAAAATAAACAATTTGAAGAAAGAGGTTGGTGTGAATAGTCAAGCTTTAGATATCAAGGAGTGGGTACATCTGCACCATCGCGATCGATTTTCAGGCATGTCACCAGGAATCAGTCCTCAACCACTGGTTCCTTTTGGTTCAGGTACCCTAGTCAGATTGTCTGCATCTCCCCACACGACTCAGACCAATAGTAAGAGGCTTCATAGACTGAAGTCATGTCTTATTCTAGCCATCTGAATCCTCTGTCAACCTCATCCAACTCCTCCTAGCATGGGACATCCAGGTAAACGGTAATTCGGCACACGCAGTACATATCTAAAGCACATCATGTGACTTAGATTCATAACCTTATCAATCGACTTGCCTATTTTGCTTAATACCCTTCTCCTGACCTCAACAACACTCACATGGTGATTCCAACAAACGTGAGCAATGATATGAAGATACCGGTGATCGAAAGCCTGTAATCGTATACGTCTTCTACTTCCAACTATCATATCTCACAGTTTTACAACAAGAGAGAACGAACTCCAGTGCAGCATACTCAGCCTTCGACAGATAGTCGGATATCTCGCCAGTTGTCGCCACAGATGACGCAAGCTGGCCAGTGGCAAACGAGACTTCCGTATCCAAGCTGAGACGTCATCAGGAATAGGACCGTTCGGGCTGATGCAACTACCCAAGTAAGTGAAGTGGTAGACACATTCCTCCACTGCGCTCCCTATCATTGAACTGGGAGCACTTGCAGCAGAACAGTCCTGTGGCATCATCATCATCTGTTTGACAGGTGTGAAACGCATCCCAAACATTCTCAGATTTCTGCTCAACGCCTTCACAAGACCCTGCCTTGCGTCGGCGACTTCATCCAGTAGAACAATATCACTTGCATACTCCAAGTCAAACAGATGACCTTTAAGGAGTGGGTCGATCCCTGTGAAGTTGGACGTACATAAAGTTATTTCTATTAGTACTTCTATGACGAATTTAAGTAGGAACGGTAACAGTGGACATCCCTGGCGAACACTACTAGTTGTCGTCAGTTCACATGACAACTCTCCATAAACCCTGACACGGCTGAGTAACTTCAAGTACAGCTTTGATAAACACTATATACTTGCTCGGTACTCCCTTCACAGTCACACACTGTCACAAAACCTCACGGTCGACTGAGTCAAATGCAGCCTTCGATCAAGAAATATGCCAAGTATCAGACACAAGTAGGCAGGTAGGCAGGTATACCTGTGTTCCAGAATCTGTCGGAGGGTAAAACTATGATCGATGCACCCTCGTCCACGTCCACGTCCGAAACCTGCATGACAGTTTTCTCGAGCTACAATTACACGTCTCATAACTATGGACACCAGCATAGTCGACACAACATTGGTCAAACTAATTCCACTATGGTTGTCACAACAAGATTTCTCTCCCTTCTCATCAACTAGGATGACCAGTGAAGTACATCAGTCTGATGGCACTAGCTCTCATCCCCCTACACTAACAAGTACCTCCGTCACTTTACGCGGCAATCTCCTACTTCCATCCTCGAACACGTCAGATGGCAAGTTGTCAAGTCCTGATACTCTCAGTCGTTTCATACAGCGTTCCATACAGCGTTTTCAACTTCAAGCAAAATCGAAGGACTAACATCTGCATCCAATTCAGGTCCAGACTAGATGCTGGACAACTAGACACTTTCTGAAGGCCAGCTGAACTGTGCTTCAAAGTATTTTGCCCAACGTTTTAGCCGCCTGTCCTGGCAGGTTATGTGGATACAATGCTTTCCGGTTCCGTTCCACTAACCAATGTTTTCTTCTTGCCAGTATCCTTAATAAGCCTAAATAACTACCGAGTGTTACCCAACGCTAATGTCTTCTCCATCTCTCTCGTTCACAACACCCACCACTGCTAACGATCACCATCATTGGGGAAGACTCTTATTCACCAACTCGCATCCAAGTTGCTTTTATTCTTCAGCATGGTCGCAGACAGCCAAATAGAATCAGTCTTCTCGCATCAACGAGTTTAGATGATGTCGTAGAAATCCAATGACGTCTGCTCACCTTCCTTCATGTCTAGGTGGTTACCAATTGTCTTTGCCGCTGTTTCTACAACAGACAATACGATACTCGCTTTCTTCACAATGACCATTGCTGTCATGTTCAGAAAAATCCTCAGCTAACTCCTCCATGAATACGTACTTGTCGTCCTTATCCTCCAGTCGACCACAGACAAACTTTACTATCACCTGTCTCTTGAGACCTGTAAGGCGCGGACATACGCGAACCCATACTATCGCCTGGTCGGAGTCCGAAGCGGAACTCCACCGATGGTTTCTAGCAATGTGATCTATCTGTATGCATCGTTGGTTTGATGTCAGTGAACGCCATCTGAGACAGTGTCTCTCCTGATGCTTAAAGTTAGTCCTGGCCAAAAACAAGTGACTCTCATAACAAAATGGCAATAGACGATCACTGTTCACGGTTCGTTGGCATAGGATTCCGAAGATGCCTTCTCGATTGGCTCAGCTTCCCTACTTGAGTGTTAAAGTCAATCATCTACCAGTATGATTATATCTGAGCGTTTCGCTTTCTGTAGCAAAATTGACAGCTTCTCATAGAATTCATCCTTTGCATCATCCGAACTGCAGTCGGTGGGTGCGTAGGTGGAGATTACGAATAGGCATCGGTTGGTTTCACAACCCCTCCTAGTTCTTACATATCCGTTCAGTTGAACACCACATAGATGGTTGTTGACTGGTATCCAATCGAGAAGTGGACTTAATGCCATACAGCTGAATGCTATGTCTGCACCAGTGACTCCACGAAAGCTAGCCACTGAGTTTCTGGATACTCTTAAGGTGGACGTTGATTCACTACTTTGACCAGGTGATGTCAATGTAACAAGCACACTCGGATCCTGTATACTTATCTCACAGACAGTATACATGCGTGGCTAGAGATTCCAGAGTTTTTCTAAAATTGATGCTTGCTATTCCATTCGACATAGAGTTCGGACGTTGAATGCTCCTACATGAAGTCGAAGGCAGGGTCTTAGGAGGCTAGGAATGGGGTTTCGACGGTCTTGATCGTTGGCAGTGGTCGCAGAGTGAGAGACCTGATATTAGTATCAGGAGTTGAAGGTAAATGAGGAGACGGAAATGGGGAGGGAATGTACTTCTTATTAGGGTACCTGGAAGACGACATGATTAGTGAGACCATAGAGCCCAAGGGACATCTGCTTGAGGCCAGTTACGGACAAACTTTGGTGGGTAGTTGTTTTGACGTCTGGTTATTCTAACGCTGGATGGAGAGAACCGATACTGCCGGGACCGAAAGACCATGGAGCATGGTGGAGTTTGTTACGTTGGGGTTCAGTCTTTTCTAACCCTGTCTCCTTCCGTTAAGAAGGCAGAATCAGCGTGGCATTGCTAGTCATCCAAGGGCAACATCTTAACGCCGTCTTACCCTCGTGCAGTCAGCAGTACGAATTCACTCTCCGAACCCTATCATAGCGTAGTAATTTAACTTATCCTACGTTGATAAAACAACATCATAAGTCTTTTGTAAGAGGTTTAGTGATAGCGTGTGATTGTAGAGGAAGTACCAACAAGTACATTATGCTAATCAACACTCTCTTCTCATACTCACGCAGTTGTGTCAAGGGCTCATGGGGGGGGAGGGGAGGGGTGTCATTTGAAGTAATGAAAACTAGTGATGTCCCCCAGGAATGGCGGTTATCATCGTTTCTGTTTAACTTTGTTATATACGTGGTGATGGAAATAACTATGCACTTGTGATGTCACAGGAACTAACCTACTCCTTGCAGGGCACCCGGTTGACTTAGAGTATGTAGACGACACAGTCCCGTTAGACGAAGACGCTGAAAAGATGCAGACTCTTTTGATCACCTTGAATAGAATGTGTGTACGTTTGATATGGGTTTCATACCTGCCTAGAGTAAGTAAGTCAGTGCTTCAAGACTGATCTGCACTGACACTGACACTTAATTTAAGGATAGAGGTTGGACTGGTAGAGCATATTGACTACTTGAGTTACATGTGAAGTTGCATCAGTCCAAATGAGTTAGTTATTTACGAAATCTCAGGTGAGATACGAAAATCTCATCTGGTATTTGCCAAGTTACACCGATACTGACATTAGAGAGATATCCTACCACCGATTAGAAGAATGAGTATACTGCGCTTTAGGTCTCCCTGTCTTATTACGTGACTGTGAGATATGGCCTTTGAGAACGGGAGATATGAAGAGACTACACATTTTTGACCATACGCATCTTCCCACCACTGCCCATGGCATGGTGGAATTATCATGTGAGCAATGCCAAGGTTAGGTGAATGCTACTAGACAAAGAACTTTCACTGACTAGGGTGGCTTGGACGTGGAGTGTTAACTGAAGTAGGAAATGAGGGGAAGAAGGCTCAGAGTAAACAGAAAAACATATGTGCCATCATTTTATGAAGTCTCTGACTTTTGGTTCGAAACGTGTAGGCTACCTGACTGGGGTCCGAGAGAGGATGAGAATCAGTGGTTGGAGACTTTTGGTGACAGTGCAAAATCGATCACAATGGCGCAAATGTGTTCACTCCTTGTCATTCTCGAAATTTTGAACCTGCTCACTAACTTTCATTCTTCAAATTCTTTCTCCTCTTTTCCTATTCACTTCTTTTTAGCTTGTTGCTGTGATGTATGGGAACTTGTAGTGATGCGGTGCTGTGGAGTAACCTAGTTAGGTTTGTCTGGTTTGGACGGTCTAAAAGGATGTAAATTTTTAAGAGCTGTAAAGCTAGTTTTATTGTAACTGTTTCAATGGTTATTACAATGTGTCGACATACTTCAGGATTTAGAAACGAAATACTTACCGTGTGATTGTTATTGAAAACATCTTCTTCATAGCGGGATTTGACTGTAGGCTGTTCTGCGCCTTTAATCATACGACCAGTCGGTGAATATTCAGCATATGATTCCCACTGACCAAACAATAACTCTTTTGGAGGTGCTTCTAAATGTTCATGACCACCATAGCGTTCAAGAATTTCTGCACGCACTTTATTTTGGACGTCACATTTAGCTTTAGAAACTTTTTTGGCTAACAATTCCAGACGAGTTGGATCTGCCTAGGAGAGAAAAAATACGATTCAGATGGAGAAGGTAACGGAATGATGATACCAATAAACGAATAAACCACAACAGCGATCATTACACTACATAAAAAAATGGAAAACAGGTGGTTATAACAGGAAAATAATGAGTTGCCTGTTGTTAAAAGTCTATTCATATACTTACTTGTAAGTGAACATCCAAACCCAACTTATCATGCATTTCCCAAGCAAATACTTGTCTTTCGATCATGTCATGGACTTCACCATCAAAACGAACAAAGTTATCTCCAGCAAACGGTACTTCTGACTCTGGTTTTCCACTATTTTCAAAGGGATTGCCACGCATAGCGCGAGTTTTTGAGTCGTAGTATGCGCTATTAGGATCCAGATTGAATAGATATTTTGCAGTATCCTCACGAATACGCAAGTTACGGATAGATTGACGCTGTTTACTATCAAACTTTTGGCCAGGCATATCTAACTCATCACCATATCTGTCACCATCTTCTATATCAAAATCTCCATCTTCATCCAAACTGGGTTTAGCAGCAGACGCTGCAGGTTCTTCCTGTTAAGAGAAAAAAGAGTCAACGTCACTCAGAGTAAAAAGACATTTAATGGTGGCCAATATGCCACTGGTATGTAGAATGCAAGACAGTACATGGTCCTTTTGTTCTCCGGGTACATATGTCTCATATTCCCTCTTAAGTAGAAGGATTTATAAAGGAGTTCAAATCCATTACGTAGTAAATTTGACGATATAAACCATCATTTGCAATATTTAGATGATAGCTATTGAATATCAAAGTTCAGATAACACGAAACCATCATTCTCATCCCGAGCTACAAATTTTTTCCACCATTTTAAAGATATCATTGGATGACACTATGTGCATAGTCATACAAGGTGCAATTATTTATTTTAAATTAACCCATTCACCAACCAATACATGTCTTATTGATGACATCAAGAAGGATGAAACTTACTGAACAGGAAAAGCTGGATAAAACGCTACAGAACTTATCGATCGTTACATAAACACAAACGTTTGATGTATCCTTAGAAATCTTATTAGTCGCACCTTTAACAGCACACACAACGGCCTAATTACACATACTTTTCGATAACTCCAAACGGTCTACAACCAAGAGTTAGTGCAGGTACAGGCTCTACCTGATTAGTTACGAAATACTAACTAATATTTGCTTTATCTCATAAAGCCCCTTATTTTGTTAAACCAGTATCAACCAGATTATAATACTTACTTGTCCACCACTTCCTTCAGTCGCCTTGGTCAGCTTTTCTTCTAACTTCTTTGCTTTGGCTATTTTTCTTGCTTCTTCGAGACGTTGGTATTCTTCAAATATTCTTTTGTGCTCCGATGGATCATACCCATTCCAGCGATCACGTTTACCTTCGTAGTCCAGTTCCAGTGTTTCTTGTTGATATTCATCTCCAGCAATATCCATTCCAGTGTACTTTGCACCTACCTAAAAGTCGAAGTTCATTAGCGTTTAATTTTATCACACACTTCATAGGAATTGTTTTATGAAACTCAAATTTACATGCTGTTTCTTTCATGACATTTGGTAAACTAGGCAGGTTGCCAAACAGTGTGAATCCTCTATTTTGCAACAAAAATCTGATTCGAAAGATGCGACGTAAACCTTCACATCAGTCGAAGACTAGTTAAATCTAGCCTTAATTAATTTATAAATACTATACCAACTACGTGCTGCAGAAACTTGGAAGACAGTATCAAGTGGTTGCATAAGAGTCCGTTTTTTGGAATGCGTTGTAAAAATTATATTTTACAGACAATTTGCAATAATTTCATTTGCACACTGAAATGAACATAGGTATTGATATTTGATGCGTTCAGAGACAAATTTTAATTGCTAGTCTCGCTAAACTTTTGGTAAGCTGTTGGGTTGAACCGTTATCTACCTGTTGAAATTTTGACAGCCACATTGTATCACGTTATGCGGCAAACATGTACAGACTCATGAAGTGTAGTAACTTGAGTTACTACGTAACAATCCTAACTTCTATGTTGGTGATGACTGTTATTGGTCTAAGTAGTCCATCTACTCCCAGAATGGTAAGTGCTCAGTAATCCTTGTGATCTGTTACATTTGATCAACCAGATATTAATCGGCTAAATCAAGTTTAATCAAAACTAAAATCGGCTGTTGACCAGTTCAGTGATCAACGATATTTTTACCCTAAGCAGAATGAATACTCTTTCACCTCTAATTTTTAAGGACTTAGTACATGTATCACTAGTTGGTAACAATAGGTTAGTACTAAGATATTTTTATTTTCCCTGCATTTTTGCAAAATAAACAATTTATTCACCGTGTTCTTAACTTTTTTTGGTCGCTTTGCCACTGCTAAGTGAATAATACTATCACACATGAAGAAGTACGACAGCTGTTTATTCCAAGGTCTGTCTTCAAGAGAAGTGAATCAATCTTTCCCGCGAAAACCAAGAAAAATATTGAAAACTTCCTTACAGTCGACTAACATCTGAGAAAGAAGCGATGGAATAAAACTTGAAACATACGACACCAATCTAAAGGTGTTCGATATATTTTGAAATCCATTCCATTCAATTCACAAGATGACATTTCGAGGATTTCTTATATAAACTGAGGAAACGAAACATCATAGAAACCCTTTCCCAAGTAAGAAACGCAAGCAGTCCAAGTGATTACAGATGACAATAAAGTGACGACCGTGACGACGCATTTCCAACGTCTTTTATGTCACTATGAAACAAACTTTATGAAAAAAAGTCCCATCAATCAAAAATAGATGAGACCAATCAAATTAAAATATTCGTTACTCAGATATAGGAAAAACGAGGCAAGATGAAACAAGTGCTATGTTGCTCGGAAAGCATGAAGTCTTTACGGTAAAACCCTTTAATATTATTTCAGTTCCCACTTACCTATAGCATGCCACCATATAATTGAGGATCCCGGTCACTTCGATTCATAAGATAGATATCAAGTAGTCATCATAAAATTACATGTTGATAACCTTAATACATGAAAACCATAAGGATAATCTGAAAGGTTAAAACGATTTGCCCGCAAAGTGACTTTATTACTGTGTACACAACGTGACCTCCGTAAAAGTTATTTCTGCACAACAAACTTTTTTCATGAGAGAAAATCTACTAACAGAAAAAAGCCTGCATATATTCAAATAAGGTTTTTGACAATGTACCTCATGGCAGGTCGCCTACGAAGCTATAAACTCAAGGAAAGATGGGAAATCTCTATGCGTTCAACAGGTATTACTTTCTTTCGGAGATGTAGAACTATAACTAATTCCAAACATCTCCAGAGTGTCAGAATAAAAAGAGATGCATAAATAAGTTACGTGGGATCAAGACAGCTCTTATGGTTCTCAATGCCGATGGTCCCAAAATCTTCCAAGAACCAGCTGAGCATGTGCGCACTCCTCAAACACATAACAACAACTTTGTAATCTACTTAGAGAAGTGTTAACTACATATTAAAAAAACAACTGAATAACTAGTTATTCACAAACAAAAGAACATTACAGTAATATAGTGACCTCGGAGTCGCAATGAGTCATCACTTGAGTGTCAGAAGTTGTAATTTCTTATCATCATACGGTAGATGGAGGAGGAAGTTAAATACATTCGTTATTGGGAAACTACTATGTAACTAATATTAGTGTTCCTAATTTTTTTCGTTCCACAAGGTTACAACATCTGAAGACGTCAACATAAGAGTAAAACTTGTGAACTGTGGTAGAATGAAATTACATTTTAATTGATTTATTAGATTTACCACAGTGTAATAGTATTCCTTACTGGATTACGTTTTGGAGATAATTTATTGTCCATAGTCATATGGACGAAACGTAGTCCAGTAAACAATATTTTTACACCTATTAAGTTCATTAAACTGGAATCTAAAGAGGTACCGAAAGCTAAGGGTGTAACTTTTATGTAGTACTTTGTTTTCCGCATAAACTTCTGTGTTTTACTATCAAAGAAAACAGTTTTCACACCGATGAGTGATACATCTAAGGAAACAACCCCCCGTAGTCTTACCACCAAATGTCCACATAGATAAAATAAATCCCTTAAGTTCCGTTCCCAGACATGGACGTAGGAAAATATAGCAGCTCCTAAATAGTTATGACATCCATCAAAAATTATACAGCAGAAATGTTTTGCGGAAAGAGTATTGTCAAGACCACCTACCTTTCGAGGCCGCTCAAGACAATCTTTCCGTTTGTGAGACATAGATCCACAATTTTCGCAAGCCCCATCTCGGTAAAAAGTGACTTTCTGCTTAATCTGAGGAATTCCCCGTTTGTACCACATATTTAAAGCGTTTGAGCCCTTCATCTTGCCAGAAAGCTCCTCACGTTTCTTCTCATCTTGTATACGCTGATGACGCAAAGTAGGATGCAAAGCACCATAGTACCATGGCGCCTGCATGATATATTGTGGAATATGAGGATTTATATCTCGTCCTTCTTCATCTTTCATAGCTGGCATAACAGCCAGTTTCCGGGCCTCCTCAAGCTCTTTCATCTTCCTATAATCATCTTTACTTCGCTTTTTTTCGTCTCCCTTGTCATCACTTTTGATACGCTGAAGCAGCGAAGGTGGAAAGTTAGGTACGAACGACATTTTAACGACGAACTATTTGTAGGATTTCGTCTAGTCTGTGGGAACGTTGCTGTAGATGGGCGTGCAGAGGTGTAAGTTTGTTGGTAGTAGTTCACTGAACCAGCATGAAAAGTGAAAAGCGGAAAAGAAAAACATGAGCAAACAAAATGACTCAGCATGGTTGATAATGAAAAAACATTTCGCTTAACCGGTTTTTGTACCTCGAATCACAGGCCAACAACAGAACCTAGTGTGCTTTATAAACTTTTGTAAACGAAGTGAGTTCCTTGCACTCGCTTCGAGGTCTTTGATAGATTCCAAAGCGGTAGATCCACCCGCTAGCCAGATGTAGCTCTGGTAAACCCTATGGGCGGATGGGAGTCGGTCAAATTTGTACAGAGGTGTATGATTTATTCTGTCGTATAGATGGATTTCACAAATGCTATTTCGCCAGATAGTTGTTCGGACTAGTCATAGAAGACAAGGAGAACAAAGAGAACTGAGAAAAACTAATGACAGGAAATAAGAAAAACAAAAGGGAGAGTGAAAACAAAGGAACAGCCTAGGTAAATTCGGAGAAGAGAAATAAAAGTCATGGGGAAGTTTAACGAATAAACTGAAACCGCAGTCAGAGAAAAAAGCCGGGGAGATTATAGTAGGAATAACGGGAGCAGCGACAATAATGGCGGTATAGTAACTGTAGAAATAGCACGTCTCACAGGGAGGCATGAGACTGTTGAAAGCTCTCGATAATAGTGGAAAAACAAGAAAACCGGTATGGAGGTAACCGTGTTGGGATGATGAGGAATCAGTTGGTTGTTTCGGCCTAGTCCGTAATCCTAGTGCATGAGCGCAAGCCATGTATCACTTCATACTTGTCCAAACATTTCGTGTTGTCGGCAAATGAAGCGGTGGCAAACTTGGCCAGTAACAGATCCTGTTGGACGCGAACTCAGAGAAAAGGTGTGAGCAAACATGGGTTTTCACCCTTTCCAACATCAATATTACTGGAGGAAACTTGAATTTTTTGAACTCTCGTTTTTAAGTCTTGAGGACTGGTTTCTTTTCTCGTTGCTGAAGAAGTCTTTTCAGTCTGCCTGCTTATAACTCGAGCTAGTAACTGTCTGTCTGAAGATTTCCTCTTGCAAAATGAAACCCACTTGGCTTTAGGGAGCAACAGATCTGCTATGACCAGTGAACCTTTTGCAACTCCTGTTTTATAGACACGTATCAGACAACATATTCAATAGCCGCGCGATAGAGTGAGTAGAGAATAAGCGAAGAGCAAAGTAAGGTACTTCTGGAAAAGAAGTGTTACTAGTAATAATTTGAAGAAGGTATGCTTAATAGTGTAGATACTAGGACTGGGTAACAGGAAGCGAGCGCAAAAAACTGGTAGTTCTTGATTTCTCGCGTCTAGTTCTTGAGGCTTGATTCGTGTTGTTCGGTTCGCACCGGCGATAGACAAGGAAATCTTTTCTGCTTTTAGCTCAGGTAAGGTGAATGTTTTTGTGGGTTAGTAATTGCAGTTTGTAGTGATTAGGAAGCCACGGGTCGTTGAAAAGATTAGGCGTCTGCCGTGACTCCTGTCTGTATAGGTGTTTGAATAGGAACAGCAAGATAATCCGGAAAGGTATATAGGGATTGCCCGAAAGGTAAAAATAGATAGTATGGGTATAGTTACTAGAAAAGAGTTAGATAATGTATACGTATTAACCAGAAAGTTAGTCAGTGGTAAGTAGTGATGGGCCAGTGAGGTTAGTAATTCCCTGAGTACGTCTGTGGTGAACCATGCGAAATGACGTAACCACCTGACCGTCTCTTAAATGAGTCTACCGAGAGGGCTGTGACTACGTATCACGGTAAGGCATTTCATAAAGCACATACTCTTAAGGAGAAAGAGTAAAATATGAACCTAATGTTGGGTTCCATATGTGCTATCCTGAAGGGGTTCCTTCGTGGCGACTACTGTGCTGCACGCAAGGCTAGTCTGCTTGCGTGATTTGCCTGATGAAGGATCTTGTAGGCCATAATAATGGTTACCCCTCTTTTAGCAATAGCTCAATGTGAATAGGTCTAGGTGTTTGTCTTTTAGAGTATACCTTCCCCTTATTCCCACAACTGATCTTGTTGCAGATGTTTGTATTTTTTTCAAGTAGACTGGAGTCTCTCTTAAGTGTTTGGGTGCCACCGTATTGAAGACCTTTAGGTGCAGCTACACAAAGAATTTGAAAACTGAGGAACAGTTCAGGAGTGAGGGTACCAAGCTATTTACGCAGAAAGTGCAAAGTGGCGTTCGCTCTGGTCGTCATTTCTTTCAGGTTGGGGCAAATGTCCGGGGTGTCTGAGAAGTTGAGCCCTAAATCTTTTTCCTTAGATACTTTAGTGATAGCACGGTTACTCAGCTTGTATTGGAATTCGGTAGTCCGTACTTCATAGGTACTGATGTGCATTACTTTGCACTTTTCCAGCTCAAGCCATTTTCCGACGATCAGAGTTCAAGTTGTTGCAGATTATTTTGGAGTACTGTACAGTCGAACTCTTCCTTTAATACCCTCCGAATATTTTATCATCAGGAAAGAAAAAAATGAGTGAGATTTTGTGGCAGGTGGTTGACGAAGAGGAGGAATAGAAGGGGTCTTAGAGTTACTCCTTGGGAGAAGCCTGACGTCGAGATCTCTAATTCAACCGTATACTGTTTACCTTGGTTCAGAACCGTCTGCCTTCTAGGTACACTGCAAACCAAGAGAGTTGAAGTTCACGAATACCGGCCAAAACTATTTAGTGAAGCAGGACTGCGGGCGGAACACCGTCAAATGGTTTAGCCAGGTCGACAAGAATAACATGTACTGGTTCTTTTTATCCCAGCTAAAAGTCCAGTCGTCCTAGGTATTCAGCAAATTCATGATACATGAACAATCACTTCGAAGGCCATGTTGAGCAGTATGGACGGTGCTTTCCGTTATTAGATTCCCAGATCTCATCAGTTGTCAGGCAGTATAGGGAGCAGAGCAATCGGTCTGTAACTGCCAGGATTTTTGTTTCCTCTCTTGAAGATGGGTGACAATATCGCACACTTTCTTTCTTTAAGGAGTCTTCACGACTTTAGAGAGTGCTTGGAGAGGTTGCAGATTGGTTTGGCGAGTGCCTCGGTGGTTTTTTAAAATCACCGGTTCCAGATGAACGCAACAAGGAGATTTACCTGGATTAAGCCCAGATGGCTTTTACGATAATTCTTCTGTGACTGTGATGTAGCAGAGGTATTCGTTGCTTATGGTTTGATCAGTCGTATCGAACCGGTGGTGATTAAGTGTTAGTACTAAACTGCGCTTCGAAGTGTGAACTCAGAAGCTCAGCTACCTCTGAACTGCTTAGTATATTTTTATTAGGACCTGTGATAACACTCACTCCTTTGCTGGTCGACTACCTTTTCAACATGAAGCGGTACAGTATTCTGGAATTATTTTATAACCTCCTATCCAGGTTTCTTTGAGATAAACCTGTCGTTACGAACTATTATGTTGCAGCAGTTGTGAATTCTCTTGTAGTTTAAGAAGTCGGACCCCCCGGGTGATTAACGCCACTTAAACCAAGCCTGCTTCTTGGTATGAAGTTACCGCTATGTCCCACTCTTTAGCCATGAGGCTCTCACTGTTGGTCGGTCACCTTCGGCACACTATCACCGATGGTTTCAGTGGTTATTTCCTTCACCTGTATCCAGTGTTCATCTATTTTCAGACGAGTCTAATCTACAGGCTATGATGCATTCGTGAGGTTATCTCTCATGCTCTCTTAGTTGACCTTGCTGTAGCAAGGGAAGACATAGGGTCTCTGGTTGTAAAACCTCTATAGTAATAGTGGAGAAAGTTTCTACAACATGATCACAGATCCAAAGGTGCCCAGCCTAGTAATAATGAGGAAATGAAGGGGGGGGGGCAATGGAAAAAGGGAAATGAAGAGGAAAAGTAGACACTGATAGTGAAGTTGTATTACAAGAAGGTTGAATTGGAGGATGAAGGCGAATTGAGGGGGGAAAGGAAATAACTGAGGGGGAAAGGCGCAAAAGGGGAAAGTAGTTGCACTTCCTCACGAACTAAACTCCATTTTTCTTATATACGCTGCAGGCATATATACCTAGAACTGCTACCGATGTATTATGGCTGCAATTTTTCTGTGCTTACATATTTATTTACTGTCCGTTTAAAAGAGTAAACCAAGGTGTCTGTAGCTACTTCGGCAGAGTATTTCTTAACATACGTACTATTAGGGAAGGTGGATCCGACTAACGTCTAAGCCCACAGGCGCGATGATGAGGGATTACTTTAACGTCCCCACAAGGATTACTATGGCGAACTATTATTTGATAATAAAAGACAAACGAGACACCGTATTAACTCACAACCAGAAAACAAGCGTCCTGTGGCGAATTGGTCGGAAAGCCCGGGCGAGCTGACATTCATCCAATGGCGGTACCGCGACCTTCGAATATCCAATATTGACAATGCGAGCGTAGAAAACTGATAGTTTTGATCTCTCGTGTCTAGTTCTTAGGGCTTGATTCGCGTTTTTTGGTTCGCTGCTGCACTGGACGAGGAAATCCCCTCTACTTTCTTGCTTTTAGCCGCGGTGGGGTGGATGTTTTGTGGGTAAGTTGTAATTTGTAGAGTGATTAGGGAGCTACGGTTTAATGGGACGTTTAGGGAACTTTCATGACTCCTGTATGTGTAGGTATCTGAAACAGAATAACAAGGCAATCCAATATCCAATATTGATAGTGCGAGCGTAGAAAACTAGTAGTTTTTGATCTCTCGCGTCTAGTTCTTAGGGCTTGGTTCCAGTTGTTCGGTTTACTCCTGCAGTGGACGAGGAAATCCCCTCTGCTTTCTTGCTTTTAGCTTCGGTGAGGTGGATGTTTTGTGGGTTAGTAGGTTGTAATTTGTAGAGTGATTAGGGAGCTACGGGTTGCTGGGAAGTTTAGAGAACTGCCATGACTCCTGTCTGTGTAGGTACCTGGAAGAGAATAGTAAGGTAGTGGTAAAGGAATGAAGAGAGAATAAAGAAGAGAGTGAAGTAGCACCATAGAGACTCTGGGAGCTGGGTTAAGGCCGTATCGCTAACCATCCTTGCCTTTAAACAGGAGTTTGCGTAGATAGCCACTCCCCCTCCTGCTCTATGTTCCCTGTCCCTGCGGAAGAGTTCCATGCCAGCAACACGCATCTCTTCGTCGGAGATGTCCGATGAGAGCCAGGATTCGGTGATGAATATGATGTCGGAGTGCTGATGTTCACGCAGCGTCCTCATTTTTGCTACCTTCCCTATTAGCCCCCTAACGTTGCTGTACATACATATTAGAGTGTACCTGATGAGGGGGAGGTCTGGATGTGTATTTTCGCAGGATGAGCGCTTACGTGGTTGTATTTAGCCTCGCCAGTCCTCATAGGACTGGCATTGTTCCGTTTTTTTGTGTTTTGTTCTTAACTTGGGTGGGGGCTGTAGCAGTGGTGGCTTCTTTACTTGATGTATCTAACTCACTGGTCAGCGCCTGTGTGACGACCACTGACTCCAGAGGTCTTGGTGGTTGCCGTCTCTCCTCTTGCCTTGTGGGTCTAGGCTTACTTTCACATATACGTATTGAGCCACCCATGCGATCTTTCGCATTATACCATGCGTGCAGAACGTCTGTGAGGGAGGCATATGAGTCGAACTGGACGGCAAGTAGTCTGGGATTGGGTATGGTCTTCAGGTGCGCTGGCCTTGGCAGTCTACTGACGCTGTTGGCCGGTATACTGTTGAGACCAACTTTGGTTGAGAGCCATTGCCATTGTTGGACGTCGTGAAAGTACCGATCTTTGACCGAGCTGTCACTTGGCAATTCTGGAATCCCATGTACAACTATAGTGTTGTTTCTGTTGGGATTTCCAACCGCTGACTTTCTCTCCTCCTCTCTTACTGACCATGGCTTGTCAGGCCTGGCCCGAATTTTACAGGCATTAACAACGTCCGGTTGTCGTGAGAGGAGGAGTGTGTCTTCAGCCTCTTTGGCGGTATTTAGGGACACACGTAAAGGGGGGGCTTATCTCGGGGTGCATGGCTTCCTCGAGAAAGGCGACACAAAGTTGCAGGGAGGGGAGGGAGTCCCAGCATCTGACAGTAGTCGGTCCACATTCGGCTGTCAAATTGTTCCCTCTCGACCAACAATGAGTCTGTCGATACATCGACGTTGAACAAAATGATCGAGTTGGTCCTCCTGTGACCTGGGTTCGTTGTGGGTGGCACGCCCGACTTACCAATGGGTTTGAGTAATTCCACTGGTTGTTTCTCAGTCACGGTGTGTGGGGTGTTCGGAATGGGTTTCGTAGAGGCTTCGGCGGTCGATGTCTTTGGCCATGCGCTTGACGTCCCCTGGGGCCGGGTGGGGGTATGGAGACTTGACCTAATATGGTCCCCACGCGAGATGGCGTGCCCACAGCTGGAGCTCTAGGTCTGTTTCCAGGTCTCTCTGTGTTATCCTTTGGTGTTAACCCTACCTTATTCGGGGATGCTGGTAGCTTTTGCGTGGCGGAGAGCATCTCCTTCAGGCTTTCTGTGCGGAGTGCGGGCATTTTCCTGCACTCTGGACAGATGTACCAGAACCACTTGCATGGTTGTCTCTTCATCAGCTTATAGTATTGTCGGGGGACTTTGGTATCGCAGTGGCAATGCACCCATCGTTGACACAGGTTGCATGCAAATGCCTCATCGACTACCGAAACAACTTTGGTGCAAACACTGCAGCCATCGGGTGTCGTAATACAGCCTTCCTTCCATGAATAAGGTGCTACGGATTGTGGCGAACTGCTTGTGGCTGCCTTGTTCTGAAGCCTTTTACGTCGTCTTCTATGTTCAGGCATGGTATGATCCTTGCTCAAGATAGGACTAGTTTGTGACGGGTTAGTGCTACTCTGTGTCACCTGTCTGATGGCTACTGGAATTCTAGAAACATGGGTTGGCCACTTCTTCAGAAGTTCGATGTTCTGCCCTACCTCTGTTTGTCTTCTAGTACAGACTAGTGTGTTGTTTAGGGTGTTACTGGCCGTTGTTGTGCACGACCGCGTTATCCGTGTCAAAGCTTCAGACCTAGCGTTTTGGGCAGACATGTCGCTATGATATAAACTTCTTGGGAAAACAAGTAGTTAACAACAATAAGAGGGTTGAAGACTGAATGCAGGAAAAGGACAGAATAGAAAAGGGAAGATAATTTATGTTGGCTCACCTTCAGACACTTGTCACTTGATCCTCTGCTCTTGACCAACGAGTTTAACCGTAAGCTCCAGATGCGTATGTATAACCAGGAAGATATTTCCTGGGGAATGACCTCCGAGGAGAACCGAGAGCTAAGGCAGTTTGGCAGCTGAAACGCCCAAGAACCACTGACAGGAGGTAGACCGGTTGGTTCAAAGGAATAATAATGCCAATTTTCAACTGTTGAGGAGTGAGCTGACGAATGCGCAGGGGTGAGGTGCGTGGACGGACAGAAGTGCTGCAAACGTTCTATGTTTTTAGATTGAGTATTGAAAGTGGGAGTTTTTCATTGTGGAAAAATCCAAAAGCTGAGAGACGAGCGAAACACGTCACTACTCTAGGAGCGCGCCGCATTACCTCCATTTGAAACAGTAGTGTAAATGGTAAAAGAATGGAGAAGAAAAAGAAAAAAGGAAGAGGAAAAGGAGGGGTGAAAAGAAGTAAGGGAGAGAAAGAGAAAAGTATGTGGGAATCGCCCAAATGGTAGTGTGGGTTTGGTTCCTGCAGAACAATTAGTGGGTAGTGTGGGTGTGCTAAGGAGAGGGTGAGTGATAGGTAGGAGGGAGTCGGGGGCTAGCGAGATTGGTGACTACCTGAGTACGTCCGTGGTAGTCCATGCGGGGTGACATAACTGTCTAATCGTCTCTTGAATGAGTCGACTGAGGGAGCTACAACGATATGTCGCGGTAAGGTATTCCATAAAGCACATACTATTAGGGGGAAAAATTTGGTGTTGGCTCTCTGTTGTGCTATCTTAATGGGGTTTCCTCGTGAAGATCGTTGAGTCGCAGGCAAAATTGGTTTGTTTGCATGGTCTGCCTGATAGGCGATCTTGTATGCCATAATAAGGTCACCCCTCTTCCTGCGATAACCCAAGGTAAATAGGTTTAGGTGTTTAAGTCTTTCAGGATACGTCTTTCCCTTTAGCCTCACAACTGATTTTGTTGCAGTTCTCTGTATTTTTTCAAGATTAGAGTCTTTCTTGAGTGTTGGGGGGGGGACTGTATTGAAGACCTCTAGATGTGGCCACACATAGGATTTGAAAATGGGGAGGAAGGGTTTGGGAGTGAGGACGCCAAGCTGTCTACGCAGAAAGTGTGGAACGGCATTCACTCTAGTTGTCATACCTTTGTAGTTGGGGCTGGTGTCCAAGGTGTCGGAGAAGTTGAGCCTTAAATCTTTCTCCAAAGACCCTCTGGTGATAGCACGGTTGCCCAACATGTACTAGAAGTCGGTCGTACTTGCTTCATATTTACTGATGCACTCTTTTACTTTGCACTTTTCCAGGTTGGAGTTCAGGCTATTTTCCGACTACCATAGTTCGAGTTGCTGCAAGTCATCTTGTATTACTGTACAATCAGCTTCTTTGTTTACCACCCTCCAAATTTTTATGTTGACAGCGAAGAGGAGGATGGGTGAGAATATTTTGTCTGGCAGGTCGTTGACAAACAGGAGGAACAGAGGCAGTCCTAGGATTGCTCCTCGGGATACTCCTGACGTCGAGGGCTTCCACTCTGACCTTACTCTGTTTACTTTGGTGCAGAACTGCCTCCCTTCTAGGTACTCCTTGAGCCAAGAGAGTAGGGGTTCACTTATACCAGCTGACATGATCTTGTGAAGCAGTACTGTGGGTGGGACACTGTCAAATGCTTTGGATAGGTCGAGAAATACAACGTGTACAGGTTTACTGTTAACCCAGCTTTGTGTGCAGTCGTCCCAGGCGGTTAGTAAGTTGGTGGCACATGAGCGACCACTCTGAAAGCCATGCTGAGCAGTATGCACAGTGTTTTCCCCATCGAGGAATTCCCAGATGGTGTCAGCTACCAGGCTGCCAGCGATTTTTCTGTCTCCTCCCTTGAAGATAGGTGCCAAGATGACGCTCTTCCATTTTTTAGGGAGTTTGCACCACTCTACTGAGTGCTCAAAAAGGTTTCAGAGTGGTTTTGTAAGCACCTTGGCGCAGTTTTTTACAGTCACTGGTTTTAGGTTATCGCAGCCAGGGGACTTGCCTGGATGTAGCCTAGATAGTTTCTCGAACACTTTCTTCTCTGTAATTGAGATATGACAGAGGTATTCATTATTTACGACCCGGTTGGTATCGTAACGAGTCGGTGTGGATTTAGTGTCGGTGATAAGTTGGGCTTGGAAATGTTAGCTCAAAAGCTCGACAATCTCTAGACTGCC